ATTGAATTTCCTATCACAGATTTTTGAGCTGTTTTAGCTTTATGTTAGCATTCCACTTAGTAAACGGTAAAGTTTTGGTAATATGGAGTCAAGATTTTTAAATACTTTTTTTTTTTTTTTTTTTAAACTTCACTTCTAACAGTACCACACATTATTTGTATTAACATGTGAAAGGTTGAAATTTATGGACTTTCCAACCTATATTTGTAACTCGTTACTTGTATTTAGGAAGTCGTGTTAAAGGGAAACTATGAATTAAGTTTCCTAGTATTTGTAATGCATTATAAGAATGACAGACACAGTAATGCATCCTCAAAGAGCACTTCTATTTATCACATATGATTACAATTTAATCTCTTTGATCTGACCACACTAAAGCTGCTACTAACTAATACACAGCTCGGGTCACTATTTGTAGCCCAGTTATTAGCAGAGCCACAGACAGAGAAAATGCAGTGTTTACATTACAGCCAAGTAATAACTCCACTGGCCATTCCTCAGATGGCTACCAGAGGTGCTGTCTGGGGCAGTGCTGCACACTGTGCAGGTCTGCCATTCAGTGTCTCCACACTCTGCATGGAGACATTGAACTTTCCTCATAGAGATGACCTATAGGGTCAGGAATACACAGAAACAGCAGAGAGGTAGTCAGAGACACTAGTCAAGAAGGACGGGGAGAGATCAGGAGAGGACAGGTAGATTTGCGTGTCATCTGCATAGAAATGATATTGGAAGCCAAAGGAGCTAATGAGTTTACCAAGGGAGGCAGTATAGATGGAGAACAGTAGGGGACAAAGGACTGAACCTTGGTATCAAACACGATACCACAAACTACTCCTTAACATATACAATATAATAGCTCATATACGTACAAATACAACGATACAAAGCAATTACAGTATTAATAACACAAGCAGAATACAGCAGGATACACACCTCAAATTTAAAAAATAGGACCGGCACGCTATGGGACATCACAATCCTACATCGGCACAGTGCTGCTAACAGGTTGCCTACCCCTGTTCTAGCCCATCATTTGGACAAAAATTGGAAATTTTCTTTTCAGCTCTCCTGTTGACTAAATAAAGCTCATATTGTCCAAACTATACTATGATTGGTTCGTAGGAGTTCTGGGTCGTTTTGTTTTTTAATAATTAAAATTGCTTTTAATCTTACCTGAAGGAATATGTTGATGCTTTCTAGAGAATAATAATAAACTTTGATGGCTTTTGTCCAATCAGATACTCCTCATAGAGAAGCAAAACATACATTGATCTGCCAGTGCATTGCAGTCTGGTTTGAGGAATCCATACATGAAGTTCTTTTAAAATTGGAAGACATGATTTGGACAGCCACTACTGGTGTGAGTTTAGCAAAAATTAACATGGTGCTGTTTATCACAAACAGCAATGTTTTACATAGTCAGAGAAAAGGAGCAGCATTTTTGCACCAAAACAAAATCTAGTAGTGGTGGTATTGGTGTTTATCATGTCCAATTAAGTGTTACAAGCTAACCGAGGAATCCTGTGATTCTTATTGCATTCAATCAGGTTTGTCTAGAGGCATTGAAGCAGAACTGTCACCCTTTGAGGACTTTGCTGAGTTCGACACCGTCTTGATCCGGCTGGTCCTCTTGACACCTAGACTCTGCCCTGGGGGGGATTGACACTTATACTCCGTCCTGAGCCTAAGAAAGTCAGGCGTAGGAGAAAGAGAGACAAAAGTCCCTAGATTATCTCTGTATATCTCTTGACTGTGTTGGAATTTATTTTAGAAATATTCTATCTTTCTGAAATACAAATTTTTCAGGGGGAGTAAGAGTGACGCTTTAAATTATCCACAGCCTGGCAGGAGGTGAGATTTTGTAAAAAAACAAAACAAAAAGGCCAATACTGCAATACTGCTGGTTCTCTAGAAATGAGTGTTTTCTCCTCTCCAATAAAACAGTTTCTGATAATGACATGGCATGAACCCCGATGCCTTACAGAACCAGAGATCGGCACTTGGCCCAGTATATAGCTGCTAGAATTAGGAAACACCTGCATAAGGCCACTAGGAATAAACTTAAAGGACCACTCTAGGCACCCAGACCACTTCAGCTTAATGAAATGGTCTGGGTGCCAGGTCCAGCTAGGGTTAACCCATTTTTTCATAAACATGGCAGTTTCAGAGAAATTGCTATGTTTATGAATGGGTTAAGCCTTCCCCTATTTCCTCTAGTGGCTGTCTCATTGACAGCCACTAGAGGCGCTTGCATGCTTCTCACTGTGATTTTCACAGTGAGAGCACGCCAGCGTCCATAGGAAAGCATTATGAATGCTTTCCTATGCGGCCGGCTGAATGTGCGCGCAGCTCTTGCCGCGCGTGCGCATTCAGCCGACGGGGAGGAGGATCGGAGGAGGAGAGCTCCCCGCCCAGCGCTGGAAAAAGGTGAGTTTTAACCCCTTCCCCCCTTAATTGACAACACCGACTCCGCGTTTGCTACTGAGCGGCGTAAAGCTATCCTCATGAAAATTGAACCAAAACTTGTCAATATGTCAATACCTAAGCCTGGGCCACAGGCAAAGGGCCTCCTTTTCAGAGACAACTTCATGAAGGAACTGGGTACCTATGTTAGTACCTTTACGGCATTGGACAAGGCACAAACAAAGATGAAGAGAGTGTTCTCTCCCAAGGTTTTTGGTGGGGCTAGCAGACATTGGGGCTTTCCGTCCGGCCATCCCTCCTGGGATTCCTACCGAGGCTCCGCCACGCCTAGATTTCAATATGCGGAGACCAAGTCCCCTTCACCTTTCTTCCCAGTCAGAGACAGATCATGGCAGTCCCGAGGGACCAGGGGTACCACGTTTGGCCGATGATCTTATGGTAAGTGCTCTACCATTCCCCTCCTTTTGTACGTCATATGTGGGGGGCAGACTATCCCATTTTATTGAGGCTTGGCGCAGACTTACATTGGATGTTTGGGTCCTCAATACCATTCTAGGAAATCAAAGTACTATAAGGGAAAGGCGCGATCTACCAAGTTCCGCCTTGCTCTCCTGGTTTCCTGAGCAACCTTTTCTTAGTGCCCAAAAAGAGCAGTGGTATGAATCCGGTTATCAACCTGTGCCCACTCAATGCATACGTTCGGTATCACCACTTCAAGATGAAAGGAATCCACTGCCTTCGGGACCTCCTTAGGTTGGGGGATTGGATGGTTAAACTCAACCTACAGGATGCCTATCTCACTATCCTGATTGTCGAGGAATGTCACAACCTCCTTTAGTTTCCATGGGACGAGAGAATGTGGAGATTGCGGTGTCTCCCCTTTGGGATATCATCAGTCCCATGGTGCTTCACCAAGCTGCTGAAACCCGTGGTTGCCCTCCTGCGCAGCAGAGATGTCCGCATGATCATATATTTAGACAATATACTGATCATGGTGCACAATGCTCAACTACTACAACAAAAACTCTCTTGGACGTTATGCCTCCTGCACAACTTGGGATTCCTGATCAGCTGGAAAAAGTCAGTACTAACCCCCTCCCAGTCCATGGAATTCTTAGGATTCAACATAGAGGCAATACATGGAATCCTCAGCCTACCGCCCACAAAGGTAAAACTCATCAAGAAGGAAACCCGCAGGACCTTGGCTCACCCAGTGTTAACCTTGAGACAACTGGCCAGGATAATCGGCCTCCTCTCAGCCTACATTCAGGCGATTTTCCCAGGGCCTCTCCATTACAGGGCCCTGCAAAGACTATAGGCTATGCACTTACACTCCTACTCCGACTCCGTTCCACTCGGCTGAACAGCCAAGGAGGATCTCACCTGGTGGCTGCAACATATGGAAGCGTGGAACGGCAGAACGACCTTCAGAACCACCCCGGATTGTATCAGGAAGCGTGTTGTGGTCCTATCTCCACAGGCGGAAAATGGTCCCAATCGGAAAAAGAACTACACATCACGACCAATTGCTCGATCTTTCTGCGAATGGACAATACATCGGCAGTCCGCTACATCAACTATCTGGGCGTCACGAGATCCAAGATACTGATGGAACTAGCCATGGAATTCTGGCAATACTGTCTGGAGTGCAATATATCAGTGCAAACAGAATACATTCCGGTTCTGTCCAATACAATAGCAGATTGGCTTTCCAGACATCTCCGAGACACCAATGACTGGCGTCTGGACCGTGATGCCTTCCTACACCTTCAAATGCTCTGGGGCCGATGTATATCGACCTGTTCGCGACTGACTAAATGCCTAACTATTGCTATTCTTCCGTTGGATCCTGCACGCAGACGCTCTAGCAACAGATGCCTTCCTCCAGTCATGGCCAGACAAGCGACCTTATGCATTTCCTCCTTTCGCTCTACTGGCTCGGACATTAGTACACCTCAGCTGTTCACGGACGTCTTTGGTTCTCATAACCCAATTCACAGCCTTGGTTCCCTTTACTCATGAATATGTCTATAGATCTTCCCAGACTGCTCCCCGAGGCGCCTCCTACTGGATCCTGATAGGAACCCACACCCCCTTCTGGTGCAGGGACACCTCAGATTGTTAGCATGGCTCCTCTCCTGGGACATGCCAGACTTTCCACAATCAACTCTCAAATTACTTGTGAGAGCCTGGGCCCCTGGAACAAGACGACCCTATGGGCATGCCTGTAACTCATGGAGTCGTTGGCGCATGGAACAAGTGGATCCTGTATGTGCTCCTGTGAACTGCCTCGTGTTTTTTTTACGGGTCTATACGACCGAGGTCTGGCCTACCGCACTATTAAAGTCTATAGATCAGCAACCTCCGCTGGACATCGTGGACTAGAGGGTTTTCCAGCGGGTCAACATCTTCTGGTGCGTCGACTCCTACGTGACATTAGATTTGCACGACCACCTCAACCTCCCAGTTTGGCTTTTTGGAACTTAAATTTGAAATTCACATTTAATTCTCACTTTATAAATAACTGTCAATAAAAACCATATAGCCATCATTTTATTACAATATATTTGAGACTTTATTTTTTGTGCTATCATAAAAAGGACAACTTCAGTACAAATATATACATTTCTACACCATTTGTTGGACAAAAAAAAATATTTTAATATATATATTTTCATATATGTCATTACTTCCCTGTGGCACAGGTTGCCGCAGTTACAGCTACAGGGAGTGATTTTAAAAATGATAAAATAAAAACATTACAGCCGTGTTTAGCTGCGTAAGTGCTAGAAGGGAGATTCAATTCTCTAGGGTGACACAAGAGGGCAGAATTCCTGAATCCTTTTTACCCGAAAGACAGTAACATTCTCCACTTCAATGTTTTGCTGGCAAAATAGGCGCTACAAGAAAAAAAATACATTATTTACAGGGGAAAAAACTGCTTCTTATAAAAAAATATCCTTCTTTTAAGACAATGTAAGAGGAACCAATGTATAAAATTAGATTGTGGGGAACACAATATAGCAGAGACAAGGCACATATGCAAAGACACGTTTTCAACCATTTCAGCCAATCAGAATGCCCATTGTCATTTTCTCTATATATCCTAGTTTCCTGCACTGTTCAATGTGAAGGAACATGATTGGCTAATATAACACAGTGGGAATATAAGTGCAAGGATGACACAAAGTGCTCTGATGCAATCTCAGCTCTGTGACCGCAGAGGATAACCGATTTAAAGTGCTATGAGACCGTAATTTGTTTTTAATTCTAAATAGCACAGTCTTCATACCACCAAGGGAAAATCCCATCAACAGAGCCTGGAATGGGAGACATTGCAAAATCCTGGCTTAATTGACGCTCACAGAATTGAAACAGTTGCATTTTTAAGTTGCTTAACAAGAAAGAAAGAAAAAAAACAACAACAACAATTGCTCAAAGCAACAAATCACAAGTTCACCATATAACCGTTAAAATGCTCCAGGGGTGAGCGGGCTCTGTACAGCTGTTTAAGTAAAAAAAAACTAAAAACTATTTGAACGTTAAAGGGCAGCTACCTAATGAAGTGACAGAATATTAAAGATGGCCCAGGCCAAATTTGCAGTCATAATTCAGCTTCCGCATCAGACAAGTGGCAGTAGGTGACAAAAGTTGTTAAACTGTTTGAAAATAGTTTTACATTAATCAGGAGGAATTGAGTCCATACATCATTTCACCACAACAACTTCAAGGAGTTCTAGTAGTTATGGTACTTATAGAGCCCCTTTAACCCATTAAGGACTAAATCAATTATCACAACCAGGTTCCTAAATGGCATACACCATCATGGACTGTGTGGTGTTTTTAAATGAGTAAGCATTCCATTTTGGAACAGACCAGACTGCTATGACAGCAAACCATCAGTGTTCTTTGGGGGGGACGAGGGGGGGGACTGAGAACTAGGGATTAAATTAAGAGGTGCACTAAAGACCATTGTAAAGTCTTCGGGTACAATAAGGTAAGATGGACTAAGTATTAAAGTCTAACTAGGCATATTTATCCACACAACGTACACAGCATTCTCTACGTTACTCGGTAAATCCCAGCTACAATCAAAATGGCTGGGACATTATGGATAAAACCAATCAATATTGTTATTACATTTAGTAGGGAGGCTCAAATCTCCCATTGAGAAACCTGCCTAGTACAGAGATAGTCGAACAGATAAGGCTTAAAGGGACACTCCGGGCACCAATACAACTTTAAAGGTCTTTTGGGCATGCTCATTTCTTTATAGTTTTTGTAAATAAAATAAATAAATAAATTAAATGTTTTGCAGAATGCTGCACCATATGCCTTTCTTCTTAGATACGCCCCCTTAATCCATGAAAAGACTTTCTTATCAAGGGTATGTACACAGCACAGTCATTGCCAAAATGCACTAAAGCTATATTGATACCCAGTGTGCCCTTTGCTCAAAAAAAGCTATTTGTCCTAACGTTTGGCTCCCCTGATCTCTAGTGATTATAGTAGGATGGAGCCCGTGTTACCTCTAAAATTCCTGTGTAGGAAAACGTAACCATTACTTCCCCTCATCTGAAATATTGTGACCCAACTACAGCAATACAGCCTGCTGCATGTCAGCGTCATGTCTGGACCTTCTATATGTGCTCCAATCACTTGCTTTCATTCTGAAATACGACTGATTGCAAGCTCTCCAGGCAGGGCAGTACCTTATCTGACACTAGATCAAGGCCATGGATAACATCTGTATTCACAGCAACACTTACTGGTATCACTTCTTGGGGTATGCCCAGGAGAGTTTTATCCTACGGACACTTCAAATCAATCAGTCCTTCAGCCACGTTTACTGACTCACCTGTGCTAAAGCTTTTGTAACCTTTGAAATTTTGACTGTGCGGGTAGTTAGAGCAGTTGTTTTTAAAGCTCCAACAGGAAGTGATTTGGGATTAAAAAAATGTGGTCTCTCTTCATAAAAAAAAAAACCTCACGGCACAAGTTTGCATATCCTGTTACCATTCACACAGGAAGTGATGCACCTCTGTCTTTCCACTGGGGTATATACAAAACTCTGAAATGTGATGTCCTTTTTTGTTCGGGGAAGGTAATTCTCCTTCAATACCACACTGTCCAGTTGAGGAGAACTAGGTGCTGCAAAAAGAAATGCGAGAGGCTCTGATTTATAATGAAGTGCCAGACCATTAACGCAAAGGATTGTGGGATTTTAGCATGCTCCCCGCTTCTCACATAAAGTGCTTCAGCACACCAGTCCTGGTTCTTTTTAAACACATAATTATAAAAATGTTAAAAAAAACAAAAACAAAAAAAACAGTACAAATACATATTCTTTTCTCAAAAATCAGTAACTAAAATACAAATTTTCATTTTACAAAACAAAGACAATAGTTTAGAAATTGATGTTCAAGTTTGGCAGGCTTGGGTTCACCCGTGGGCTGCTAGAGCCAATACCACACAGAAGGCAGAATGTCTTGACAGGTTGGCGTATCGCCCAGTGGCAAGCGAACCAGTCTCCAACTACCACAGAATAACCGGCGCGGATGAGAGTAACCAAGGAAAGGCCATGTTTATATACAGACTGCAAGTAGCAGGGTCAGGTTCCAATCGTAGGAGTGACCACCTTATATGCTGCATCAGTTTATGAACTTTGTTGGCTTGGAAGTTGACATAAGTCGGGTATGCTTTGCTCTTAACCAGCAGGAACACCCCATGGCTTTCTGTAAACTGTTTTTCTCCAATTGTCACATTATAACAATCATGGGCTGGGCGGTTTTGGGTTTGGCAAGTTATAGAAAATAACCCAATATGCTTACATCCCTTGGCTTGACAACAGATTTGCTTGGGTCTCAGTCACACAGGTGTAGGTTTACTAAACTCTTCTGCGATTTCATCTTTGGTTGTTTGGACCATTCTGTAGGTTGACCACTTGACACTCGTGAAGCCATGGGGACTTCCCGGGCTTCTCTATAATCACAGGGGATTTAGAGAAGGTCTGCTCTAGACCTGTTAAGCCATCAGTCTTCATTGCAGACGATCAGAGCGAAAGGAATCTTCCACCATTGGGTCTGTTAGGATGGCATAAGGGTCTGTGAGCATGTTGAGTCCATCCAAAGTAAGAGGTCCAATGTTCAGGTCATCCTCCAATCCCAGTGACTGATCCACTTCAAAACCAGGGATGCAGGACAAAGCTGTGGTAATCTCTTTGGATAAACCAGGAGAAGAATCCACGTCTGCATAAAAAGGAAGGGAACGTGTGTGAGCAGTGCATGGTATCCGTAAACATTATATTAGCCTAGACAGACACACAGACTGGTGCCATCACAATGCCTGACTTCCAAGATAACTTATGCAATGCCTAAAAAACTTTATAGGAAACAAAAGAAAATGTTAAGGATTTTTTTTTTTTTTTTTTTAAGGAAAACTCAAATTATTACTGGAAATAAAAGTGCATGTAATACAGTCTTATTGTGCATTAATCTGTAATGCAGAACATATGAGGCCAACAACTATTTTTAGTGCATCTCCTGGCTTACCGTTGTCATTTAGGGGTAGCCGTTTGTAAACCCTCTATTGTGGAGCACCATATGAATGATTAAAATTCCTATGGTGCATTTTTGAGACTGGCATGTAACTTCAGGATTTATAAATGCTACCTAGATCTTAATTACCTTTACAGTTTATGGTTGTCCCATCAAAGTGGGTTTGAAAATGGCTACCTTTATTGTTCATTAGCAAGCGAGGAGATGCACTCTTAAATGTAGACATTACATAAAGTAGCAGATACTATAATGTATTTGAATCTTATTTTAAAGGGTTACTCCATTACAGGGAGTGGTAGTGGCTTTGGTATCATAAGTATCCTGGTGCCATTGCTCTCTTAGCTGGGGCGCCACTGGGCCAAGGGTCCTATGTGGCCGGCTGTGATGGCATCCTGGTAATGCAGCTGCAGAAGACAGATATCCCCTCCGCCGTTCATTGGCAGAAAGCGTCACATGATCGGAATATAAACAGAATTGACATTAGCCGACTCTAGTTCCGGGCTGGCTAATGAAGCCCCAATGATGCTGCCAGAGATATAGTTATACTTTTGGCAGGAAAGTAGTTAAGCTCTGTATGTGCAGCAATTCACAGCGAACTGTTGCCCATATAGATTCCAGCAAGCACACTTGGAGTAGTGTGTTCATGACATACACCTCTACCTGTCCTAATTGGTCAGATAGACATATCTTTTATACACCATTTCAGACTACGAACCTATCAAATATGGGCGGTCTTACATGTATACCTGCCTCCATCAACAAATGGCATCAACAAGCCTGGCTTATATTGGCAAATGTGATATGTGGAAAACATATACCAACCTAACCAGTGACTAAACATATATGACCTGGCTTGTCAATGATCAATCTCTAGTAAAACACAGAAGACAGCTTATATACTACTTTACTTCTTGTATGGTACCACCTCCTGGGTCAATGCAGAGAGGCAGTACAGTCTGACCTGGGAGAAGGCAGAGGGGAAGTACAGTCTGACCTGGGAGAAGGCAGAGGGGAAGTACAGTCTGACCTGGGAGAAGGCAGAGGGGAAGTACAGTCTGACCTGGGAGAAGGCAGAGGGGAAGTACAGTCTGACCTGGGAGAAGGCAGAGGGGAAGTACAGTCTGACCTGGGAGAAGGCAGAGGGGAAGTACAGTCTGACCTGGGAGAAGGCAGAGAGGAAGTACAGGCTGACCTGGGAAAAGGCAGATAGGAAGTACAGGCTGACCTGGGAGAAGGCGGATGACCACCACCTGACAATAGAGCAATACTGGAAGGTACAAACCTGTGAGTATGATATTTGGGATGGGGTCATGCCGGCTGCAATTGTTGAGGTTCTGTTTATTTAAGGATTGTGGGTTGTAGACACTGCTACCACTCAGGTCATCAGTGAGAACATGATGATAATCTCCGAAGAAGGCGTCACTGCTTGGATCCTGCCGCCCATTTGAACTCTCCATGTTAGACTGCTCAAACTGAAAGTAAAGGGTACATTGCAAGGTTAAATAGCCAGGCCTGAATAACCATTTGTCACTGACTCCCACAAACATTTACATCCTCTGACTATCAATGCGTTAATTCTATCAAACAAGAACTATGTACAATTAACTGATATTTCAAAATTAACATAAACATGGATGCCAGAAGCCATGTTGTTCACTCATCCTGTGAAAAAAGTTCATTTTGAAAAGGACTTTACAAACGCTAATTCCCAAACCATAAATATGGCGAGACCCTCTCAGATGAGAGGATTACAGTGGAATTTAAGACGTATGCCATGTCTCGACTAATACAAAGAACATTCTTTTTTTCTTTCCTAATTTTTTTTTTTTAAAGAGGTGAAAAATTAAACCAGAAATCTCTCAAATAAAATTAGTGTAGTAGACATAATTAAAGTATAAGTAAAAGCGTTTATAGTTATTATAATAGGAATTTGATTATTGAAGAATGCATGAGATTTATATTAATTTGTTTCGTCCAATATCTTTGTTTTTATCATAATACAATATTGCCTACAATATATATATATAAGATAACTAGAATTACATGATATTATATGCACTGCTACTTTTGTCTTAACTTGACCACAACTATTGTTTTCATAGATTGCATCTATACAATCTGAAGTACGTATGTTCCCAGCATTAATAGGTTACATCCACTATAACCACAGATTACATCCATCTCAATGGTATGGAAAGAAGAGCCTTCTCCATCTTTATTGTCCTAAGATAATACAAATATTAATTCCTTTATATAATGTCTGAAGAATTAAGACAAGGAATGTTTTTATTGACCGTGGCAATAAAACCATAATATTGATGTTCCAAGAAGGCAAGTCATTTATATGACAAAGTTCAGTTGGTCAACAGTGCACCTACACACATATAGAAGAGAGAGAAAGAAATGACCTGCACTCTGAAAGCGGGGAGAGAGGGGGGAAGAACTGGCCTGCATTTTGAATCTGGGGAGAGATGGGAAGACCTGGCCTGCACTCTAAATGTGGGGAGAGATGGGAAGGCCTGGCCTGCACTCTAAATGTGGGGAGAGTGAGAACTGGCCTGCACTCTAAATGTGGGGAGAGTGAGAACTGGCCTGCACTCTAAATGTGGGGAGAGTGAGAACTGGCCTGCACTCTAAATGTGGGGAGAGAGAGGAAGAACTGGCCTGCACTCTTAATGTGGGGAGAGAGAGAACTGGTCTGCACTCTAATGTGGGGATAGAGAGGAAGAACTGGGCTGCACTCTAATGTGGGGAGAGAGGAAGAATTGGGCTGCACTCTAATGTGGGGAGAGAGGAAGAACTGGGCTGCACTCTAATGTGGGGGGGGGAGAGAGAACTGGCATGCACTCTAAATGTGGGGAGAGAGAGGAAGAACTGGCCTGCACTCTAAATGTGGGGGGAGAGAGAACTGGCCTGCACTCTAAATGTGGAGGGAGAGAGAACTGGCCTGCACTCTGAATGCTGAGAGAGAGAGAGGACCGGCCTGCACTCTGAATGCTGAGTGAGAGAGAACTGTCCTGCACTCTGAATGCTGAGAGAGAGAGAACTGGCCTGCACTCTGAATGCTGGGGGTTGGGGAGGGGAAGAGAGAGAAAGCGATAGAGAGATCTATATTGACCATTGAGGACACTGATGGGCAATATAGCCAACAGACTAGAAGCATACAGACTGACCAGGCCTAACAAGGCAGGGATAATCCACAGCTTATACGTATTAAGTAGAAGAGTTCTATCTGTGATTAGTGAGCAGCAGTGGAGTGGAGGGAGTGGAAATAAAGAACCGGACCATGATGGTACTCACAGTGCTAAGATTAAAACCAAGGAGATGCTGATACGGCTGACCCCCTGAATTCTGCTGGCATAAAGAGAAGTAATTTGATGGCTTCTGTAAATCTTGATAAGGAGGTGGTTGGTGTTCGTGCATTTGCTGCAAATGTTGCAGAGACTGGCGCTGTGAAGATTGGTTCAGTGTTTGATGTGACTGATATGAAGATTGCTGAGAGGGATGTACTGTTTGCTGTGCCGGCTGCTGCGACTGATGCATGGTTTGCTGTGCCGGCTGCTGCGACTGATGCATGGTTTGCTGTGCCGGCTGCTGCGACTGATGCATGGTTTGCTGTGCCGGCTGCTGCGACTGATGCATGGTTTGCTGTGCCGGCTGCTGCGACTGATGCATGGTTTGCTGTGCCGGCTGCTGCGACTGATGCATGGTTTGCTGTGCCGGCTGCTGCGACTGATGCATGGTTTGCTGTGCCGGCTGCTGCGACTGATGCATGGTTTGCTGTGCCGACTGATGTATGGATTGCTGTGCTGGCTGCTGTGACTGCTGCATGGTTTGCTCTCCCGACTGCTGCGGCTGATGCATTGTTTGCTGTGCTGGCTGCTGTGACTGATGCATGGTTTGCTCTGCCGACTGCTGCGACTGCTGCATTGTTTGTTGTCCTGCCTGCTGCGACTGATGCATTGTTTGCTGTCCTGCCTGCTGCAACGGATGCATTGTTTGTTGTCCTGCCTGCTGCAACTGATGCATTGCTTGCTGTGCTGCTTGCTGCGACTGATGCCTTGCTTGCTGTGCTGGATGCTGCGACTCATGCATTGCTTGCTGTGCTGAATGCTGTGACTCATGCATTGCTTGCTGTGCTGAATGCTGTGAATCATGCATTGCTTGCTGTGCAGAATGCTGCGACTCACGCATTGCCTGATGCATTGCTTGATGTGCTGCCTGCTGTGACTGATACATTGATTGTGATGATGGATGCTGCGACTGATGCATTGATTGCGATGAGGTTTGATGTGACTGATGCATTGACTGCGATGATGGATGCTGTGATTGATGCATTGATTGTGATGCTGGATGCTGTGTTTGATGCATTGACTGCGATGCTGGATGCTGCGACTGATGCATTATTTGTTGAGCCGAATATTGAGATTGAGACATTTTTTGCTCTTCCAGCTGCTGCGACTGATGCATTACTTGCTGTGCTGCCTGTTGCAACTGATTCATTGTTTGCTGTGCTGCCTGTTGCAACTGATGCATTGTTTGCTGCTGCGACTGATGCATTGTTTGCTGTGCTACCTGTTGCAACTGATGCATTGTTTGCTGTGTTGGCTGCTGCGACTGATGCATTGTTTGCGATGTTGGCTGCTGCGAATGCTGCATTGTTTGCTGTGCCGAATGCTGCGAATGCTGCATTGTTTGCTGTGCCGAATGCTGCGAATGCTGCATTGTTTGCTGTGCCGGCTGCTGCAAATGATGCATTGTTTGCTGTGTTGGCTGCTGCGAATGATGCATTGTTTGCTGTGTTGGCTGCTGCGAATGATGCATTGTTTGCTGTGCCAGCTGCTGAGGCATTTGTTGCTGTGTTGGCTGTTGAGGCATTGTTTGCTGTGTTGAATACATTACTGGATGCTGAGAGGGATGCTGTGGTTGCTGTAATAAATTTGGAAGATTGAAGTGGTACATGGGCAGCCTTTGATCTGTTGGCAGTTTGCTTGTATCCAAAGGGACTCCCTGGAAATGACATAACACATAATAAGAAATACAATCCTACAAGGAATGCACTGTACAAGTAAATCCGTGTGACACAGTCCTGTGACCTTGTGCAACACACAAACATGAGTTAAGGACCTACCTGTGTTATAGAAGAAAGGGTAGGGGACATTGTAGGGGAGAACTGCTTCTGGTGTGGCCTCCTGGAATCTCCCCCCATTGGCAGTGAAAGGGGACTAAGTGGAACTCTACGGCGTGGGGAAGTGTTCATGGAGGCAGGCGCCAGTGGCGGAAATGAGGATGACGAAGAAGGTGAGGAAGGAGTGCTGTAAGCAGATTGCAGGCTGTGGTTGCTGGCAGAAGGGGAGATTGACTGATAACTGAGAGAGGAGGGCAAGGATTGGCTGCTGAGCGAGGACTGCAGAGATGGGTTGCTGAAGGAACTCTGCAGAGAGGTGCTGCTTAGTGAAGCCTGTAGATTTGGGTTGCTGAGAGATGATTGCAGAGATGGACGGCTCAGTGACGGGAAACCTGTATAAAGATAGGGCATTAACACATCTGGAGGACTCTTCATTCAGGAAGACATTCGGTTTAAACAAGGAATGAAAGGAGTGCCTAAAGACCATACCTGATGAATCATAGGCTGGTGGCAGACCGATCCGGCTTATGCCCAGATGGGTCATGGTGTTGGCAAGATTGCCAGTGCTGTTCCCCCCACTCAGGCTTTTGAAACCAGAATCCTCAGCATCCCGTGGGGTAGGGTGGGGAGAGTGCAGGTTTGTCAGATCAGGCAGTGATCCCCCAGTACTGAGTACATTGGGCACGGAGGGCATGTTGGCAGGCTGGTCCATGGAAGGGTAAATGCTAGAAGCAAAAATAGTAAAATTACCAATGTTGTCACAGATACAAGTGTTTATGTGTCAGCTGGTGCCTGTAGAAAGTCAATGATAGACAAATTGTTACAAATATTTCCCAAACATTAAGGACCAGAGCGATTTTAACACTTTTGTGGTGTTTGTGTTTAGCTGTAATTTTCCGCTCTCTCATTTACAGTTCCCATACAAATTATATATTTGTTTTTTTAGGACAAGAAGGGCTTTCTTTACATACCATTATTTATATCATGAAAAATCGGGAAAAAAAACCCATGTTTTTGGACTTTTACTTGAAAAATGTTTTACTTCTCTACAAAAGCTAATGAAAAACCTGCTAAATAGATTCAAAATTTTGTCCAGAGTTTAAAAACACCCAGTGTTTACATTCTTTTTTTGTTGTTGCAAGTTATAGGACTATAAGTACAAGTAGGAAATTGCTGTTTCAACATATATTTTTTTAAATGTATCAATAGTGACATTGTAACACTATTATCTGTCAGAAATCCCTGAATCACCCCTCACATGTACATATTTTTTTTAAAGTAGATAATCCAGGGTATTCAATATGGGGTATGTCCAGTCTTTTTCAGTGGCTACTTAGTCACAAACACTGGCCAAAGTTAGCATTTATATTTGTTTGTGTGTTAAAAATGCAAAAAACTATTATGAACGCTAACTTTGCCCAGTGTTTGTGACTAAGTGGCTACTAGAAAAGGCTGGACATACCCCATTTGCAATACTTGGGCTGTCTTTTTTTGCAAATGGTATGCCATCATGGAGCTAATTCTCATTCCTGGGCTACCATACGCTCTCAAAGGCAACATAACCAATCTGGCAAACTTCAATGAAAAAAAAAAAGTTCAGCAAAGACTCCCGAGTAAAACAGTATGCCCCATGTACAGGTTTTAGGGTGTCATAGAAAGTTACAGGGTTAAACACAGTGCTAGCAAATTAAGTTCCCTGGACTTTCGGCCTGGGTTGTCAGGCAGATCCCTCAAACAGCAATCAATAAAATCACTTAATTATGTAAAAATATTACATAAATATGCACGTAGAATTTAAATATATATATATATACATATACATACACACACATACCGTATATACTCGTGTATAAGCCGACTTGTTCAGCACATTTTTTATGCAGAAAAAGCCCCCCTCGCTTTCTATACCTATAAGGCGAAATAGGCAGCTGCCTAGGTCTCTAATGCGGCAGCCGCCTAAGCACTCTATAGAGAGCCTCAGGCGGCTGCAGCACTGCCTCTCTCCTCACCTCCCCTCCCCTTTCCTGTAGCGTGCCCGAGCTCCTCTCCAGTCCGTGATACAGGAACATCCGTTTCCTGTACCCGGCGAGACTGGAACAGGAAACAGAAACTCCTGTACCGCAGACCAGAGAAGAGCTCGGCCACGCTACAGGGAAGGGGAGGTGAGGAGAATGACATTAGAAAATATATATATATATATATATAGACAGATAAAGAATACCTGGTAACATTGACATTTTCAAAACAGTTAAACAACGACACCGCCATTAATGACCACAACACAAATGTATTATGCATCATTTTAAATGGATTGCTTTAAGTAAAGAATGTGTATTTTTGGTAAGTTGAACACCTAAATGGGTGATATTGTCTTATTTCCAATCAAACTGATTATATTTTGTTTAATGTAACAATAATTTCTTCAGTAAAGCTTGTGTTTTACTTTTGTTATTTTTATAAATATACCTGTCCAAAAAGTGTTAAAGATGGATTTTCATAAATAAGAAAATGTTATGGTTCTTGCCCAGTACGGCACTGATGCCTCAATTAATGTAATTTTATTGGTATCTATTTTTAGTTTTAAAATTTATCAGTAGCTGCTGCATTTCCCACCCTAGGCTTATACTCGAGTCAATAAGTTTTCCCAGTTTTTTGTGGTAAAATTAGGTGCCTCGGGTTATATTCGGGTCGGCTTATACTTGAGTATATATGGTATTTATATATTTGACGTCTGCGTGTATATTTATGTAATTATGTATATGGACATATGAATATTTCTTATTATTTTTATTTATTTATATATTAATATCAAAATACCGTTAGAATAAAATTACACACATATATATATATATATATACACACACACACTTAGTTTGACATTATGTATATAAGATTATTATTAAATTATATATATTTAATTTTTTTACACGGATTGCTTTTTTTTTTTTTTTACTTTTTTTTTTTTTTTTACACTTGCAGGGAGACTGCCTGTCAGCACAGATAGTCCCCCTGCAGGCAGATACACAGGCACCTCTGTTAGAGCGATCACGTGACCACGGGGTCCTAATTTGCCGCAGGGAGACTGTCTGAGCAGACAGGCAGTCCCCCTGGACCGTGAGCAGCGTCGTTAGCCACCGGGGGAACGGTGGCGATCAGGTAAGTACCTAATACCATTATGACAGTTCAGGACTGTCATCGGTCCTCAAGGGAATGTTTCCGGTGACGGTCATGAACCGTCATCGGTCCTTATGGGGTAATATTTTAGATTTTCAAATGATTTAACATTTTTGGATAAACCTTTAAAACTATTTAATATTATCAAAAATAAGTTAATATTATGATGCTTTTTGGTAGAATGATAGATTTTTTTATATAGGATTTTTTTTTATATTTTAATATTTTGAAAAAATAATTTTAAGTATATCCAAAAATATTAAATTGTTTGAAAAGCTTATCCACAATCCTTAAAATCAAGGCCAAAACCCTGACCGTTTACCCACCCCACTGTGCCCATAAGTTGACAGTTCCCGCACGTTCTGCTTCCTGTAGCAGTATACCCATCTGGCTGTACCTATTGGCAGATCATTTTCAGCTGTCGCCGAACTCATGCTCCCTAAGGTGACACCAATGAATATAGAGAGAACAGTTCCTCTACTGCTAAGCCTTGGGATTTTGGGTCACTTACTTAATTCCAGGAACTTCACAGGACTTTGGTCGAGCAGAAGATGCTGGGAGCTGACGATGTAACAAGCAGAAAGAATAAGGTCAGAAAAGATCAAATGGCAATCACAATGCATCTCTGAAAACACATATATATTATATATTCTTCTTAAGGATTTGGTCTTGGCTATATGTTGTTACATTACCGTCCTGTGCCATGTCTGACTCCAATATCAGCGTATCTGGTCCTGTCTGGAAGTCAGCAACAGATTGCTACATTTAACATTAGTGTGAAAGATGTCTATTATTTAATGCTGGTATTGCCATGTCTTTTAGCACATAGTACGTACACCTCTTGCAAACTGGCACATTGGGCTGTAGTCACTGCTATTCTGATCCATGTAACACACATCAACCCAGACACCCATAATTCAGGTAAATGAATGCTCACTTTCTTGGTATCGCTTGGTTTCAGTAAGTGTTTGCCATCTGACTGCAGGTTTTCCTCGATTGCTGGGACAGGGAAGGGAAATGCTGTGGGGATAAAAACATATCAGTTCTAACCCTTGTTAGGACATTAAGCTGCTCTGTTCCTGCTCCTAGTTAAATCTCCTTCTTAATAAGACAATCAGCCATCACTTAGACAAACTTAGCCCTTCACCCATACTTTCCAAAACTATTTAGTTTCCCAATCCTAACGAGCTTAGCAATCTATGGTCATGAAGGTGACACTATAGCCCACTTAATAAGAACTCCTGGGAAGAAGCTGTTGTAAACTACACAAGGCTTTTACATCGAAACCCGTAATGGTCATTTAACGTGCTCCATTCCAGTTTACACAGCTAGCGCTATTGTCTTTACATTTAAACTAAAATAAATCGATCACCAATTCCCCCCCACACCTCGCCATTCCACAAGAACTCACCGCTCCTCCTGCTTGCAGGGTGTACAATCTGTGAAGGGTTGTGGTATGGGTCCTGGGAGCTGGGGTTCATTAAGCTGGTGTGCAGGGCTGAGTCTGAGTTTGTTCTGAGAGAAAATAAAATAAAAAATAGGACATACCTACATCAAAACATGCAATGTGACAGAAGGCAGAGAGTACAACAAAACATAGAAAAGCATGAATAAGGTAAAATCACCAGTGTATAGCCGTAAGCACCGCAAGCCACGACCCTACAATCACTTCATTAGCTACCAGCATGTATATTACAGTACTACCCATTCAGCACCCACCACACACTCTACTACATACAAAGTATCATAACTAATATACACACAAAACATGTATGTTACGGTACTACACAGCTACAGATGCCTATGGCCACCCAAAGTACGCCAATATACATATATTAGTCACACATACAACTACACACAGCATTAGACATGGGTATGTACGCACCCAGCCGTGCGTGCTACTCTATGCTTGTATACGAGTTCTCTGAAAGCATCTCAAACCACCATGCAAACATCAGACACATATACACATAGTACAACATACTGACACACACCTACTACACAAAGCACTACAGACATGGCTGCAAGGCACTCCATTACAGCGACAAACACGGAGCACAGGAAGTAGGAGCAGAGCCGAGAATAGGCATGATAAGTCACCTGTTTAATGCAGTGGGCAGCCTGAACAGCTGTCCTGTGTCCGAGGGGTAGTTTCCCCATGGCATGTTCCTTTATGATAAAATAAAATTTGAGAGAATGAAACCATTGACAGGGTGTGCAGACACTAAACTTGGAGACTACATTCCTTTAGAAATCCAACTTGCTTTTCAAAATGGATTCGAGCAATGTGAATTATAGCACAACTCAAGCCATTTGGCCAAGTTTAACGTCAATACTTCCTACACATACAACAACCCAGTGGCTTTAACTACACTGTTTGTTATGTAATGCATACTTATAATACTGGATAAAAAAATCCTAGCAAGTTATACCCATTCCAGGTTAAAGGTAGGAACTCTAAAGCAAAGACAGGAAGAATTACGAGAGCATATACTTTATATGCATTTAGAGAGACAAACCAATATAATATATAATTATATTACAATTTACCATATATGCTGTGTATAAGTCAACATTTTAAATTGTGGGAGATTTACTAAAAATTACTGACTTCACAGCTCTGTTATAATTGGTAAGCATACACCTTACATTACTGTAGTACTAGTTTCCTCTCCCTTTCTTCCACCACAGCACAGACTGGCTCACTGATACTGAACAATGGCTGTCTGGTTAAGCTACTGAGAGGTAACAGCTGGGCATGTGCAGAACATAGGTCGTTTGTGAAAAGTGCCCACTCTGCATCATGGAGGCAATTTGTGAAGTGCACTATTTAATTTCCAGTAAGGAATCCCAAACCAAATCAGTGCATAAAAAGAAGCCTAGAAATAAAGTATGGAGCTAGTAATCAAAAGGTTGTAAGCTCAATCTATGCATGATTATGTTTTGGGGGTTTGTATTCATGAGCACGTGAGATTTAGGCGGCTGTATGTTCATATATATTTGTAAAAGTCCCAATTAAAACTTGGATAAACTACATTGTATGGAATACAAAATATTCACTGCATGTTACATCTCAAACGTTTGTTTTTGTTTTGTCTGATTAAAACAAAACCCATAATTATATTTTTTTCTTTTCTTTTTTAAATAAAAAAAAGTTTTATTCCCAATCAAGGAATGGAACACGGTCTGCCAGGTTGAAACCCAAAACAACCTGAGAAGTCATATAAACATATCTCAGATCCAATACCAGCACTGTCTAATGAAAACGTGTCCCCCAATACGAGCACTGTACCTGCTGAAAATATGTCCTCCAAACAAAGCAGTGTGTCTGCGCATCTGCTTAGTGCCAGAAATTTGACATAAATATAAATATTTTTTTCTGTAACGCGGAGTGAAATGACTCCTCGAATGTTTAGTAATAGTGCAGACATGGAAGCAAATGTTTCAATAAAAGTGAGAAAAAATAGTAGGTAGACAGCAGTAGATCAGAGAACCTGGTGCTCAGGACAATCAGAGGGCCACAGAAAAAGGAAGATAACCTACATTAACCCCCAACCCCCCAAACTGAACATATTAAAGAGTTATCACATCTTCCATCATAGTACCTTCTCAAGCTGGGATCCTGGTGCGGGGAAAGGTAGGAAACACCATATGGGGAGCTATCGATGTGTGCAAGTTAAAGAAATATTATGCAAGCAGTGCCTGACCAAGATAACCCTGAAGTTGAACCCCGAAACACTCCTAATCAGAAAACCTATGGAGGAGGCCGCGATGAGAGCTGCATCTGAAACACGTCTGGAAACTACCTACTGCAGTACTTAGACAGCAAAAAGTCTTTAAATAGAGAGTTTGAATTTTTGGGGCCAGCTGCCAACTGACTGCTTTTGCGCATGCGCAGTGGGCTTGCAATCATCTTGGAACATGTCTAAACTACAGCGTACGTGGACTGGTGACAGAGCTAATAAGTGGAACACATGCCACCAAGTGTGTTCCACTGCCAAGCTGGCCCTTTCCTCATCTACTTAAGAGACTTGTTGGCCTACATAGAAGACCAGGAGGATAAAGTGAGAAATTAAACAGACTCTTTTCAGGCAATCTGCCCATCACAGGTGGAGGGGCAATTACCCACTTCTAAATACTGCTGCTTTGTGAAGAGTAAATAAAATCAATACCTGATATAGCACGAACATGGCACACATATTAACCCTTAGATATAGATGGGGTATAAAAGGAAGGCCTCCAAACATACACACCAATATGCAGCTTAACATCATAAGGATAATTTCTCATTTGAGACATCTACGGTAAGCCATCCATAATAAACGGACTACTAGGCCTGCACGCTATACATCAGCAGAAAGCGGTTACATTGGCATTACGGTGACAATATACATTCAGAAGCATCACATGGTCACAAAAAAAAGGAAAAGGATATTTGACGCATATAACGACGCAGTGGTGACATCATACGTCGGGGGTCTCTATGCACTCTCTCCACTAAGCCGTGGTGTCGTGTGCTGCGAGTAGGGTCCGAAGGGGAATGTGGGGAACCCTGTAGGACAATGGGATACATGATTACCAAAAGACCAGGACATGGCAGGATAATAAGATTGGGGATCACAGAATACTGCTGTACAGTCATGGGTCAAAGGCAAAGCACATTGATCAAGGGCCAAGCTACCAAACACAGGGTCATGCAGCCAGTCAGAAGCATACAGTGGACTGGAAAAGAGAACTACAAAAACAGAGAAGTCAAGCAGAAGAAACATATGCTGGGCATATAATTATGGAATTAACATGTGTACAGGAAGAGCATGGAGGCCAATAGCTGCCGGACATAACATACAGGAGCAAATTCCATGGATAGAAAGGTAGAAGCATAGGAATAAGCAGAGGCAGGACAGGGCAGCCTGGCACAAAACTCAAAGAGGGTCAGATTCTGTTGATCAGTAGCATGTGTTAGACAAGAGATGGCAATTCACTAGGCAAAGCACTAATAAACTCCATAAATCATCAAGGAAGACAGAAATTAACAGCCAGATACACACAGCAAACAGGAGCAGATTCAGTGGTTCACTGGGTTGCAGCAAAAAACTGAGGCAGGAAGGCAGACACCGGCACGAAGTCACATAGGAAAGAGGAGCAAAGCCAACATATCAGGAGAATGTAGCACAGGAACTATCAGAGGAGCCCTGGCAATTTGACAGACAAAACACCAAGCAATAGATTCCACAAATCGCAAAGATGCAGCATAGGAACGGGCAGGTGGGTCTGGATGGGGCAGCACAGAACACAAGGCACAGAGTAACAGATTCCATAGATCAGTAAGATGAAGCACAATCACGATCAGGGAGGCCTGAATGTGGCTGCCCAACAAACAAAGCAAAGAGGAACGGATTCAGTGAATCAGTAGGAAGCAGCACGGGCATTAGGAGAGGATTTAACATTTTCAAATTAGGCAAAGTACAAGCAATTCCATGGATCTATAGGAACAGGAAAGATTAGGCACAAAAAGCAAAGGTCTGAAAGTAGCACTCCACCAAATAATGCCAAGTTGAGCGAGATCTAAAAATCAGAAAGATGGAGTCAAGGACTAAGCAGGCACACAAAGCAAAGAGCAAAGGATCCTGGGAAACAGTAGAACGCAGCACAGGAATAAGTGAGAGGTCTAGATGTGGGAATGACACAAAGCGGAGAGGAGCGATTTCCGTGGAACATTAGGATGCAGACAATGGGCTGGGAAATCATAAATAGGCAGCCAGACAGAGAAAAGAGTAGCAGCTAACGTGGATTAGTGGGGTACAGAGGGGCAAGAAAGGAATGTGGGGTACATAACAAGCCGGAGTCACCTGAAAATCTGCTGTGCCACTTCCAATCTGGTTTACGTTAGGAAGGGATCCTCCATAATAAGGACCTCGAATGTGGTTCATTCTCAGCTTCTGTACCTGTAACTACCACAGAGAGGAGCTCGCTGGGTCACATAGCAATGAAATACGATTGTGTCATGGTTTGATATACAGAACACCAAACATTTAAATAAAACAAGATAGATAAAGGATGCATGTACATAGTACTGTGACAAAGGGACAGAGCGTACAGATTAATCTTGATATCATTTTATTAAACCAAGCCAAGGCCAACAAGTTACAAAGCCCTCTGACACTATACTTTTAAACAAATTGCTACAAAGAGCTTAGTAGGTCTTAAAATTTGAAGTCCTATTCTTCTAGCCAGCCCTTAAAAGTTACTAGCCACGGCAAGGCATAGCATACCCACAAAGGGTGAATTTCTACTCGCTAGGGCTAAATTGTCACTCGACAATGACTAGAGGCAGTGGAACTGATGAGCCCTGGAACTTAGCCTTTTGTTTAAAATGATTGGTTAATACAGATCAAATCTAGGCTAATTCAAGTTTTTGAATATAAGTTTCTATCGAGAGAGCTCTGGTTACCGGGCTCTGTGTAATAAGTAGGCTATGATTAAGTAGAACTTTATAACAATTAAAAATGAAAGCCAATAAAAAGGAAAGTTACAGGCAGTTCAGAGATCTATATTACAGTACGAAGAAAGGTCCACATTAAATATCATTTTAAATAATCTACAATTAATATTTGACCATTCCACATGGCAATTTCCCATGTGTCCCAAATTGTTGTATACAGAGAGAAGCTTACAAAGTCTGCTTCATTAGATGCATATTCAGAGATCCTCTGTGTGGTTACCCGATGTAAGGCCTATGCAAGAATAAAATTATGAATTAAATAATAATAATAATAATAATAATAATAATAATAATAATAATAATAATAATAAATCAGAGGGTAAAATTTTACTTTATAAACTTTTCAAAAAAGCTAAGTATAATTTCAGAGTGTAAATGTTTATGGTGTCAAAGGTCAGTTACTTTTTAAGATCCATGTCTATTCCTAGCTTGCCTGAAACCTGCATATTTGAATATGAAGCTCCCGTCACCCAGTTGGCGGCAGCAATTAAGCACGCAATGCCGCCATCCTAACCAGGAGCTTTTTAGTTTTCCGCAAGGACCATTAAGAAAATCTTTAAGTGGTTATAGAGAGCACACAACGATTCCAGATGTCGGTTTATTCCATTCAGTTTGCAAACCAGAGACTGTGCTTGCTCCTTTAAAAGATGCATAATCTATTCATTGAGTGTATTGTCATTTCAATTTGTCACAGGTTTTAAAAGGTTTAAAATCCATCTGTGAAACATTTTAGATTTTTGCTGCTATGGCAACTAAGGCATTCCACCTACCAATGATCTCCTTTTGTGTCATACGAATACAGGCTAGAATTAAACTGGCAAGGCGATAATATGAGAGAAAAATATTGAGAATGTATTGAACGTGTCAGAACTGTCATAATACGGAAGGATTTGCCAAGAATCTGTGGGTTTCAGTAGAATTGTTCTATAAGCAAGTAATAGCGGAACAATATCAGATGCAATACCTTTGCGTCAATTCTCCCCAATTGCCAGTTTACTTAATAACCCCCAGTGTGAAGTATCTAGCTCCCCCGTCCATTGATGATGCGCTCTGTTAAGTGAATGACTACATCGCGGGTGAAAGTGCAATTGATAAAGGAGGCTGTAGTAGTGCAGTAGCAGTATGACAATCTGTGTGTCTACAAATACCTTTTGTATGATCAACTGTCAGCATCCACCTAAATCAATGATGTCTGATAACCGCCGGTCAGGACGCAGTTAAAAATTTAGTAAAAATAGTTTGTAGAAAGTATTCTACGATGTTTGCCACAGATTGTGAAATATAATTAATTTCCCCCGATGAAAGGACACACAGGGCAGTTATAGCAAAAACTGAATTTGCAACCATGTAACTACACCACAAATGTGCTTTAGCAAAATGGTAAAAACGACTGACAATATAACAGAGGCCATACAACAGTATTTCTGGAACATGGGTCAATCATGTAACTTTAATTTGGGTCGAAATAACAGCAAAATGCAGAAACAGCCCCTTTACTCGACCAATCACAATCTATTATTCTCACTAGTCTTGTATCGCGAAGGTTTTCCAAACATGAGGCTGACAAGAGGATGGATAGACACCTAAACTTCCAGCAAAGAACAACATCAGGATGCAAGAGAGTTGCTCAGCGATGACCTACTATATATGTAAAGTTAGGGCTACACTGACAGCGAGTGAGTTACAACCCCAGGAGATAGAATATTTGGGATTACATTTAGTGAATGATGGAAAATTATTAGATCAATGAGCATTAAGGTGAAATGTACAACTGGAAATATGTTTAGGGTTAGAGGTTGTTACAATTAGATTTTGCATTAGAATCGATTTATGCTAATTGTAGCCCAAGGTGTTCTGATCCCTTGTGCTATTGTACACTCACCAACCCTGTCTGAGTATCTCTAACACTTTCTTAAGCTTGCAGGCCCTCAATGAGCAGTCAAAGATGAGTTAACGTAAGCATGACACTCCCACAACATTCTGTGACATGTTTCTCAAGGTCTATCACACGTAGTATGGCTGTCAAACTGGCTAGAGTCACATTACATTTGGTATACTATCAAAAGTCAAATGAACTCAGGTACACCTGCAGCACAGAGTTAGAATCGCCTGAGATTTGTCACATTAGTGGCATACTGACAGGAGCCACGAAATACCTAGCTCAATGACAGGAGACATGTAAGATCTGGCAAACTGTGGCATAACGACCGAAGATACGTGAGATCTTGTAAACCTGTGACTCACTGGCAGGACACATATGTGATGCGGAAACGTGAGACACATTGGCAGGAACCACTGTAGAGCTAACGTGATGACATCCATCTTATGTGTTCTGGCATACTAGATGCCATGGGAGATATGGTACACTGACAGAAATCACGTGAGACCTGGCATACATGTGGCATACTGACAGAAGCCATGAGACACTTGGCATACCTGTGGCACACTGACAGGAGTCACGTAAGGCCTGGCATACCTGTGGTACACTGACCTAAGTCCCCTGAGACCCAGTATACCTGTGGAACACTGAACGGTGCCTTGTGAAACCTGGTATATCTGTGACACTGGCATATCACTGGCAAATTGTCAGGAGACACGTGACAGCTGGCGTACTTGTGGCACACTGTCACGAGAAAGTTAGTCAGGCAGACGTGGCACATTGTCAGGAATCAAGTGAGAGCTGGCATAACTGTAGCACACTGACAGGTGTATAGCGAGACCCTGATTAGCTGTGGCACACTGACAGGTGTATAGCGAGACCCTGATTAGCTGTGACACACTGACAGGTGTATAGCGAGACCCTGATTAGCTGTGACACTCTGACAGGTGTATAGTGAGACCCTGACAGGTGTATAGTGAGACCCTGATTAGCTGTGACACACTGACAGGTGTATAGTGAGACCCTGATTAGCTGTGACACACTGACAGGTGTATAGTGAGACCCTGATTAGCTGTGACACACTGACAGGTGTATAGTGAGACCCTGATTAGCTGTGACACACTGACAGGTGTATAGCGAGACCCTGATTAGCTGTGACACTCTGACAGGTGTATAGCGAGACCCTGATTAGCTGTGACACTCTGACAGGTGTATAGTGAGACCCTGATTAGCTGTGACACACTGACAGGTGTATAGTGAGACCCTGATTAGCTGTGACACTCTGACAGGTGTATAGTGAGACCCTGATTAGCTGTGACACACTGACAGGTGTATAGTGAGACCCTGATTAGCTGTGACACACTGACAGGTGTATAGTGAGACCCTGATTAGCTGTGACACACTGACAGGTGTATAGTGAGACCCTGATTAGCTGTGGCACACTGACAGGTGTATAGTGAGACCCTGATTAGCTGTGACACACTGACAGGTGTATAGTGAGACCCTGATTAGCTGTGGCACTCTGACAGGTGTATAGTGAGACCCTGATTAGCTGTGGCACACTGACAGGTGTATAGTGAGACCCTGATTAGCTGTGACACTCTGACAGGTGTATAGTGAGACCCTGATTAGCTGTGACACTCTGACAGGTGTATAGTGAGACCCTGATTAGCTGTGAAACACTGACAGGTGTATAGTGAGACCGTGATTAGCTGTGACACTCTGACAGGTGTATAGTGAGACCCTGATTAGCTGTGACACACTGACAGGTGTATAGTGAGACCCTGATTAGCTGTGACACCTGACAGGTGTATAGTGAGACCCTAGCTGTGACACACTGACAGGTGTATAGTGAGACCCTGATTAGCTGTGACACACTGACAGGTGTATAGTGAGACCCTGATTAGCTGTGACACACTGACAGGTGTATAGTGAGACCCTGATTAGCTGTGACACACTGACAGGTGTATAGTGAGACCCTGATTAGCTGTGACACTCTGACAGGTGTATAGTGAGACCCTGATTAGCTGTGACACACTGACAGGTGTATAGTGAGACCCTGATTAGCTGTGACACACTGACAGGTGTATAGTGAGACCCTGATTAGCTGTGACACACTGACAGGTGTATAGTGAGACCCTGATTAGCTGTGGCACACTGACAGGTGTATAGTGAGACCCTGATTAGCTGTGACACACTGACAGGTGTATAGTGAGACCCTGATTAGCTGTGACACTCTGACAGGTGTATAGTGAGACCCTGATTAGCTGTGACACTCTGACAGGTGTATAGTGAGACCCTGATTAGCTGTGACACACTGACAGGTGTATAGTGAGACCCTGATTAGCTGTGACACTCTGACAGGTGTATAGTGAGACCCTGATTAGCTGTGACACACTGACAGGTGTATAGTGAGACCCTGATTAGCTGTGACACACTGACAGGTGTATAGTGAGACCTGATTAGCTGTGACACTCTGACAGGTGTATAGTGAGACCCTGATTAGCTGTGACACACTGACAGGTGTATAGTGAGACCCTGATTAGCTGTGACACACTGACAGGTGTATAGTGAGACCCTGATTAGCTGTGACACTCTGACAGGTGTATAGTGAGACCCTGATTAGCTGTGACACACTGACAGGTGTATAGTGAGACCCTGATTAGCTGTGACACTGACTAGTGTAGACCCTGTATAGTGAGACCCTGATTAGCTGAGGCACACTGACAGGTGTATAGTGAGACCCTGACTAGCTGAGGCACACTGACAGGTGTATAGTGAGACCCTGATTAGCTGTGGCACACTGACAGGTGTATAGTGAGACCCTGACTAGCTGTGGCACTCTGACAGGTGTATAGTGAGACCCTGATTAGCTGTGGCACACTGACAGGTGTATAGTGAGACCCTGATTAGCTGTGACACACTGACAGGTGTATAGTGAGACCCTGATTAGCTGTGACACACTGACAGGTGTATAGTGAGACCCTGATTAGCTGTGACACACTGACAGGTGTATAGTGAGACCCTGATTAGCTGTGACACTCTGACAGGTGTATAGTGAGACCCTGATTAGCTGTGACACACTGACAGGTGTATAGTGAGACCCTGATTAGCTGTGACACACTGACAGGTGTATAGTGAGACCCTGATTAGCTGTGACACACTGACAGGTGTATAGTGAGACCCTGATTAGCTGTGACACACTGACAGGTGTATAGTGAGACCCTGATTAGCTGTGACACACTGACAGGTGTATAGTGAGACCCTGATTAGCTGTGACACACTGACAGGTGTATAGTGAGACCCTGATTAGCTGTGACACACTGACAGGTGTATAGTGAGACCCTGATTAGCTGTGACACTCTGACAGGTGTATAGTGAGACCCTGATTAGCTGTGACACACTGACAGGTGTATAGTGAGACCCTGATTAGCTGTGACACACTGACAGGTGTATAGTGAGACCCTGATTAGCTGTGACACACTGACAGGTGTATAGTGAGACCCTGATTAGCTGTGACACTCTGACAGGTGTATAGTGAGACCCTGATTAGCTGTGACACTCTGACAGGTGTATAGTGAGACCCTGATTAGCTGTGACACACTGACAGGTGTATAGTGAGACCCTGATTAGCTGTGACACACTGACAGGTGTATAGTGAGACCCTGATTAGCTGTGACACACTGACAGGTGTATAGTGAGACCCTGATTAGCTGTGACACTCTGACAGGTGTATAGTGAGACCCTGATTAGCTGTGACACTCTGACAGGTGTATAGTGAGACCCTGATTAGCTGTGACACTCTGACAGGTGTATAGTGAGACCCTGATTAGCTGTGGCCCCCCTGGGTGGGATCCGGTGAGCGCTTGCGGTGGCCGTACCGTAGTGACCGGCCAGTGACATGCCGCCCTCCCCGTGACCCGCCGTTACCCGTGTGGAGCCGATATCCATCATGACCTCCTCGAAGGCCGCCGTCTCCTCCGCCTGTCTCTGCCGCTGCAGTGCGATCTTCTCGCTGAATTTCCTCGGGTTGGAGGCCGAGCTCGGCCCGCTGGCCCCCGGAGCCGCCATGTTTCTAGCCCTTCCGCAGCCGCCGATGGGGTGCCAAGGGGGGGAAACACGGCGCAGAGCATGATGGGACATGGAGTTCCCGCCTCCCCGGGAGCAAGGGCACGGAGAGCACGTCGAGCGCCGGAAACAGACTACAACTCCCGTTAGCCTCCGCGAGGCGTGGGCAGCGGGGCGCGCGGGGCATGTCGGGAAACGTAGTTTGGAAGTAAAAGACCTCAGACTAGTGTGAATATTGACTCTGTTAGCGATCAGAGAGACCCTGAGTGTCAGGCACTGTCACACCCTGCCAGTTATATAGCCAAATAACCTACAGCCACTGGCAGGGGCAGTGCCCACTGGGCATTATTAATACTGTATAAAGAAATATCTGTAATTATCTACATAACATTTCAATAAGTAGTAACACATTATAAAAATATATATATTTATTCTAAACATACACACCAGTACATAGAGGCTGTATATTACAAATCTTTGGAATCATTTCACACCTTTCACTGATAATCAATAATGCAAGGGAATTCAATAAACAAAAAAAAAAAACAAAAAAAAAGCATATAATCATGTATTTCTGTATTTTGACCATGGACCTACATAAAGAAATATCACTCCAAACCAAGATAAATGTTAGGTGCCCTTATACTCACCATGATGACGGATTAAAAATCCATTTTAAAATAATTCAGCGATTTTAAGGACCAAACTTCTGGAATAAAAGGTTATCATGACATGTCATGTGTCCTCAAGGGGTTTAAAATTGCCGCTACTCTTCACCTCTTAGCCTCACACTAATCCAAACATTGTCATCTCATCCTAATTATTAGCTCGGTCCATGTGACATGTATGAAAATATGTATAGATGTTAAATTGCACACTTTAATTATGTCCACAACGTAGGTGGATGTTAAAGCATTTATTGAGAACAATATCCTACAAAAACAAAAACAAGGAGGAGGGAGATTTAGGTGGGGGAAAAAAAAAATTTGCAGAACGCTGCACTATAAGCCTGCTTCTTTAGCCAAACACCCTGATGCCAGAAGAATTCTTCCTTAGCGAAGGTATGCACACAGCTCAATCACGACAGGCCTCAAATTAATGAGGCCTTAATATAGCCACTAAATTCTAGCATATGCCGTAAAGTTGTAATGGCGCCTAGAGGGCCCATTTTAATGAGCACTGTAAGTTGTATAACCACTACAGTTCATTGTTAAAAAGTTGATGAGTTTTGGGGGTTTTCAATTTGTTATGAAATTATTTGAGTAATTAAAAATAATAAATCAGGAAACAAAATCTAAATGCTCTTTTAACATTAACTACTTCAATGTGCTGTACGATAATGGTGCATCTTGTACTGTTAAACACACAAGCTGCATACTAACATGTGAAGCCATATTGTGACTATCAAATTATTTTCTCTAAGTTACACTATAGTCTCCGGAATACAAACATGTATTCTTGACACTATAGTTCTAAATGCGCAGTTTACACCCCAGCTCCCTGTTAAAAAGGTGTAAAATACTTTATTTCCAGAGCGGGTCAGGTCTCGATGCAGCTAGTCCCACCCTCTCTCATCAAATTTGACGATCTCAGACAATCCAATGCTCCACGTTAGAAAGCACTGGGAGGCAAATGCGCATGTGCTGCAAAACACCGTGCTGCGCCAATCTCTATAAAAAACATTTAGCGCCTCCATGCAGAGCATAGACTCAACTTCAGTGTTGCACACTGTGCAGCACCTCTAGTGGGCGCCTGACTTCCACTGGGAGTTCCTAGGCCAGGCATAGGCAACCTTTGGCACTCCAGATGTTTTGGACTACACCTTCCATGATGCTTTGCCAGCATTATGGGGGATGTAGTCCACAACATCTGTATAGCGGAGAGCTAGTATTGCATAGCCTAGCTCCACTTTAGATCCCAGTAAGGCTCAGGAACAAGTATAATAAATCCACAGAGTAATAATTCCAGCAGGCAAAAAGTCTCCAACAATATCCCAAACGCAATCCCAATGACTGGACCACACACAGGATCAGGAGCAGAACTAAAGATTTATTCACAGCAGCTCCTTATAAAGGATTCTCCCATGCAAGGGAGGGATTTCCAGTAATTACAACAGTAACCAATGATACAGAGGTTCCCTCCCCTACGAGGCACCTTTTCCTGTTTCTTGGATGTACCCCAAAACCGTGGGGTACCAGGACCTAAGTGGCATCCCCTGGTAACTTGTCTGGGTGACCAACATACTCAAAATTCACCCAGATCAGACCAGGGGTTCGGGAGTTATAGACAATAAACGATTTGACCGACCGCACACGAATAGGTAGCCGAAAGGAGTTCCATGTATTATGGCCCTGCGGTGGGTCTTTGTTCGGGAGATGAAACAGACAGAAATCCTTGCCATCCATAGATAATACCGGGTAGGCACGAACCCCCTCGTTCGGTATATTGAACTCACCGAACGAGGAGTTGATAAGCCCCTCCGTTCGTGAGTTCTCAGCGGTGTTCGCGCAATCGAGTGTCCGATTTGGGTTCCAGAAACTCAACGACCAAACACCGCTGAGAGTTCGTGCGTAAGATGGCCGCCGCCACGTGTTCATCTACCGAATGGCGGCCACCCAGATACAGCAATAAAACTTCAATTAGCTGCGATTAAAAAGGGAATAAGGGTTTAACTAGGGACACACTTCGTCTCTAAGGTGGTCTATGCATTCGGTAGTTTCCATTCGTATAACTATGAAGGAAACTACCGAACTAACATACGAACTTAGATACAATTTTCAACGTACATTCAGTAAAAACAGGCGAACAGTCTTTTAACATAATTCCGGAGGACAGTCACAGGCCATCCGCTACAATCTGGAGTGCCGAAGGTTGCCTATCACGGTCCTAAGCAGTAATGTATTTCATGCCTTTCCTCTGAACTTGCCATATAACAGTTATTTACTACAGTGAGAACTGTTGGGAATTCAAAGTGAATTTCAGATGGAAGGCCAAGTAGCCTGACCGGCAGCATAGCTGGCTTAGAGAATTGTTCCAGTTAGTCAGTCTTTTTTGCCTTGCATTTTTAATTTAATACACTTTGAATTCCCAACAATTCTTACTTCATGAATAACCCTCTAAAATGATGAGAGAACATCATGTATATAAAATAGAATGTGCAGGATTAATAACACTTGTATTCAAATGAAATATTTAATTCTCACTCCTAGTATAATTTTAAAAAAAATAAACCAAACATTTAAGTTAACAGAGGGACAGTATTGTTTTAAGAGGCGAAACTTGAAGGGATTAGGTCAGAACATATAGGCAACACCCTGTCTGACCCATTATTGATTTGTCATTAAACGGTTCCTCCAACAACCATGATCACTTAATTGGTTTGAAGTGGTTATGGTGGTAGGAGCCTGGACTTGCAGCCCTTCAGCTTGAAACACTGCACATTAAGTTATTTCTGTGTGCTGGTAGCTAGTTACTCCCCTGGCACACGTGACAGACAGCCTAGAACACTGTTCATGACTGCTTTAAAGGACCACTCTAGGCACCCAGACCACTTCAGCTTAATGAAGTGGTCTGGGTGCCAGGTCCAGCTAGGGTTAACCCATTGTTTTATAAACATAGCAGTTTCAGAGAAACTGCTATGTTTATCAATGGGTTAAGCCTTCCCCCAAAGCCTCTAGTGGCTGTCTCATTGACAGCCGCTAGAAGCGCTTGCGTGCTTCTCACTGATTTTCACAGTGAGAGCACGCCAGCGTCCATAGGAAAGCATTGATAATGCTTTCCTATGCGACCGGCTGAATGCGCGCGCAGCTCTTGCCGCGCGTGCGCATTCAGCCAACGGGGAGGAACGGAGGCGGAGAGCTCCCCGCCCAGCACTGGAAAAAGGTAAGTTTTACCCCTTTTCCCCTTTCCAGAGCCTCTGCCTGCAAAGGAAAGATTGCTTTCCTCTCCCACTGTGTCCTCCCTCCATTGCTCAATTATTTATTTTTTCCAAATGTATTTATATAAAAAAAAAAAAAAAAAAAAATTTAATTCCCACCCTCCCTCCCACTTCCCCTTTGCCAGGTCAGATTGTGGAGACGCGCTCTGAGCTGGCAGGATAGTCCAATCACAGGCTTCTTTATGACAAACCTGTTATGAGACCGCGCAAGGTCCCTGTGATGCCAGACAGAGAAGGGAGATCAGCACTGTGAGTGTCACACAGGGCTAGATTGCATGCACGTAAACTACATTTAAAATTTTCATGGGGCAGGGAGGGGGAGACACAGGGACCCAATAGCAATGTCCAATAGGGTATTGCAAACCTAAATAAGCGAACTGTGGAAAAACGTTGAGTAACATTAACCTTTTTTCTTTTTTTTTACCCCTTAAGGACACACGACATGTGTGACATGTCATGATTCCCTTTTATTCCAGAAGTTTGGTCCTTAAGGGGTTAAACTGGTGAGGAGCCATAAATTATACTCCGCAATAAAAGGAAGGCAGAAGACTGATATACAAGTACTAATAGGGCTTGAAGAGCCCAGATAAAGAACCCAGATAATGAAATAATAAAACGAAGATAACTAGCTCTTGATCCAGAGGATTTGTTAAAGAATGATTTAAAACGTAACTTTTAATATAGTATTTAGATAAAGAGGGTTTAAGTGGATACAATCTTAAGTGTAACCACTAGATGGAGACAAAGCTTAATTATGCTAGGAAATGACATCAAAGAAAGAAATATATTGTGATCTATTTACAATAAACAACACTGTATCAAGAGCTAGTTATCTTTGTTTTATTAACACTCAGCAATAATAAGCAAAATAAGTTAAAAAAAAAAAAAACGCATAGAAAAGAGAAAACATTTTAAATATATAGATTAAGAAAATGTAACCATCAGGATGACAACTATTGTTAAAAACAAAGTTGTTTTTTTCCCTGAAATGTCTGCATTTTTAACATTTACTGAAAATCTGCAGTTTCCGCATATCCTACAAAGTGTCAGATTTCTCAGCCACTCTTGGTCAATGTATTATTTTCAAAGGGTTGTTGGGGAAAACTGGGAGGTTTTACACCATAATCCATTCAAATCGGCAAACAAGGTTATAGTAGATGGATTTCTATTAACTCAGCAGCAGCGCTCTCATCCATAGGAACACTACCTGTTCAATTACCAAACATACGCTTCTCTCTTTTAATAGACTGTAGTTCTCCATTAGGCATCAAGTTCAGGATAGTTATCTTGAATAATTCGCAGATTTTGCACGTTCTCTGCCCCTTTTGCATTTATATATGCATTCTAAATTAATTCAACTGCTCTTTTTCTGCACATATTTTTTTACTAGTCTAGTATTTTACAGTAAGAATATATCATTTATCAAATTCAAACTCTTACTTGCTCCAGATATAATTTGGAAGGTAAGAAATACATCCAAAAAAGTTCTATTCACAGTAAAATATGTTTTTATTACAAAGCGCTTACAATCCCACTACAAAGAGCAAGGGTTGCAGTAACAAATGATTAAGTAAAAATAGACATTTATACAGAAATACACTATTAGTATAAAAACATATCTGACTCTGGTACAAAATAGACCTGGAGAACAGGTATTAAAGACAGCATCCTAGGACGGACAATGATTTTACTTTTTTTGGTCTCCAGTCATTATTATACTGCTTGGTAGACCAAAAAAATATTAATAACATCATATTAGAAAAAAGTGTTTGGGGCAATGCAGGAATGGTCTTGCAAGCAAGACCAACTATGAAGAGATTTCAAGATCTCCACAGTAACACAATCTCAGTGGTTTTGGACTCGGAGGTCACCTCTATACTTGGTGCTCAAGGAAATGGAGAGTTCTGAGGTTCTTGGTACACAGGTAACTGGGAAGAGCCATCAGATTTTGAGGAAGAGGACTGCAGTAATCACAGAGAAGCCACAGAGAATTACAATCACTTTTGGGATATGCAGATCAGAGGAACTCAGGTCATGTGGCAGGATGTCTAGAAAAGTGATATATAAAAATGTTCCGGTTGCAATGCCCTCCAGAACACAGCGGGATAGTTGGTGTATGGGATCAGAGTTCTCGGTTAGCACTAACCCTAGTCCGATGCCCAAGGGGGACATGAAGGAGAACAGGAAAACGCAGATTAACACTCCTTTGGCACGGAGTCGACCTTGTAAGAGTTTAAAAGTCAAACTGAAGGAGATGATGCACTTATGGATAAGAAGCGCCATGCAGGTCTCAAGAACCTTCCCGGTATCCCGAAGCAGCCCAACTGCCAAGCCTTCCAACACAGAATGAAGAGAGAGGGACAGCACCAGGATAACAGTGCGCACTGCAGAATGAGCGTTCACATCGATATGGACATGTGGGACGTCTGTGCCAGCATGCTGGACATCACCTTGTGACCCAAGAAGTGCATTGGTCTCACCATGGGATCCATCGTAGTCCTTGTAACTCAGGACAATTTGTTCTAGAACTAAGACAAGGAAGAAGCCCATGGCAAGGATAAATTCCTGCAGTGGGAAATGGAGCTGTAACGCAAGAATGAGGGGAAAAAAAAATAAAAAATTAGATTTTTTGTCATTGCTAAAGACATGAGGTGGCCCACCTTTTCACAGTAACTAAAAGTACATGGTCTTATATCTTCTGCATCCAATGCCTTTGCTGGCTCCCCAGAGCCTTCTCATCTGCATCCAATACATTCTCTCACCCAAGCTTTCTCCTTCAAACTCAGTTATTTTGTATCCCCAGCTTGATCCATTGTATACTATTCTTTCTCCAGAGCAACTGATAACTTCCTCACCTCATCCAGATTGGCTCCTCTGCATCCCTTTCCTTCCTGCCTCATCCTCACCTCAAAATCCTTCTTTATTGAAGTGTCTACCTGATTGTGGTGTTCTGTCATTAATAAATAGTATTTTAAAATAATTTATCCATTACTTATCATAACTTTTTTTTTTTTTTTTTAAATGCATCCTACTTTGGAGGCTCAATATGTGTGAGACATTTAGAGTAACCAGCCTTGATTCACACCAAGTTTAAAGTAAAAAAAAAAGACCAGGTACACACTGGAACAAGCTCTGCTTATTAATTCATGTAACATTTACTTTGTTATTTAATCTCTTTTGCACCTGGTTCAGTCTCGATTTCAAGGAGAGAAAATATCCAAGATCTGTCCTTATACATTATATGTTCCCAAACCAGTCATGGCCCACCAACAATCCATGATGTATGCATTTCCTTGTTTGTATCCCAATGGAGATACTGACAGTACCTGAACAGTTTGTGGGTCGGGAGGATTGGTTTAGGAATCACGGTTATACATAAAGTAGCAATGTGTGTGCTTGAAAACACTGAATATAGCAACCTTTTCTTCATTTATACTAGCAGGTGCAATGTACCCCCTCAACTTTTAATACAAATATTTTTTAATCAGTATGTTAGACACTGTGCCACAAGGATTCACACACAACCTGTACTTACTGTAATGTTTATCTTCCCAAGGGCATCATTTATGCCAGCGAGGTAATCAGGAAGTAAGTCCAAAAGGCACGTGGCTAGGAAAACACCACCACAGAAACAGCTGATCAGACTGAGAACCCTCCGGCGAGTCCCTGGAGAGAAGCATCAGAAACAACAAACATGTCAGTTTAAGGAACACTATAGTGTCGGGAATCCAAAATGTGTATTCCCAACACAACAGTTAAAAAAACCACAAACAAACAAGATATTAAGGTACGCAGATTTCCCCCCCACTGTTAAAAAGGATGAAGACTCCTTATTTCCAGCGCCACTAGGGTCCGCTGCAAATGGCTCTGCCACTGCTCCACCTCCTTGATGGAAATCAAAATTGACAACCTAAGCCAATCCAATGTTTTCCCATAGGAAAGCATTTGGAGGCCATTGTGCATGCACGGTAAAACACTGTGCCAATTATCTCTTCTCAGACATACATTGAATCAATGCATCTCTATGGGGAAAGTTCAGGGCCTCCATGCCGAGAGTGGAGACACTGAAAGTCAGCGCAACACTGACCCAAGAAGCACCTCTAGTGGCCATCTGACTGACTGCCACTAGAGGTGTTACTAGGCAGTAATGTAAATACTACCTTTCTCTGAAAGACTTTAGGGACATGCTATACCAACCAGATCAACTACATTAAGAAGCTGTAGTTTTGGTGACTATAATGTCCTTTTAAGCCAAAAATACCTTTAAAGGGAGATTCCACGGTAGGGATTTCCTCATTTTGAGAGATTGGGTGGGTGGGTGCGAGCCAGCGGTACCCCTGAGACCGGGTACCCGCCATCACCATTTGCGGCCCCGGCCCGCTCAGCAAACCGCCAGGGCTGCCGTCCAAGGAGTTCATCGGGTGGCCCATGCTGTCAGGGCCACCCAATGGTTATAGATTGTAAGGGGGCCAAGTCAGTGCTGGGCACTTTAACAGCGCGACCGGGCCCCCTGTGATTACATCACACAGAGCTGGGAGGAAGTAACTGCACGTCACTCCTCCCAGCTAGCACACAGGCCACGCGGGAGGAGGCAGAGGGAGTCAGAGTGGGAACTCTGACTCCCATCCACCTGAGCCACCACTGGACCCCAGGGAGTGTCGCCCTCCTGCTCCTAAAAGGTAAGAAACAGGAGGGTGACAAAAATAGTGTGTGTGTGTATGTCTTGAGTGTGTGTCTTTGTATGTATATATATATATATATATATATATATATATATATATATATATATATATATATATATATATATATATATATATATATATATATATATATATGTATGTAAGTGTGTCGTGTATGTGTCTTTGTATGTATGTTGTGTGTGTGGGTGTGTGTGTATATGTCTTGTGTGTATATGTGTGTGCATGCATGTATGTACGTACAGTTGCAAGAAAAAGTATGTGAACCCTTTGGAATGATATGGATTTCTGCACAAATTGGTCATAAAATGTGATCTGATCATCATCTAAGTCACAACAATAGACAATCACAGTCTGCTTAAACTAATAAAACACAAAGAATGAAATGTTGCCATGTTATTATTGAACACACCATGTAAACATTCACAGTGCAGGTGGAAAAAGTATGTGAACCCCTAGACTAATGGCATCTCCAAGAGCTAATTGGAGTGAGATGTCAGCCAACTGGAGTCCAATCAATGAGATGAGATTGGAGGTGTTGGTTACAGCTGCCCTGCCCTATAAAAAACACACACCAGTTCTGGGTTTGCTTTTCACAAGAAGCATTGCCTGATGTGAATGATGCTTTGCACAAAAAAGCTCTCAGAAGACCTGTCATGCGGTAACACTTCCGGGTTCGGCACGCCGCTGTGCAGAGCCGGACCCCGCCCCCCTCTGACGCAGCTCTAACGGTGTTTAGGGAGACCGCGCCAGAGTTGGGTGATACTGGGAACTACTTCCGCCAGACTTACCTCTCCACAGTCTCTGGCATTGTGGGTCCTACTTCGAAATATGCACGCCGGCTCCTGGGACACGCCGGCTCTACAAACTCTGAAGACGTCCTAGCCTTCTGGACTAAGACAAGTATGCTTCATGTCACAGAGGATTACTGGAGAACGGAAACTCACTTACTTTACAAGTGGACCATATCACTAAACTATTGGAGGACAACTCAGATTAACCTTAAGTATATTTTTCAGCTATTTGTCTACAATATCATTTAATAATGAACTAATGCTTGCTTATTAAATCTTCACTGCTTCAAGCTACTAATTATATGGAGGACAACTCCCATCATGCTTATTAACTATGAACTGTTCCTGCTTTGCAAATATTCTCAGCTACTTGCTTAAAGTTACTATTGAAGATTATTCTCATTAACCTAAAGAATGTTACTTAATGCATCTCTGAGGAATATTTATTAATGAACTTTGTGTTGATTACTTGCACTTCTTATTGGATTATTGCCTAAATGCAATTCATTTATGTTTAACACTTATTAAAACTTCGTTTGAATCACGTTCCTAGCAATTCTCTTTTCTTAAAGCTACAGTATTGATACTTTAAAGATTCTCAGTTTCTTCATTATTGTAATTAGGGAGTTTTACCAGCTGCAGTTGAGTTCCAATCCAACTCACCCAAGTAGCGTAACAAGACCTACGATTAAGAATTGTTGACTTGCATAAAGCTGGAAAGGGTTATAGAAGTATCTCCAAAAGCCTTGCTGTTCATCAGTCCACTGTAAGACAAATTGTCCATAAATGGAGAAAGCTCAGCACTGCTGCTACTCCCCTTAGGAGTGGCCGTCCAGTAAAGATGACTGCAAGAGCACAGCGCAGACTGCTCAATGAGGTGAAGAAGAATCCTAGAGTGTCAGCTAAAGACTTACAAAAGTCACTGGCAAATGCTAACATCCCTGTTAGCGAATCTACAATACGTAAAACACTAAACAAGAATGGATTTCATGGGAGGATACCATAGAGGAAGCCACTGCTGTCCAAACAAAACATTGCTGCACGTTTACAGTTTGCACAAGAGCACCTGGATTGTCAGAATATTTATATCGACATTTTGTGCTAAAAAGAAATTAAAAGTGTATATTGCCACAGCCATTCAGAACAAAGCGGACTCCATTTTGCTATCTTCAGGATAACAAAAACACATAATTTCCTTGGTTTCTTCTTACTTTCAGTAACTAGCCACTTGCTTGAGCTGAGGAATCTATTACATAAACAAACCAAGATAAACAATGAAGCAAGGGGGATGGAACACTGTATAAAATGTTAATGGAATAGATGCATTATCTAAACACAGACACTAGTGACAGAGAAGACTAAGTAATTAATTTTACTTTCTAAATTTTATAAGGTACCATTGTAGTAAGGGGTGAAATTGAGTTTAGAACTGTCAATTTTACAAGTTACGATCAAAGTAAATGCCACAAAGACTGGAACAAACGCTTTGAACTGACAGCAAATCTAAGTTATGGTAGTAATTTTAGATAAGCCAAATTACGTCAAAATCGTCATCAGGAAAAGTTAACTCTTTCCTGGATAGGAAGGTTTTGTTAGACGAGACTGCCCTCTATGGATCAAATACCTAAATGGCGACCCATAGATTGGACACACCTACGGCTTCCTATTGGGTTATCAGCTAATGACGTACAGAGAATCTGGCCCTTTAAAAGTAAGGACAAAGGGAAGACAGGGTAGTTGGGGTTGGAATAGAGATACAGAGAGAAGGAGTTGAAGTTTGGGGGACTCCAACTCTGAGCATGCAGAGAAATCCAGGACAATATCTGGGACTAACACTCCACCCTTAAACTCTCTTGGACATAAACTCTTTAATACTTTTTCTATCACTCACGCACCTCCATACAACCAATCAAGTTTCTGGGACTACCTATTCATCTGATGAGAATAGCTACATAACTGGTAATTATGCTGGTTTTATTTAATTAATAAAAATTTACTAATAGCATGATATATGACTGGATAAATCACAGTCAGATTTCAATATTTAGAAATCTTAGTTAACTAAGAATATATAGTTATAAACATTCCATTCTGCAGGTGGAATTAAGAATAATTATATATTAATGTGATAGTATCACGTTTTAGCATACCGCTGTTTTTATCCAGGTGTATTGATTTGCTCTAAATTAAGATAAGATATCTTTTTAGGCAAATTAAAATTCTGTTTATAGAATCTGGTAGATTATTCTTATTTGATGGTTCCAGAAAATGATTAATGAGCTGGTTTAAATGTTATTGTAATTGAAAATCACAGGGGAATAGGATACAATATGCCTAGGAGGATCTAGCCAGCATTGAAAGGGTTATTCAGTTGATTTAACTGTTAGCCAGGGTTTTTATGGCTCTTCGTTGTGAAAAGCTTTACTTTTTGTCTGTAAAGATACCCTTATAAATCGTGTAAGTCTAAGACAGAAAATGCTGTAGCCGTTGAAACGTGTTAGCCATTCCATTGTATTGTATATGTTATACTAAATATTCACTGATTATCATCATGCATGATGCCTAATATTATTTGTTAATTAATTTGTTACAATAAAAATAAATCTATTTTTATAACAAATTGTGAATTATTGATGGAATACTTTTCACTTACATGATAAACGATCTCTAAGATCTAAGAGGATTGAAATAGTGGGCAATTCTCGACTGCTTAAAATTATCATCCCATAAATATCCCCACAGGATGTTCCACAGCAGTACTGGCAAAATATTTTGTGGACAGATGAAACCAAAGTTGAGTTGTTTGGAAAAAACACAACACTATGTGTGGCAAAAAAAAAAGGCACAGCACACCAACATCAAAACCTCATCCTAACTGAAGTATGGTGGTGGGGGCATCATGGTTTAGGGCTGCTTTGCTGCGTCAGGGAAAAAGAAGAAAAGACCAGGTGCTCAAAAGAAATAGGGCGCCCCCTAATTAATTGCCATGAGAATATGTACAAATAAAATGTAACCTTTAATAGTTGCTGCATAAAAGTATTCTGAAAAATAAAGAAATAAGAAAAATATGGTTAAAACCAATATGGATAGGTAAGGATAACTCTGAGTGGGATATATGAATAAATCGATAAATCCCCTCAGAAAAACCTTGAGGTGGGTAGAAAAGAAATGAAAAGGATCCCACTTAGATATTGATCCTTGCTACGAGTAAATAGTCACTTGTAAAGATCTTACTAGCCAAGTAATAATATATAGATAGGTATCTCTACTAGTTGGGATATCCCCCTCCCAGACAGTTGCTTTAAAAAAATAAAAAATAAAAAAGTGTTCTACAGTGAAGTAAATAGTAGCAATCTCATATTGTATATACAGGAGAGAGGATTGTACCTATAAATTATACAAGGATCTATCACAAAGTAGCTAAATCGCTTGGATATATTGGAGTCAGCAGTATAATGATACAAAGTTTATGTTGCCTTTCCAGCTGTCAGAAAGTTTTAGCCTCGGAGTTGGCGTGGTTAAGAAAGAGAAAAGCTAGTCTCTCATATAAAGGCGTGGAATAATATCACTATGAATGCGCCCACCCCAAATGTGCCAACCCTACACCCAACTAAGGAAAGGATAGTAATAAGCTGACTATCTAAAAGTCTATCAATTCGAGCGCAATCTCCTATCCAAAATAACTATCTAGCTATCTAACACGTGTTTCGACGCTGCTACACACGCCTTCTTCCGAGACTATACAAAAGTGCTCAGAGGTACCAGTGGCTCATTTATACCCCCGTTCCACCAATAGGCGGAGGGGGCGTGTAGCACAGGGATCGCGCCAAATGGCCGGAGCCCGAGTTTGCCACGCCCCCCCCGAATGACGTGTCATCATAGTTAATAAACACATCATTATGTGCCGATCTATTTTAACCCTAGGTTTGCCATGAGTATATTCATAGGATCTCTCCATAATGCGGAGAGTAGCTGACCGTGCTAATGTTTTCTTCAATTTGAATCTTATAGAATAGAAAAAGAAATAAAGAGACGAAAAAATAATAAACAAACACATATGGGTTTTAATTCCTAGAAACATTTATTAAAATCTTAGACTAATGCAACAGACCTAATGGTTACTGTAATTTATGGACATCCAGAGAAAAACCCATCATGTTAATGTAAATAGATCTCATTATAGGATTAGAATTCCTGAAAAATGATGAAATCCCACTGATCTGGGAATGATAGGTTATAACTTTATATATCCCACTCAGAGTTATCCTTACCTATCCATATTGGTTTTAGCCATATTTTTCTTATTTCTTTATTTTTCAGAACACTTTTATGCAGCAACTATTAAAAGGTTAAATTTTATTTGTACATATCCTCATGGCAATTAATTAGGGGGCGCCCTATTTCTTTTGACCACCTGGTCTTTTCTTCCCTTTTCTTAGTTACACATAAAAGTGAGTGTTATCCCCTATTTTGGACGCCCCAGATACACACCCGGCTAGTTCCCTTAGGGGTATCTAGTGCTGTTTTTTCTCTAACATTTGCTGCGTCAGGGCCTGGACAGATTGCTATCATCGAAGGAAAAAATTAATTCCCAAGTATATCAAGACATTTTGCAGGAGAACTTAAGGCCATCTGTCTACCAGCTGAAGCTCAACAGAAGATGGGTGTTGCAACAGGACAATGACCCAAAGCATAGACGTAAATCAACAACTGAATGGCTTTAACAGAAGAAAATACGCTTTCTGAAGTGGCCCAGTCAGAATCTTGACCTCAACCTGATTGAGATGCTGTGGCATGACCTCAAGAAAGCCATTCACACCAGACATCCCAAGAATATTGCTGAACTGAAACAGTTCTGTAAAGAGGAATGGTCAAGAATTACTCCTGACCGTTGTGCACGTCTGATCTGCAACTACAGGAAACGTTTGGTTGAAGTTATTGCTGCCAAAGGAGGTTCAACCAGTTATTAAATCCAAGGGTTCACATACTTTTTCCACCTGCACTGTGAATGTTTACATGGTGTGTTCAATAAAAACATGGCAACATTTCATTCTTTGTGTGTTATTAGTTTAAGCAGACTGTGATTGTCTATTGTGATTTAGATGATGATCAGATCACATTTTATGACCAATTTGTGCAGAAATCCATATCATTCCAAAGGGTTCACATACTTTTTCTTGCAACTGTATGTGTTATAGTGGGCTATAGTAAGTGTGCTACCTAGCTCAGCCTTCCTACTGGGCATTGCTATAAGGAAGGTTAAAAAAAAAAAAAAAAATAGAAAAAAGTAAAAAAAAAGTGGGGAATTGAGGAGGGAGAGGAGAGGAGCTGACACATAGATGACAAATCATATGAGCAAACAGAGAAGTTGTCTGAATATCACCGAAAGAGGAGACCTTCGTTTGTTCCTTATGAAAAATCGAACCAGATATCAAATATTTAGTCTTGCAGCATCAACCTCAAGGATCTCATTAATCACTAGTAAAGGTAATATGAATTTTACTTTATTGTTTTCTCATTAAACATTATAAAGTTAAAAACATTATAAACATGCATTAAGTAGAAATAAAAAGATAAATGTACGTACTTTTTTTTTTAAAAACACCCTCCTTTCTAAAAAATATCCGGCACTTGCGCAAAAACTGGTGGGCGGTAAGGAAATCTTTCCATCAAGAAAAATGCATTAGTGGGCGGTAGGTAGAAAAAGGTTGACTACCACTGGTATAGATCATGCCCCTGCAGTCTCACTGCTTAGTTCTCTACCATTTAGGAGTTAAAATCAACACTGTTTGTTTATGCAGTCCCAGCCACATTTCACTTGAATGTGACTTACAAAGCCATACTAAAGACTTCTTGAAAAATAACCTAGATATTTTAGGTTTCCTTACTGCACAGTCTGTAATCTAGAACTTCTTATCTCCGGCTCTGTTAATAGCAACAGAGCCTCGTGTGTGATTAAAGTTTCATTTACAGAGCTGGAGCAAAAAATAAATAAAAATAAAACACTTCTAAAGTAAGGTAGCATCTGATTTAAAATTAACAATTTTTCCATGCACAGCCAGGGGAGTTGTGGCTAGGGCGGCTATAGGTGGAGAGCAGAGGGACATCCTGTGGAAGGTCTGCTCTGCTCTCCCTGGCTCTCAATTTTCTTGCATTAAGTGTCTACTGAGGAATTAGTAGACAGGATGTCCCTCCCTCCCCCCACCCCCTCCCCCCCAAATACAACTGTATAGACTGAATTTTAAGCGCTTTAAAAAGAGCTAAAGCTAATATGGACATGACAGATTCATTTTAACTCCTAAATGGCAGATGACTGAGTAGTGAGATTGCAGAGGCATGATCTATATGCCAAAACTGCTCCATTAAGCTAAAGTTGTTTGATGCCTATGGTATCCCTCTAAGAAGGAGCAGTCAATAGTGTTCATTAACACATGTTGCTTTATAGAGTTTATTTTTTATTTTTTTTGAGCATTAGCATAAAAAGACCATGGCTATCACAAGGAGTTGCTTAATTCATTAATATAAATGAAACATAAAATTGCTTGTGCCATCAAATTACCTGAAGCATCAAGGTAACCCTGTCGCCTGAAAAGAAAGAGAGGTGTCAAGCCGCTAAGGAAAGTGAGGAGTAGCATGGTGACGAGAGACCCCAGCTTCACCTCCAAGGCAGCCACAGGAACGGGTTCAGCATCAAAATTGGGGCGCCACACTAAATCGTCAGCATCCTCGCCCATGTTTGTGTTTAATCACCAAGCTGAAGAGGTAGTAAGATCAAAATAGATTTACAAAACTATGGAGTGAGATAAGAATAGTATCAAACAGGAAAAAAAAAAAAAACACACACAAAATGCCAGTAAATAGGATATGTATGTAGTGTGTTATGGGGCAGTAGTACACTTAGACAGAGGAAGGGTTGCAGTAGGTGAAGCAGAGGGAGCTGTATGTGTCAGATGGCCTTGAAGACTAGAGATGGATTAGTGGAAGTGGGGGTATGAACAGGTAGACATGGAGCCTGTAAATTATCTCCAGTTATTGGGCAGGTTGTTGTGGGATTAAAAGTAAAGAAACACCCCATTTACTTAAACAATTTAGTAGATATAACCAACATGACAATATGCAGGTATTTTTCTCTCTTTAAGTTTACTTTGGCGGTATATGAAAAAGGAGCTTGCAAAAATTGCCTTTGGAATCCCTCCCCTACACAGACTTTTAGGCTGTGCCGGTGAATATACCATTTAGAGCAAGCATGTCAAACTCAGAGGCTAGCTCGGGCCAAATAAACAAGGTTTAAGTTTATGTGGGCCGAAAAAAATAAATAAATGTAAAAGGACCACTATAGGCACCCACACCACTTCAGCTTAATGAAGTGGTCTGGGTGCCAGGTCCATCTATGATTAATCCTTTTTTCTATAAACATAGCAGTTTCAGAGAAACTGCTATGTTTATATTAGGGTTAATCCAGCCTCTAATGGCTCTCTCATTGACAGCCGCTAGAGGCGCTTGCGTGCTTCTCCCTGTGAAAATCACAGTGAAAAGACGACAGCGTCCATAGGAAAGCATTGATAATGCTTTCCTAAGAGACTGGCTGAAAGCGCGCGCAGCTCTTGGTGCTCATGCACATTCAGCCGAGGAGGAGGAGAGGAGGCGGAGGCAATGCCGCACATGCGCACGCCATAGGAAAACATTGAAAATGCATTTCAATGCTTTCCTATGGGGAAATGAGCGACGCTGGAGGTCCTCACACAGCGTGAGGATGTCCAGCGATGCTCTAGCACAGGTTTCTTGTGCTATGATCCAGGAAGTGCCCTCTAGTGGCTGTCTAGCAGACAGCCACTAGAGGTGGAGTTAACCCTGCAAGGTAATTATTGCAGTTTATAAAAAAATGAAATAATTACAGTTGCAGGGTTAAGAGTAGTGGGAGTTGGCACCCAGACAACTCCAATGGGTAGAAGTGGTCTGGGTGCCTGGAGTGTCCCTTTAACTTACTACAGTCTGCGGCTGCTGGAATTGCCCTTGATCTGTCTGCTTGGCTGCCATCATCAGAAGTGATTCTCTTCGCCAATCACAATGATTTTATTTTGGATTGGCTGAGTTGTCAAGAAGGCAGGTCAATGGCAGAGCCAGCACCAGCCAAGCACATCTCTGGCCAATCAGCATCTCCTCAGAGATTCACTGAATATCTATGAGGAAAGTTTGGTGTCTCCATGCAGAGTGTTGAAACACTGAAGGTCAATCACAATGTGCAGCACTGCCCCAGGAAGCACCTCTAGTAGCCATCTGAGGAATGGCCAGTGGAGGTATCCCTAGGCTGTAATGTAAACACTGCATTTTCTCTGAAAAGACAATGGTTTACTGCAAAAAGCCTGAAGGGAATGATTCTACTCACCAAAACAAATACAATAAGCTGTGGTTGTTCTGTTGACTATAGCGTCCATTTAAATGTAGTGCTGTGGCGATAATAGGAGTTTAATTGGGATGTTTCTGTGGGAGGGCACCGAGGCTATAGAGATGTAGGGGTAAAAATTTGGATTACATACCTCGCAACATTTTTAAGCAACTAAAATGTAACTTTGGACAAGAACAATTCATGATATAAAAACACAGACTGATTTCTTCATGCACTTATTATAGATTAAATACATATTACTGTGAGCATTATTGCTCAGAAACACCAACAATATGGAGCCCTAGAAAATATGGACATTAAGATAACAAGGAGAGACAGAGGAAAGGCCCCCAATAGAGTGACCCCTCTAAATAGAGTCACTTAGTAATGATTATTGTGGGTAATGAGGATGTATTGAGTCAGAGGGGACATGGGGGGGAGGGGGCTGTGGTGATGTCAGAGGGGACATGGGGGGGAGGGGGGGCTGTGGTGATGTCAGAGGGACATGCTGGGAGGGGGTTGTGGTGAGGTCAGAGGGGATATGGGGGGGAGCTGTGGTGATGTCAGAGGGGATATGGGGGGGACAGTCAAAGGAGCTGTGATGTCAGAGGAGATATGGGGGGCTTTGATGATGTCAGAGAGATATGGGGGGCTGTGATGTCAGAGGGATACGGGGCTGTGGTGATGTCAGAGGGGATAATGGTGGGGGCTGTGGTGATGTCAGAGGAGACATGGGGGCTGTGGTGATGTCAGAGAGGACAGTGATGTCAGAGAGAGGGTGGGGCTGTGGTGATGTCAGAGGGGATACAGTGGGGCTGTGGTGATGTCATGTCAGAGGGGACATGGGGGCTGTGTGTCAGGGGGACATGGAGGGCTGTGGTGATGTCAGGGGGACATGGAGGGCTGTGGTGATGTCAGGGGACATGGAGGGCTGTGGTGATGTGGGACATGGAGGGCTGTGGTGATGTCAGGGGGACATGGAGGGCTGTGTGATGCTCAGGGGACATGGAGGGCTGTGGTGGGGACATGCTGGGGCAGAGGGGGACATGGGGGGCTGTGGTGATGAGGGACATGGGGGGCTGTGGAGATGTCAGGGGGGACATGGGGGGCTGTGGAGATGTCAGGGGGGACATGGGGTGCTGTGGAGATGTCAGAGGGGACATGGGGTGCTGTGGAGATGTCAGAGAGGATATGAATGCATTTATTACGGTGTGGTTGATGGTGAGGGTGGTGTTTGGATGGCTGGCTATGGGATGTGAAGTCCTAGAAGTTACAGGGCGATGTATATGGGAAAGGAGGCTGTGGGTGAGAGAGTTTTGGGGTCTGAAAGATGGACATAACCACAAACCTCCTACCTCAGGCCAGACCACCAGCTGTCACAGTGCGCATGCCCCGGCCGCCGCCATTTTAGTACACCCGGAAGTGCGCGTAACCCCTCGAGACCCCCATAAAGTGTCACCACAGAGCGTCCACCCAGGTTCCCACACAGAGGGGACACACAGCTGTGGGGGCAACATACCGCTCCAGGCTGGAATCACGTGGGAAGGTAAGTGATGCTGTCAGTCAGCTCCGCCCCCAGTGTCCTAATAGAGGAAACAATAACCAGTATCTGTGATTTATAATGGGTATTAATACTCACTGTGAATGGGGGGGGGTATTAATACTCTGTGCACACTGTGAATGGGGGGGTATTAATACTCTGTGCTCACTGTGAATGGGGGATAACCAGTATCTGTGATTTATATATTAATACTCTGTGCACACTGTGAATGGGGTCACTGTGAATGGGGGGATATTAATACTCTGTGCTCACTGTGAATGGGGGGGAATATTTAATACTCTGTGCTCACTGTGAATGGGGGGGGATATTAATACTCTGTGCTCACTGTGAATGGGGGGATATTAATACTCTGTGCTCACTGTGAATGGGGGGGGGGATATTAATATTTGGGGCTCACAGTGAATGCAGGGGGGGATATTAATATTTGGGGCTCACAGTGAATGCAGTATATTTACTACCACTGGTGGTATATAATGGGGGGGTTATTAATACTTGGTAATGATGATATCTGTAATTTCATAATACAGCATGCTGAGGTTCACTGTGATATCACTACCAGCCATCCTTCTGTTATGTTACATAAATGGTTAAACAGATAAAGGCTGAATCCTGACCCACAGGCAGGCTGGCTTTTATTTAGAGGTTTGGTAGAACTACAACGCCCATGATGCTCTGACAGGCTTTGGCATGATGGGAGTTGCTCTCTGTCCCCCCCTGTTGGTGGTTATTACGTCATTTTGGCGGGAAAGCTGAGGGGTTTGTCTGTCCACCTGCAGCACTGAGTGCTTTACACTGCAGGCAGGGCAGAACCTTTCATGTGGTGCCCATCACTCTGTGTCCAGGTAAACATGGAGGTGGCCTGGCCTGCTGGGCAGACTTTCACACTGGCTTTACCTGTTTTATCTCTGCAGAAATAAAAAAAAAATGAATTTTTAGTTGCAGCAACAAAACTTTACAAAATGTCAGACTAAATATTAATTTGCCTGTCAATGGGCTGGGCTAACACCTGTATTAAAATTAAACTTCAAGCACCATAACCACTACAGCATGCAGGGTGATCAGCTGATCTGCTCAGCCAATGAGCCAGGCCTGCACCCAGGTATTAGGAGCTAATGGAAGCTTCTAGAAAGAGCTTTGGCTCTCAGTACCAGCTGATATGGGGTGGGGAGCAGGGCCGGACTGGGAAGAAAATTCGGCCCCGGCATTTTTTAAATAACAGCGGCCCACAAAAAAGGGGGCGGGGCCAGAGAGGGTGTGTTTTGTCATCACCAATGACACGCACGCACGCCCCCTCTCAAAGTGAGCATGTTGGTTCAATGCTCTTCCAAGGCAGAGCTATAGCATGAGAAAAAAGGCCCTGTATTTGTTCTGCACAGCACAAGCAAATTTAATAACATGCTTGCACTGTGTTTGCTTGGAATTTGTCTCTGGTGTCTCCATAGATGGGATACCAGGAGACAAAAATGCCAGGAAAGAGTATTGTGTGTGCTGTGTGTGTGTGCAAGAGGGATGCTGTGTGTGTCAGGGGTGCAGTGTGTGTGTGTGTGTGTGTCAGGGGTGCAGTGTGTGTGTGTGTGTGTGTGTTTTGTGCGAGTGTCAGGGGTGCAGTGTGGGTGTGTGAGTGATTATATCCCCCCTCCTTACCTTTAGTCTGGGAGGGGGGATCCTGCTGCTGCTGCCATCCATGGTGGTCCTAGTGATGAGTGAACTCTAGCCTGTGGGGAGAGGTGTCATACATGATTGTTTCATTTAGAATTGTGTATCCCTGGAAAATCAAAAACAAATGGTATGACGTTCTCACCTCTCTGGGTAGAATTTGTCATTCTGAGATCGTCGCCCAGAGGCCTGGGAGTTTGAGAGCTCTTTGCAATATCTTAGCTGTTACAAAAACTGCACTCTACTGTACAGAGATCTCAGATGTCCCACCTGGACTCTGCTGTAGCCACTCTTCCAACTTGGATGTTATAGCCCATAGTGCGATCACAACTTTGACTATTGCTCATTTCACTTGCCACATCCTTTCTTGCTCCCTTTTCAGCCCTTGGTATTTGTCCATCTTTTCATGTTCAATCTCCTTAATGTCACTGGGTATTGTCTCATACGTTACTTTGAGATCTTTCGTTCGTTGGCCAGTACTTGCTTGCCTGTCTGGATCTGGAAGTCCCACAGGATCTTGAGAGGTTGCTTTAACAGATTCAATTGCTGCTGGTATGTCCTCTCAGTTGATTTACCAGGTTTAATTGGTGCTGGTATGTACTACATGGTTTACATTTGTATATAGGTATCCATTCTCTTTTTATCTGGGTTAATTTTGCTCAGTCTGCATATCCTAGATTGCTTGTTCCTGGTTTTGCTTGTCTATTTTGGTGAGAGCTTGCATATTGATTTGTATATGTATGACTACATTTATAATCTTATGAACATTGGTGATACCTGTTACGCTTGTACCTGTACAATAAAGTGCTTTATATTTTAGCTGGTTGTCCTCTTTGAGTACTATATTCTCTACTACAGGCTTCCCCAAACTCCGGCCCTCCAGATGTTGCTGAACTACAACTCCGATTATTCTATGAATGAAATAGGCTGAGAATCATGGGAGTTGTAATTCAGCAACATCTGGAAGGCCGGCGTTTGGGGAAGCCTGCTCCACTATGCCAACTTGGGGCACAGATGCAGGTTAGATGTGGGCATGGGAGATTCTTCCTACTCATTGATATATATCGATCTATTATGCAAATAGTAATTCCAGACAATGAGCTTTTGCCTAGACAGATGTTGTTGTATTTTTTGTTTTGTGTGTTTTAGAACACCAATTATCTAACAAGTGGGGGAGGGGGGCAGGCAACCCCAGAAAGTGGTGCGAGCAAGGTGTGAAAAGTGCCCTTGCTGTCAGTATACAATAAGGCTCTACAGGAAAATGGCTCCTGTTTACCAACACACCCACGTACCCCACTCAAGTGGTCCCTGTTTGCCACTACTTTCACTTTGCTTGTAGGCTTCCAAGGCTGTACATGGAAAGCAGGGGCCACTTTCTGGGGTTGCCGGGGAGGTTACTGGTGAGAAGGGGCCACTTTCCCAGGTTGCCTGAGTTCTTGTTGGATCAAATGCCTAAAATTACTTTAATGCATAATATATATTAATTTTTGTAATCTGCGTCCGTTAAAGGCTTACTTTCATTTAGACACTTAAAGTAATCTATAGGTTAGAATGAAAAAAAAAAGTGTGTGTGTGTGTGTGTCTGTGTGTGTGTGCAAATGTATGTTACTTTTGAAACTGATCCCTTTCTGCCTGCAGTATTTGCTGTCTGGCAAAGCAGTGGATGGTTGCAAAATGGTGAGCCCAGGTTGAGATAACCTTCAGAATGGGGGATTGGAAAGGTAGCAAGGGATTAAAGTTGATATTAAAGCACGGTATCATCTGCATTCACCACATTTTCCCATATTATTGAAACATACATGTATTAATGTTTGTCTTAATGACTTTCCTTGTTACACAGATCATTTTAATCACTTTAAATTTCTGGCAATGATTGTACCACCAAAAAAAAAGTTATTGCATTACCTGGTGCGCAGTGTGGTACAGTGATAAAAATTGTTAATCTTCTATAGGATGAGTGCCACAACGTGGAATTACTTCACTACCAGACAGAAGGTTGTGCTAACCATTGGCCTATCTGCAAGTGCTGCAGTGCTGTATGTCTACTATATCAAATACCGTAACAGGAAAGGTGAGATTGGCACCCAGGGAATAATCATTGCAAGTAACATGTTTAGGTATATATACACACAGTTGGGTCTAGAAATATTTGGACACTGACACAAGTTTTATTTTGTTTGTTTACGAAAAAAAAATTCAAGTTTCAGTTAAATGGTGTTGTGTGGGCTATTCCGTCATTATTTCTTCATCAATTAAGCAGATAAAAGGTCTTCTGGAGTTGATTCCAGGTGTGGCATTCGCATTTGGAAGCCGTTGCTGTGAACCCACAACATATGGTCAAAGGAGCTCTCAATGCATGTGAAACTGGTCATACTTGGACTGCATAAAGAAAAATCCATCAGAGATGGCAGGAACACTAGAAGTGGCCAAATCAACAGTTTGGTATATTCTGTCCAAGGAAGACAACAGTGGTAGGATCTTTTTCCATGGTAAAGAAAAATCCCTTCACAACATCCAGCCAAGTGATGAACATTCTTCAGGAGGTAGGCATATCACTATCCAAGCCTACCATTGTGCTTACTCTCATTTCTGGCCGTGTTCCTGCTTCCAGTCTCCACTCCAGTGGTTCCAATGCCGGCCGCTGAAGCCCGCCCTCTCTTATTGCACGTGCACGCCGACTGCATGACGCTAATGACACCATCACGTCGATGATGTCAAGGTCAGATTTGACCGGTTTGGGGGCGTGGCTTCCAATTTAAAGAGCCAATCTATAAAAGGCTGGTTCACACATAGGACCTTGCCTTGTTGTGGTTATTTTGTTAGTTCCCAATAGTGCTTTACATCTGGTTGTTCTATTTGGTATTTTGACTTTGGCTACCCTGACTACTCTACATTTTCCTAAATTGACTCTGCTCACGTACCTCAACTATCCTAATACCTGGTGTCCTGACTCTGCTTATATACCTCGTTTTCGTGATTTTTGTCTCCCTCGACCTTGGCTTGTTCTGTACTATTCTCTAGCTGTCTAACGTAGAGTCCGGCCACTTTATGGTCAACCATAAGGAGAAGACTTCCCTAGATCAAATACAGAGGGTTCACCACAAGGTGCAAACGATTCATAAGCCTCAAGAATAGAAAGGCCAGATTAAAACAAGTCATACCAGTTTTGGAACGGCATTCTTTGGCCAGATGACCTGAAGATCAACCTGTACACGAATGATAGTAAGAAAAAGAGTATGGAGAAGGCTTGGAACGGCTCATGATGTGAAGCATACCACATCATCCACAAAACAAGGTGGAGGCAGTGTGATGGCATAGGCATGCCTGGCTTCCAATGGTACTGGGTCACTAGTGTTTATTGATGATGTGACAGAAGCAGCCGGATGAATTGTCTGCTCAAAGTTGATTGGACAGTGCTATACTATACAGATGGACAACGACCCAAAACATACTGTGGAAGCAAGTCTGGAGTTTTTAAGGCAAAGAAGTAGAATATGCTGCAATGGCCAAATTAAGGTGATCTCAACCCGATTTGAGCATGCATTTCACTAGCTGATGATGAAATTTAAGGCTGAAAGATCCATGATCAAACAATTGAAGATAGCGGCAGTATAAGGCTTGGCCAAGCATCACAAAGGAGGATGTCCATGCAGTTATTGCCTGCAAAGGGTTCTTGACAAATTATTCAAAATTACATTTGAGCACCTGAAATAAGGAGACTGTGTATGGTAATGGTTGCAGTTCCATACAATATTTTTGTTTATCCCCTTAAATTAAAGCTGAAAGTCTGCACTTCAATTCTGTCAGTGTCCAACTATTTCCAGACCTAACTGTGTGTGTAATATATTCTCCTACACTTGTATGGTGGACTAAATGAATGTGTGAAATTAATTTTTAACGTTTCACTTCTCTTAAAGGAACATTAGTCACCTAAAAATTTTAGCTTAAAGGACCACTATAGGCACCCAGACCACTTCAGTTTAATAAAGTGGTCTGGGTGCCAGGTCCAGCTAGGGTTAACCCTTTTTTCTATAAACATAGCAGTTTCAGAGAAACTGCTATGTTTACCTATGGGTTAATCCAGCCTCTAGTGGCTGTCTCATTGACAGCCACTAGTGGCACTTCCGCGTTTCTCACTGTGATTTTCAGTGAGAAGACGCCAGCGTCCATAGGAAAGCATTGATAATGCTTTCCTATGAGACTGGCTGAATGCGCGCGGCTCTTGCCGTGCATGCGCATTCAGCCGATGACGGAAGAAGAGGGAGGAGCCCGGCGCTGCAAAAAAGGTAAGGGATCAACCCCTCCCCCCCTTAAGCGCCACGGGAGTGGGACCCTGAGGTTGGGGGCACCCTCATGTCACTATAGTGGTCCTTTTAATGAAGCTGTTTTTGTGTATAGATCATGCCTCTCAGGTTTGCTGCTCAATTCACTGCCATTTAGGAGTTAAATCCATTTGTTTCTGTTTCTGCAGCCCTTGTCACACCTCCCCTGGCTCTGATTGACATGGCCTGCATGAAAAAAGTGGTTTTACTTTCAATCAGATGTAATTTACCTCAAACAACTGTATCTCTTTCTCTGTAAATTGAACGTTAATCCCATACAGGAAGCTCTTGCAGGGTCTAGCAAGCTATTAACATAGCAGGGGACAAGAAAAATCTAAATTAAACAGAACTTGCAATAAAGGAAGGATACACTTTACAGGAAGTGTTTAGGAAGGCTGTGCAAGTCACATGCAGGGAGGTGTGACTAGGGTTCACAAACAAAGGGATTTAACTCCTAAATGGCAGAGGATTGAGCAGTGAGGCTGCAGGGACATGATCTGTATACCAAAACTGCTTCATTAAGCTAAAGTTGCTTTGTTGACTATAGTGTCCCTACTTATTTTTTTATTTTTTTTTAACATTCCAAAATGGACTGACATTTACTACCCTGTTATTTTTTTTTTCTTGTAATTGATGCTATAGCAATATCTGATTTACTGCTTTCAGTTCCCAAAACACCATGCCCTTCTGAAGGAAAAGATTTGGAGTGCCACATGAACATTTCACCCGATGTCTTAAAATTGATTGTAGGAAGAGAGGGCAACATAATGAAGAGGGTAAGACTTATTACATCATGATGTCGTTTTCACATTCATAGGGGAAACAAATGTTTGAATCTGCACAGCTTTATTTGCCATTGTTATAGATGCAGTGCATGTTGCATAAGCTCCTACTTGGTAGCACAGTTTTTTGTAGGTTTTACCTCTCCCTCTATTTTCAGTGGGAAGGCTAGGATAGAGTGAGGTTTTTCAGCTGTTGCTTTGTGCCTGCAGGCATCATTCTAGAAGTAGCCGATCCTAAGGATTTTTTTTATTTTTTTTTTTTAAATGCAATATCTCCAGCTTAAGGGGAGTATGTTATACTTACCTGAACCTATCCCTTATGGCCACTGTCCTGGTCCGCCTGCTGGTCGTCTTGAGCACCTGGTACGTCCTCTGCCAGGAGCCCATGTCAATGTTGTACTCTTGCTCAAGTGGAAAAGTGAGGTCTGTGGATGAGCATGGGCTCCTCCATTGATAGAGCATTTTTTTTCATACAGCCAGCACTACTAAGAGCAGGTGGAAATGACCAGATAAAGGTAGCTCCACTGTTGGTCGTTTTGTTAGGCACAGGAAAATTAATAAGACAAGCAGTCCCTACTTTGCCTTGGTATATCATTGGACTGTGTTGGAATTACAGTAAAGCACCTATGTAGCGCAAATTGCAAAAAAAACTTTGGCCATGATGGTAAGGTGTCAAAACACCCAGTGCATCTCGGTGTGCTGCATAGCTGCACACTGGTTATAGTGCACATGAGCATAAGGTGGATGGTCAGGTGCATGTGTCGTTTACCCAGGGAAGAGATGGTAGCAGGAAGAAGACAGGCCGACAGAGGCAATGTTATGCTCTGCGCAATGTGCTTCTGGGAAACATTGGATCCTGGTATTCACGTGGATGTTACTCTGACATATACCACCTTCCTAGATATTGTTGCAGATTATGTACACCCATTCATGGAAATTGTGTGACCTTTTTCAGCAGGATAATGCACCCTGTCACACTACAAAAATTGTTCAGGATTGATTTAAGGAACATGACAATGAGTTCATGGTGTTGCCTTGTCTTCCAAAATCCCCAGATCTCAACCTGATTGGGCATCTCTGTGATGTGCTGGAACAACATATTTGATCCATGGAAGCTCCACCTCACAACCTACAGGACTTAAAGGTTCTGCTGCTAATGTCTTGGTGTCAGATACCAAAGAATACATTCCGAGGTATTCTGGAGTCCATGCCTTGACGCATTAGAGCTGTTTTGGCAGCACAAGGGTGACCTACACAATATTAGGCAGGTGGTTTTAATGTTGTGGCTTATTAGTGTAATATCATAAAGAATAAACAAAAAAAAGAGAAAAATGGCATTCTACCTGTGTATGATTTACTGAGAAGATTGTAGGTTAAAAAGTAACTTTTAATGAATAAATCTAAAATAAAAATATAAAAAAGAAAAAAAAAATATTATATGAACAGCAGGAGTAAATGGAGACTATACAGCGAGTAAAACTCTGTGACTACTTATACAAGCTGTAAAAGTGTATACGTAATAACACTAATGCTAAAGCAATACCGTTTAGCTACAATATAACAGTGTATTCCCAAGTAATAAGTGATACTATATTATATATCACTAATAGCTGTAACAAGAGGGGGGAGATAAGACAACTGATAAACCAGTGCTGTCAATAGTTAAAAGATATGGATAAGTAAATCCCTACATGATAGTACAACTAACGACATGGGTTAACTCTACATACAATAATTGATGATGTTCTATGGTGCTTAACCTCGGAAAGATCAAAGATAATGGTTCAGCTAAGACAGATTTCTGACAGACGGCGATTAGCCAGTTAAATATCACAAAAGCTGCTTAGCTTATAGCAGCACTTTGATAATAAATTTAAAGGTTGCTGTCAAGCAGTAGAGTATAAAATAGTAGTCACAGAGTTTTACTCGCTGTATAGTCTCCATCTACTCCTGCTGTTCATATTATATTATTTTTCTTTTTTATATTTTTATTTTAGATTTATTCATTAAAAGTTACTTTTTAACCTACAATCTTCTCAGTAAATCATACACAGGTAGAATGGCATTTTTTTCTTTTTTTGTTTATTCTCTGATATTCACCATTTAGGGGTTACCCCCCTTTTTTTGTGCCCTCTACCTTGTGATATCTAAATTTTGGCCCTAGGTTAATCCTTTTTGTTTTCCTCGTATAATAATTATTAGTGTAATAGTTCTGCTTAAGCTACTGGAAAACATCCTGCCTATCCTGCAGGAGAGGTTGGATGCAGTGCAGGCGCCAAGGGTCCCTGTAAGTTGTCAAAATATATAAAATAAATTTGAAAAAAGTTTACGTAGTTACCCTGTTACAGCACCACTGTACGGGGTGCATGAAGTGTACCTTTCATTACTGATGATTTACAAGAGAACCACATTTAGTTTATACTGCCATGTTTGTGCTTAAAAAGTTGTATTTTATTTTTATTTACGCTTCAATATTTAGTCTTTTATACCACATTAACTGTTAAACCTTATGCATTTGCTGAGCCAGCTGTGTATACACAAAAATGGCTGAACTCTACAATATACCTTTTTAGATAAAACACACTTAAAATAAAGTATGGTGTGTGCGGTAGACATGGTATATTCTTTGTCTCCCTGCAGCTTCAGAAACAGACAGATGCCCATATTACAGTAAGCCATGAGCCAGACTATAAAGGAGAATATGAAATGACTATCACAGGCAGCTGTACTCAGGTCCATCAGGCCCAAGAAGCGGTGCACAGAATCATGCAGGAGTGTGCAGTCCTGCGATTGGAGCTCCTACTGCCTGCCAGGTGCTTGTGTCGCATTATAGGTGTGTCTCTCCCACCTCCATAAAACCTAAAATGTATAACTCCATAGTCAGGTGTCCTTTCTTTCTCTGACATACACATTGGGGGACTGTCATGCTGGATAGTCTGCTTGCTGTTTTTCTTATTGAGTGGAAACGTGTCAGCCATTGGGGACTAAATATATTGACGTCTGCTTTTAAAAGTGGTCACTCCCACAGAATAATGCAGAAAGAGGAGAAAAACAAGTTGTAAATAATGCCCAGTGTTCAAAGCAGTGTTATTTTATTGTAGAAAATACAAAAATAATGTAAAGGGAGAGGGGACTAAAAGGTTTTGATAGGATTATGGCTTGATTTCAACAGGGCAAGGTGGAGATAAAATTAGATCCATCAGTAGGAGCTCTGGGGCCAAAATCTGGTGTGAACCAAAGCTTGAAGATTCTGATCTTATCCAGACCAGGAAAATCACAATCACAGGAACCAAGGAGCAGGTGGAAGCAGCCAAGGTTTGTGCGATGTTTCTTTCTTCATAGTCCTAACAAAATAACTGCAATCCCAGCATAAACATCACCGCTATTTTCAATTGATTTCCAATAAACAGCTACTGATCCAGAAGATTTTAGAAGAGGAGGAAAGCCTCCAGAAGACCGCAGCCAAATCCTCTGCCTTCCGATGTCACAGGAAGGAAATCATTGCTGTGAAGAAGAAAGATGGACAGAAACCTACAGAGGACCAGATAGTTGAGCCGGATGAACAAAGGGCCATTGAAGGAAAATTGGACAATGAGACCAGAAAGGATGGCTCTTATGATGAGAGCCCTTGCAGCTCAGAAGTCACTGACACCACTTACAGTGTTTCCAAGTTTGAAGGTAAGGAAAAAAAAAAAGATATGAAAATTGGCGGGAGGTAGGGGTTAGCGGGCAGCACAGCCAAAAAGAGCTGATAAAGGCTTGACGTTCCTCTTGTTGGTGATACACTATTACAATAATAAACTATCCTGGTTAACTTCACTGTGCCATAAATATATTTTGCATAGAAAATGTTTGTGTTTTGTCTTTGGAAGTTTAGCAGGTATGTGTAAATGTACAAAGTACACGTTTTGCTCTGGAGATATTAATACTTGTTTCTCTCTATATATACAGTCCCCAGTCCAGATTTCAACTTTCGTGTAGACGAGTATGTTGATCTCTATGTCTCTGCCACGGAGAATCCTCAGCACTTCTGGATTCAGATTCTGGGTTCTAGATCATCACAACTGGACAAGCTGACTAGTGAGATGAGTGAGCACTACCAGAATCAGCAGGTAAATGCATCATCAGAGCCACCATGCAGTCCCTTGGGGCTTCCATACAACCAAGCTACATTTATTTGCATTTAGTTTTTTTACATTTTTCAATGTGATCTGTCCTGTGAGACAGGAAAGGTGAATGCCACTTGCAAAATGGAAAATAAAATTTACCATAAACATTTTATACTACTAGTTATTGGTAGTTGCATTTCATCAAGCTGAGTAGGTTCCCCACTCCCCCACCCAGACCACTTCAACACATTGTCCTTGTCCCCTTAGTCCTGCAATATAATTAATTGCAGGACTAAGACTGCCTCTAGTTGCTGTCTATCCAGCGTAGATTTCCGGGAGTTTACCGGACTCTGGGTCCCTTAACCCCTTAAGGACCGATAAAGATCCTGAACTGTCATAACGGTAATATTTACTTACCTGATTGCCGCCGTTCCCCCGGCGGCGATTGGCGTTGCTCCCAGTGTGGGGAGACTGCCTGACAGCCCAGGCAGTTTCCCCTCGTCTAATTAGGACCCTGTGGCCATGTGATCGCTCTAACAAAGCGGTCACATGGCCGCAATAGGCATCCAAGTATCTGCTTGCAGGGGGACTGCCTGACTGGTAGTTTCCCTGCATGTGTAAAATAAAAAATAGCTAATGAATAAAAATATAATGTCTGTGTGTGTGTATATATATATGCAATACAAAGCCTCAATAAGCAAACCAGTAACCAACATCATGCTGAGGAGTTGCATAAACAACGAAACAGCTGTCCATGAGTGGTTCGCTGGTTTTGCCTCTTTTCCTAAATTATGTTCCACGCAGTTGTATACTGCAAATACAGATTAAAAGGAATCCATGTTTTAAAATGAAATTAGGCAAAAATTTGATTCTTTGTTAAACTAATTTGCATATGCCCACCCAGAATCCTTTGCGGTTGAGAGATATATATATATATATATATATATATATATATATATATATTTTTTTAAATATTAAATTTTATTCTAACTGTATTTTGATACTAATATATAACAATAAACTTAGAATTAAATTATATATACAGCTATGTATATATCCATATACAAAATTACATAAATTCATAAATATACATGTAGACTTCAAATATATAAATGTGTGTATATATTTAAATTCTATGTGCGTATTTATGTAATATTTTTACATTCATTTTATTGATTGCAATTTGAGGGACCTGCCTGACAACCCAGGCCAAAAGTCCAGAGAATTGAATTTGCTAGCACTGTATTTAACCCTGTAACTTTCTATGACACCCTAAAACCTGTACGGGGGGGGGGTTTAATTTTTCACACACAAACTGCACTTTCACTGATATTGTTGTGACACGTTTTACGGTTTTGAAACTCTAATATATGTGTTAAGCAAAGTCTCCCGAGTATGACAGTACCTCCCATGTACAGGTTTTATAGTGGTTTTTGAAAGTTGCATGGTCAAATTTTTTTACATTACCCACATGATGGCATACCATTTGCAAAAGAAGACAACCCAAGGTATTGCAATTGGGGTATGTTTAGACTGGACATACCCCATATTGAATACCCTGGGTTGTCTACCAAAAAAAAAAAAAAAAAGTGTGATTCAGAGACTTATGACAGATAACAGTGTTACAATGTCACTATTGATACATTTTTAAAAATATATACTTTGAAACCGCAATTTCATATCTGTACTTATAGCCCTATAACTTGCAAAAAAAAAGCATGTCAACAATGGGAGTTTTTAAACTCGGGACAAAATTTTGAATATTTTTTTTTAACCGTGTTTTTTATTTATTTTTTTTTCCTTAACCTCTGTAGATGAATACAATATTTTTAGAGTAAGTCAAACATGATTTTTTTTATATTTTTATTTTTAGTAAATTATGACATGATTAGAAATAATGGTATGTAAAGAGAGCCATTTTTGTCCTGGAAAAACAACTGCACCTAACCCCCAGAATAAATAGACCGAAAGCAACCAAGACTATACAAACTGAACTAATATTGAATATCAATACGGAGTGAAACATAACTTCCACTTCTACAATGGAAATACTTTTATAATTATCATATAAAGTTTAAATGGTGTTTATTTTTTTTTAAATGCATATAGTGCAGCACTACTCACCACATGTCTTAAGCAAACACCGAAAGAGTGGGTTTAGGTCTTATACAGTTTGTAACACATTCTGCCCAAAGATCACCTCTTGAGATGAAAGGACACTAACTAAGGACACAAAGCCAGTGTTCACCAACGGTGTCTAGAGAAGACCATGAAGCAGCCTTACACAACTGTTTTAGAGATGCGTCTGCTCCCACCCCCATGATGTGGACAGTGGTGGAGAAAGTCCTGCTTGTTAATATTCTGCTGAAATGTAATCCTTTAATCCACAAGCGATGGTATCATTAGAAACATAAAAACTGTATTTATTTGGCCCTGAAATAGTACAAAAAGATGGTTGTACATATTTGGAGTGCATTTGGTCCTATTACATAAACACATCAACATGCGTTTTTTTTTTTGTTTTTTTTTATGAACAGAGGTCGATTGCTGAAATCCAAGTGGGAGACATTGTGGCTGCTACTTTTTACAATGACAAATTCTGGTACAGGGCTGAAGTCCAGGGATTCCTGGACAATGGAAATGTGGATCTTTATTATGTGGACTATGGAGATAGCTGGACGACCTCTGTAGAGAACCTTTTTCCACTTCGGTAAGTGGGTGACCAAGCAGATGAATATTGGTGGGCTTTGTAAACTTTTGTGGATGAAATACCTGGCTTGTTTTGGACCAAATGAATGTGGGAATATGTGAGATTGTAATCTGGTAGAATCTGTTATCCTAGTTTAGTCAATGGCCAATTTGGTAGATTAAAGTGCAGATATTTGTAACACTTATGGCCCCATTGTAGTAAATGTGATATTAATGTAAGAATTTCACTTTTGTACACAGTGTTCTCGTATTGTTAGACTCTTATACGTTTTATTTATGAATTTTCTCCCATAGAAGCGACTTCCTGAGCCTTCCCTTCCAAGCCATTGAATGCAGCCTTACTGGTATCACCCCTGTTGGTTAGTCTTTTTCTCTGTTTGAAGTGCATAAAGGTGGACGGAGGTTGGCATAGAAAAGGAACCTATATAGCTAGACATGGAATTGATGGGCATTTAGAAGGGAATTGCAAACTTCCTATTTTGCCGACACCATCATGTCTGTTTTTTGCACAGAACCTGGTTTATTAAATAATCCTGTGTGTATTTAAAATGTAATATTTGTTCCTTAAGTTGGTTCTTCGAGATGAATAAAGTTATTTTTACTTTATCAAACAAAGAAGTTTGGTCTATGTCCATGTAACACAACTACCTTATCTCTCGCTGAAACATGATTTTTCTATGACAGATGGTAAGTGGACCGAGATGTCATTGGATGTATTTGATGAACTGACGCATTGTGCAAAGTGGAAGCCATTGTGTGCAAAGATTTGCAGCTTTCCTTCTCCGGGAGTCTCTCGGTGTTTCCATATCCGGTTGTATGACACATCCATGGAACCGGTGAGAGCAAACATTTAAGCATAGCCTGCTGCACTGCAGAGTAAAGTGTTCTTAATTAAAATTTTCTTTAAGACCCTTTATAAGGAGCATGATGCTTTGTGGACAGAAGTATGAAAGCTTCCAACTCTTTACGTTAGAGGAGTTCACAAATCCTCAATTATTTTGTAAAACTTGGATAAATCTTACATTGTAAAAACTGTCTCTACCACTGAACTCAATATATTCTTTTATTACAGATTTTTTTCTATTTTTTTAGCTATTTGGTATAAAATTTTAAATTTATTTTTCAATTTTGGGTTTACTTAAATAATGTAAAGCTGTCACACATTCCTTTGGTTCCTTAGATACTGGATATAGGACATGAGCTGATCAATCAAGGATTTGCCATTGAACAAAAGGAGAGTTCCTTGCAAGGAGATGAGGAGGAGAATCTTGTGTCACGGCTCCTGGTGAGTCTGCTTGTCTGTATATAGGACCCTATCTCAAGATTGATTGATCTCAGTCAATCAATTGCTTTCCTGTGCTGTGCTAATCAAAGCAGCATTTGATTAACAGAGTCTGACTCTGTGTCTCAAGTGGCTGTCAGTAAAACAGACACTAGAAATGTATTTAAACCTGTATTGGTAACATTGCAGTTTGCGCAAAAATTTGTGGTTAAAACTTGGGCCACTGCAACCAGATCACTTCTCCAATACTACAGTGAGATTCATTTTAAAATGTTCTAACTGAATTTTCCTACTGGCGAATTTTCCTACTGGCGATTCCCTTATTTCAACAGACAACTGAACAGCAGCCAAATGGGAGTGAAAGCTTAGTAATAACTGAATTTGCCTTTTGCAATTGGCCAAATTTTTAACTAGCAGAATTGTAACAAATGAACAGCTTTTGAGTAGACCCCAACGTGGCTCTCATTCATGTTGAGCTTCTTATCCATTCCAGGATGAGGTCACCAGCCTCTCCATCGATCCCCAGTCTTTTAGTTTTTCAAGTCGGTTGGATGAGCAGCGTCTGTCATCTGGTGAGTATGATCTAATCAAGAGTAACTTATGGGTTTATTTAGAATGCCTGATGTGTTCCTTCTATCTACATTATTTCCTAAAAAAATCTATTTAAGAAAACAAACTTGTTGAGCACTCTAGCTTACTGAATATCCATTTGCAAACCTACAAAGCACATTTCAGTTGATGGCAAAATGTATGCTTATATAGTGAACAGGGGGATCTGCTGAGGTTTGAAGGGGGCAGAGATGGGAAGTGTTTGTTTGCAACTGCAGGAGACCGCTCTGCATTAATAAAGAGTGTGTCACCAATGCTGCAGAAATGTATGGAACTCCTTACTGAAATGTAGTGAGTGGCTTGCAGTGTTTTTTTTGGGGCTAGAAATTTGTCTTAAAAAGGTGGTTTAAGCAAAGTGGAATAGTGCTAAATCATTCAGTATGATCTTGTAATGTAACTCTTAACTACTGGCCCAATAGATGACTCCATTGAAATGATGCGTTCAGACAGGAACCTTGCTGTGAAATCCAGTAACTTGACTTATAGTGTACCATCCACTCCTGCGGCTTATTCAAAAGAGGAGGAAGAGATTGATGATCGCTTGGAGGAGACTTTTTCCAATATAAAGATAAGCTGCAATGAAGATGCCCTTTTGGTGTGTGGTTTAGATATCATGCAGTCCTCTGATCAGAATGCCAGCTTCCCCACTGATCATGAAAATAGTTTCAATTCACAGCCTACTCCCATGAATTCTTCTGTCCCAGAGGCTGGCCCCGAGCCGCCCACGCCTTCTGTCCCAGAGGCTGGCCCCGAGCCGCCCACGCCTTCTGTCCCAGAGGCTGGCCCCGAGCCGCCCACGCCTTCTGTCCCCGAGGCTGGCCCAGAGCCGCCCACGCCTTCTGTCCCCGAGGCTGGCCCCGAGCCGCCCACGCCTTCTGTCCCCGAGGCTGGCCCCGAGCCGCCCACGCCTTCTGTCCCCGAGGCTGGCCCCGAGCCGCCCACGCCTTCTGTCCCCGAGGCTGGCCCCGAGCCGCCCACGCCTTCTGTCCCCGAGGCTGGCCCCGAGCCGCCCACGCCTTCTGTCCCCGAGGCTGGCCCCGAGCCGCCCACGCCTTCTGTCCCCGAGGCTGGCCCCGAGCCGCCCACGCCTTCTGTCCCCGAGGCTGGCCCCGAGCCGCCCACGCCTTCTGTCCCCGAGGCTGGCCCCGAGCCGCCCACGCCTTCTGTCCCCGAGCCGCTTCTCTTCGCTTCTTTCTGTCCTCAGGCTGTCCCCGAAAGCCGCTTCGCTGCTTTTCTGTCCCCTTTGCTGGCCCTGGTGCCGCTTCGCGCTTTCTGTCTCAGCTTCGCTTGGCCCTTCGAGTCATTAGCGCTTGTCTCCTCGCCAGCCGCCTACGCTTTTCTGTCCCCGAGCCGCCTCAAGGCTTTCTGTCCCCGGAAGCCGCTCAAGGCTTCTTCTGTCCCCGAGCCGCTTCAAGGCTTCTTTCTGTCCCCGAGCCGTCAGCGCTTCTGTCCTCGCTGAAAGCCAGCTTCAAGGCTTTTCTGTCCCTTTGAGCCAAGGCTTTTCTGTCCTCTCGAGGCGCCGCTTTGTCCCCAGGCTTACGGCTGTTCTCGTAGGCGCTTCGCTAGCTTTCTAGCGTCCCCGGAGGGCGCTTCGCTGCTTTTCTGCCCCCGAGGCGCCCACGCCTTCTGCCCCCGAGGCGCCCACGCCTTCTGCCCCCGAGGCGCCCACGCCTTCTGCCCCCGAGGCCGGCCCCCCATCACAGTCTACTGTTTTTGACAGCAGCACCTCCAATGAACATAGCTCCCCATTTGAGTCTTCTGACAGCTCCATTGGCTCTTCTATGGAGTGCACAGTTTCCTCTGAGGGGCAGATCTCGTCCTCCTCTTTAGACGACAACAGTAGCCCTTGCTCACCCCGTGGCTGCTTCTATTATGTTTCTGAGAAGATGTCAACCAGCTCCATCTATAACAGTTCCTCTTGTGATATTATTACTATAAGTTCTGACAGTGAGGAGGAACCCGAGGACAAGACTGGCATGAGGAGGGCTGCAGAGGTTTATGGTATGCAATCATTTTGTACACTGTAATTTTGTGGCTGACTGGCACCTGGTGACCCTTTTCTGACCCCTTGGTGAAGGTGGGCCAAACCGAGCCAATGAATAGGTTTAGGAAACTGAAATTTTATCTGCTACCTGCATAACACAAAATCTAGAGTTAGCAGTATATTTGTATTGTGCAAAAAGTTGCATAAACTGAACTTGATCTTCAAAAATTTTGAGTATTTAATGCTGAGGTTCGGCAACACATATGTTTCTAGTGAAATGTCATTTAAAATACTTAAAGGAACACTATAGGGTCAGAAACACAAACATGTATACCTGACCCTATAGTGCAAAACCCACCATTTAGGTGGCTTTCCCAGCCCTTAAAGGTGAATCAAACTCACCTTATTTCCAATGCTGCACCTGGCGCTGGCCCGCCCCCTTTGTGACATCATCAGAATTGCCCATTTTTAGCAAATCCAATGCTTTCCTATGGGGATAGCATTGGATTTGCTAAAGTCGGCCGGGGGGGGGGCCGCGCGGCAAACACAGTTTTGGCCAATCGGCACCTCCTCATAGGGATGCATTGAATCAGTGCATCTCTATGAGGAAAATTTAGCATCCCTGTGGAGACGCTGGACGACACTGCTGCGTACTGTGCAGCACTGAGCTAGGAAGCCCCTCCAGTGGCCATCTAAGGAGTGAAATGTAAACCCTGCCTTTTCTCTGAAAAGACCATGTGTGCATGAAAATGCCTGCATGTAATTATACTCACCAGAACTACTTTAAGCTGTAGTTGTTCTGGTGACTAGTGTCCCTGTTAATAATTTGTACAGTTTTGTGTGTGTGTATACCGTTTTCCTCCAAAAATAAGCCGTATTCTCTAGTTCACTAATCTATGTTCGGGGGAATTTCCCTGAACGTACACATGCTTGCAACTGTTTTTCCCCGAAATAAGCCCTAGTGCAGGATTCCCCAAACTCCGGCCCTCCAGATGTTGCTGAACTACAATTACAATGATTGTATGAATGAAATGGATAGGCTGAGAATCATGGGAGTTGTAGTTCAGCAAAATCTGGAGAGGCAGAGTTTGGAGAAGCCTGCCCTAGTGTGTTATTCAGGGCAAAACTAAATCTAAAACCCGGTGTTATTTTCAGGGAAAGACTGTATATTTACATACACCGTATAGCCATGGTTGCTAACACTTCTTACCCAAAAGAGTAACTTTAATGGCAGCAGGAAGTTGATCCATATAGAACAGGTCTTTTGTGGCCCTTGCTGCTTTAGAGAGTATTGTTGTTCATACGTACTGTTCTACATAGGAGTAAATATTCAGAAGATTAGCTGGTCTTTTCTAATTTTTAGCTATAGACGGTTAGACCGTCACCGTACAGTGTGCTGGCCCGGAGGTGACTGCTCTTGTTAGTTGTAGAGTAACCTTTCAGCTTGGTGCAACGTGCAAACCGTTTAGGAGCCCAAAGAGTTTGTTTTCTGTGTTGGTTTCTAGATCTTTGATTTTAGAAGTTTGTTTAGAGAGGTCTCCCTGTTCCCTTTTTTTTTTTTTTTCAAAAGTAATTTTTTTAAGGGCTTCCCAAATGATTGGAGTGGGGACATGTATAGTAATATGATCCTTATTGAGGGTTATTAATTTGTGGTCAGGAAGTGATTTATTAATCTTGGCGGTCTGACTATGTGATTCCACTGTGATTGCATGAGCCTGTCTCCATATGTCGTGTTGGACAATCAACGCGGTGTTCTACTATAAGATTACAATTTCTTCCCAAACCCAGTATACTACCCTGATAATTTTTCCAAGGGTTTTATGCTGTAGTGGTTATTGTGCAAGGAGTACCCTGGCACTGTCCCAGGGCAAAAGATCAAAACTTACCTGGGGTTGTTTGTGTGTGTTTTTTTTTTTTTTTGTTTTGTTTTGTTTTTTGTTCGTTCCAGCTTTTTTACATCAGTTTGTGGTGATGATCTGACATGCACAAATATTGTGATTTATAAAAAAAAAAAGCATCCAGCATGTTTTGCAGAATTTATAAAACAACGCCTCAAGGTAGAAAATGTTTACATCTTTATTCTTAATGTACAAAATCATAGTTCCTAGTTGATATTATGATCGACGTGTACTATTTATGAGAGTGATATTAATTCCTACAAACAAACCGTTGGGGTTCTGTACAGAGGATTTCACCATGACATCATAACAATAATACAATCTCTTCCGGGTGGCAAAAGCCAAAGTGTTCTCCGATTGAAAGCTGTACTCTGCTTATAGAACTGCTCGGACTGGAGGGTCTCCTCTCACAGGTCCAGTGCTGGGTGTCTGTGTGAGTGGTATGTAGGGCGGGTGACTTATCATTGGAAAAGCAGCTTGTACTGGAGATTGAATGCTAAAACCATATGGTGATGACATGTTAAATACAGCTGGGGCAGGGAATGTCATGATGTCTATTGTGAGGAGAATGTCAGTGGAAACCGCTCGCGTTCTGCACCCCGGAAGTATATTGGTGCCTATTATTTACAAACCTTCTGAAATGCTGTACTGACACAGTTTAAATATGGGCCACTTACACACTGCCCAGTAGTATCCATTACAAGGCCCTAGTCCAGTTGCCTTCTTACATTGCATACTATATTTGTTTGAGTCATATGTTTTATGTTTGCTCTTTGAATGTGTTCTTGACATGCTTTTACCCCTCTAAAAAGATCAGCAAAACGAAAAAAAAATTTGAATAGTGTCCTTGAAAATGCCCACCTAATATTATGGCTTTATAGAAAGGTAATGTTATTAATGTGCAGCCTAATTAAGATTTCATTGTTGCAACTGTGTTTAACACAAGTGATATGTGGTGCTTTTATTTCATTCCATTTTTATTTTTTTTTTAAATATATTTATTTATTTTTTAAAGAAATTCTTAGATTTGGGTTATTTAAGGTAATCTATGTATTTTAAATGCACATTTAATGATAAAGATTTGTTGGTTGACCTCAAGGTACCACTTGGTAGAATAAATCCTGGTTTAGTTTGGCTCACTGATTACTTGTACTGTCTCTACACACTCCCACGCTCCATCCTGACTATCTAATCACTCTTCTTTCCTGCTCTGCTAATCTCCTGTATGCTTAATTCCCTCTGTCCAAGTGTCTAACCTTCTGGTTTCTCCGCAGAAGTGCTTATAAGCTCAGGGAGTGAGGATGATGTGATTTTATTGGAAGACCACGCATAAATCTCCAAGCCGCCTGCCTACATCATATATTGCCATGTTGCACGTTGACGTTTCCAATGTTTACAAGTTGTATATATTGTGTCTGTTTAATAAACGTTAATTTAATCTCTGACATAGGAGCGAGTGGCTACTTATTGGTCTTTATTGATTTAAAACATAACCTTGCTTGGAGTTCTTTCGATTGGGTACGCCATGAATATGTGGTTCTTGCAGGATAGCATACATCCCTTCCCGGGCATTACAACTACAAATCCCAGGTAGCTAAATGCTCGTAGAAACTGACCTGTCCAAGAAATACAAAAGTTTATTTACAAAAACCAAAAATAATAGTGAAGGATTTTCTAAGGGCAGATATTCTCTCATTTTTCCTGACCCTTGTACACCAGCAAGAGGTCTTTGTGTTTCTGTTGAGATATCTGTCCGTTAAAATGTTTCCCCCTTTAAAGCAGTGACAGAATGTCTATGCCACTGCAGGTCTTCACACTTAATTCTCAATATAAACTTGGGTATGGTGCCACGGCTTTCTCTGAATCTGCAATATATGGAAATCTGCTGGCCATTTTGCTATTTTAGTAATGGATATGCATTGAGAACTGTTATGGGAATTCTCATGGGCCAGAGAATGAGTACATAAAGGGTTATCCGGTTAATTTACCAAAATCCGATTGGAGCAAAAACATGTGGCTGTATACAAGGAAATTCGGACATTATCATGCAATTTAGAAATGTGCTGATTTTTGTCATTTAGGCCCTGAATGCTGCTGGATGCCTGAAATCTGGGCCCACATGTTTAAAATACTCGCCCATGTTTTTTTTTTTTTTTTTTTTTTCCAATACCATTAGTCTGCTGGCAGCACTATCGGCCAGTGGGGCAAATAGCTGACAATCATAAACCCTCAGCAGCATCAGGGTTAATCATGTGGTTGCTGATCAGCGCTTGCTAGCCAGCTGCAAGTAAAAAATTAATTTAAAAGCCAAATTAGGTCAATAAGACCCCCCTTATTACTATAAGAGAGTCAGGAGGACATGTCATGAATCCTTGGTTCTGTAGAGAACCTATAGTTAAAATAAGTAGGACACTGCATTGTCTTTTTTTTTATTAGGAGCCGCATTGTAATGGAGGCAAATAATATCCTTGGTTCTCAAAGGACCCTTCTGGGATCCATAACCACTTCTTCATTCCAGTGTACTAGGATATGAATTTCACATGAAAACTTCAACGAATTAGTCAAAGCATGCAGAGATTGTACCAATAAAAGGAATTATTTCATGTCTGCAAACCTTGTCTGGATAATCTAAGAGAAGTAACATTTCTTTGGGGACTTTTTTAATCAAATTTTGTTTTAAAAACATCCAGTTTCTTTATCCTGTTATAAAGGATAATATGTTGGTGTTGAGGTGTATTAACAAAATGGTTGTTTGAGTATGTGTCTTATAATACATTGTATGTTTTCACTATAAGAAACGTGACTGGATACAGTCCAGCACCAGCAAGATACTTTGGGCTGGGCTAAAACTGGGTGTTCAGCTTAACTGCAGAAACCAGTATTGCAGCTTTAGGGTTGGTGGGTGGAAGAATAATATAAGTTTATGCAGTTAGGAGAAGTTTGAGAACCTAATTGATGTATCACGTACAAGAGAAATCACAATGTGACCCCCACTCTTACATGTTCTTCTGCAACCACCCATGATTCTGTATGTTAGTCTTGAAGGAAATTATGGGAGTTGTGAAAATCTTGTAGTTTATTCTGAGGTCGCGGTAGAGAATGTTGATTTACCTCTGTCCTTTTGCTGTTTGTGGACACTCACAAGTACCGAATTCACATTCATCTTAAGCTCTGCAAATTCTAAGATGGCAGTCAGACTGGAAATATAGAAATACAAGTTAAACATGGAAGAATACAATTAGCTTAAAAGCAAGTGCTGGAATAAAGATCATAGCAGCGAAATGAGACTCATCTAATCAAGGCCAAGCTTAGCGGACTCATGTTCCAATATATACTACAGGTATTACAGCTGAGCCATTGCCCACTGAGCCATTGTGTCACATGTAGACAAAGCTTCACTTAACAAAGTTCGACATCAAATTTACTTTAACTACAGGTTTCAGATAAGCTGCCATTATAAGATAAACTCTATCATCCAGCGTTACAGGGTGAAGCTTGCATTTACTGACAGTCCATCTAAGCCTAACAGGGTTCTTCACAGCTTTCTGCGAAGAAGCTGATGTTGCGTTTCATAAAACTATGGATGGAGCATTGTCAAAAAAAAATGGTACCAACACAAGAAATCCCAGCAACTTGTACAAATACATACAACCAAAACAACATAACTTGCCACGATATTCTGTTTTGTTCCAGTATGACAACTTACGTGGGGTCTGCCGGGCATCTTTCTAGTTGATTCCATTATCGAGAGTTGAAAACATCTACATGGAGCTTCAGTTCACTTTCTGTGCTAAACTGTCGTGCAAGGCCAGCTCATTGGCTGAGAGCGGTCACTCTCATCCCATTTAAGGTTTTGCTCAACGCAGAGATATTTCAGCTCTCCTAGAGGAGTTGACAGATACCTGGCAAACCACATGTAAGTTGTCCGCTGTTGGCAATCAGTTGACTACTTACATTGGGAGTGTGCCAGAATAATCCTGGTACCATAACCACTGCATAATTCCTTTAAACTGAATTTTTGGAATTTACCAAGGAATTGCCAAATTAAGGCTGACAATTGCCCTTCTTCTCTAAAAAGAAAACGTCATGTATTTCGAGTTTTTGTCTAGAAGAGCCAAACAATGCTAAGCTGAGATAGACTTTTAAAATGTTCGGGGTTTTTTTCTCTTTACTTTGCCATTCAAAGGGAGTGTTTTTTTTTTTGTTTTTTTTTGTTTTGTTTTTTTCCTCATGAAAAAATAGATTTTCTTGTAAACTTTATCATTTAAAAATAATAGCAAATCACATAATCCATTACAGACCAGGCAAAACTAGGGAATCGTAGCAAATAAGGAAGTAATCGTAACACTGCAGGTTATGTATCAAACCGTATTCTGATCTGAAAAGCGGCACAAAGATTTGAAAGTGGCAGTCATCAATGGAATGTGACTGCTGGTTTCTATGGTGACTCTTCTTCTTATACTCTCTGACTTCCAGGTACAAAGGGCAGAGCTTATAATAATGATGGACCGGGAGTTGAGATGGAGTTGCCCAGTTACAGGACATAGATGCGTGGATTTGTGCATTTCAATTTTTTATTTATTTTTTCACACCAAGAACATATTTGTTAAATGTAGGGATAATTAAACATACTGATATAAATTCTGGCAAGCAATACACCCTCCTGTAATTTTCTATAATTTGGAGTTCCGTGGATAGCCCTGTGTAAGGTTTTATTCTCTTGGCTAGGAATTGTGGAGGATTTATAAAAGGATTGCAAATTTGGACAAATAACCAAATTGGAAAAATACTGCAGTTTGGTTATTTTTGCCTAACTTTTATTTTCTTAGAAAGTTCTCCATTATTTCTGGTGCATTTAAAAAGCCTCCTAAATGTTACATGAAGCTGCGGAATATTCCTTTCCTTCTTGTTGGTTTTGCATGTTGTATCAATAATTACTGTCTATATCTTCCAGTTATAAAATATTTTTGTGCTTTATAAGTACTTGCATCCCATCCCCCCGCCCCCCTTGTTTAAAATGGAATGGTATGCTATATTTGAAAATAATCAAAAGTTTACCGTAGGCAATTTCATCAAGACGTAAAATTAATCTGTAGCCCTCATTCGAGTCACATATAGCCCACTTCTTCAAAGGCTTTCCAAGAGGTTGCAGAAAAATTGGTCGATGTTATCAGGTGTGGTGGTTTTGCTGTATATCCTTCTAGATAAAATTTTTCAACATTTTGAAGTCTGACTCCCAACAGTCACCCAGTTTTTGCTTTGCTCTGTGTTAGCTTATCCAAAACATTCTAGTTACCAGAATTATCTCTCAAACTAGACTACAACACATATACCGCAGCTTGAATATACAATGCCAAAAGTTGGAAGACCACTAACCACTGTGTCTCCTACACGCTCTTGAGAATTTGTTACACTAGGGAGAATCTCATGGCCTTTCTTATCAATACTCAACCTCATGTCCAGCAAACCAGAGATGCCTGGAAAAACGTGTTACCTTCTCCTCCCTCTATCCATCCGTCACACCCAACTTCTCCCTACTAAATATCTCAAACTGTTTTTAGTTCTCTTTGACCTAATTTATACAATGGTCTGTCCTCTATTGAATTCTTCTTATCTTCAATTCCCCACTGTTTGAGGTATGCCTGAAGTTCCTTCTTTTACAAAAGATCTGAAGTAAACAACTTCAGATTAATATATGTTATTGTTTGAGGAGCCATCAATAGCTTCTTTATCTCTGTTAAACAATTATAAGATGACACGTTCAGACCCTATGCCACATTCATTTGTATTGTGCAAATATGCAATAGAAAGAGTTTGAAGAAAACAAATTACTAAATAATAATACAGTCTTTAAGTGTATCTGTGAAGTTAAAATCACACACTGGCACTTTAAATGGATTTTATTCACCTATGCATTACACTTCTAAATGTATCAATATGGTTTTGTGTGTGGTTTTTTTTTTTGGCCATGGGCATTGTGGTGCGTGTGAAATCTCTTTGTCCACACTCACCTTTCTTGACTATGTTCCAGCATCTTTTCTGGAGAGTTAATTAATAATTGTTGGATGGTCATTATTCCGTGCACAAGAATTTCATGGCTATCTTGCTTGTGGTGGAATTCCAGAAGGGCAGAAGGACCTGAGATAGGGGCGTTGGAGAATACTAACAACTTATCATCCTGGGGGGAGTAAGGAGAAGAAAGTGAAAATCCAACAATTAGTAAATCCATTCATAAAACAGGCCTTAAATACAAAGTCAGAAAGGTATTTACAAAAAAAAAAAAAAAAACAGGTTTAAACAAAACACTGTGAGAGTTCTTAACAAAGAACAATATTGAGGCAATATTGATCTACTTGTGTTCCTACTGATTGATATATATATATATATATATATATATATATATATATAAACTCTGTGCCTCAGTATTTCTCTTTATTAAGTGGTGAAGAGAAATCTGGAAAAGGGCTGCTGATTACCGAATAAATCTGTTTTAACTCTGATCGCCCTTGCTCAGTCCTCAGTTGACTCAGCTCAGGAATGCCATGGGCAGCAGTGGTGCCGGGAGATCAGATGCCCGGGAGAAGGGGGTAACATTCTAAAAAGAGCAAAGAAAGAAAAACAATTGATAAAGATAGATATGACCAAACAATGAACACCGGACAGCGGAATTCAATGATCTATTTTATCGAGTTTTGTTTATATTTATCTAAGAAAACCATTAGATAACAAAGAAAGGTTCATATAGTCGTTAAAGATGAATTGTGGACTTGACGAAAAACAAAGTAGAGTATAAATCCTCTGAGCATCAAAACATGAATTGTGCCCGGCTTACTCTGCTGGGATTTAGAGAGTTGGAGAATTTTTCAAATTGGCAGTTTTGGTCTAAAAATTGTAATGTGTAATCTGTGCCTTATTCAATTTTATTTATTTTGTTTTGCCAATCTGGGACGTGTAAGTTAGTTTCTATGCAGTGGGAAAATGTGGTCAGTCATCTGATTAAAATAGCCTTCATTGCATTTAGGAACCGACACAACGTATACGAAACTCAGCCAGTCACAAGATGGTTGGCATTAGTCAGGACGAAGTTAAAAACATTTAAAAAAATCCTCACTTTGTAAGCAGTCATTGTCCTTGCAACTAGCAAGTTTCTTACCTATTGGTGCAATGTATCAGAGGGAGATTGTCCAGCGGAATCTTAGGAAGACAATAAGTAGACTGCGTAGCAGATGCCAATGGAATTTTAAACATGGAACAGGCTGGAGATTCCCTCCCTGTCCAGAGGTCTCGCTTTAGTCTTTGGATGGAGCCTGCACATAGCAGTGTGAGAGTCACATCCCACTTGTGCACAGACTGATAACTTTGTGGAGGTTATCCCCAGTCATGAGATATCTGATATGATCACTGACGTCATAATGTACTCATTGAAGGGGGCTTTTAAGTGAAACACAGATACATCATGTATAGAGCTGGTTGTGTGTACATGATCTGTTCCCGATGTAATCCACTAGCCAGGTTAATGTATATATCAAAGGACTGTAAAATAGCAGTTTTATTTTGGGTTTTTTTTAGATCTCAAAAGTGTATTGTAATTTAAAGGCCCCATAGGATATTTAAGGTTGTGGGAGGCTAGCAAGTGCTGATCAGCCACCACTTAAGTAGCCCTTGTGCCACCAGGTTTTTTTTTTAAACTATTTAGCTGTTGGCTGCTAACACTGCCGGCAGGAAAATAGCTCTTCAAATGATCAATTCACTTGCAAATAACATGTGGATGATAATTTGGGAATGTGCATCCTGCTGGAAGCATTCAGTTCCAAATTTTGTTAAAATAATTTTTTTGCAAAAGCACCATTTTTTATCCACACACCAAGTGCATCCGGACAATTGCTTCAAATCCAGTTGTACTGACCGGATTCCGGCTAGAAGTGGCTTTTGTAAATCGGTAAATTGTTAATGCGGTCAGATTTCGGTCATTGTCCTTGGATTTTCATGGTTATTCAATAAAGTGAGAAAGCAAAGTGCATTTAAAGAGAATTTCAAACTTCAAGCCAGATCAGTCAAACTGAGAGCATAGATGACTAAAAGGTTTTTAAAGTTATTATTATTTATCAAGCGACAACAAGTTCCATAGCGCTGTACAATGGGTGGACTAACAGACAAGTATTTGTAACCAGCTGAGTTGGACACACAGGAACAGAAGGATTGAGGGCCCTGCTCAATGAGCTTACATGCTACAGGGAGTGAGGTATAGTGACACAAAAAGGTGTAAGGGTAGGGTAGAAACGTAGGTTGCTAGGATAGTGTTCATTAAAGGCTCAGAGTTCTGTAAAGTGAGCCTTACTATTTTGACCTTAAATTTAAGATTCTCTTTAAATTCACTTTGAATTCTCACTTTTGTGAATAACCTTGTTTGTAAATCCAGTGTTTTGTTAATAACCTTGAGTGTGTCTTCAACACATGCTCCTTGTGTGCCCATATACCAGATTCAAATATAAAACAAAAAACACCACACCAACATCTATAAGAAAAACGTGACATGCTAGGATTTCTGTTTCCTCCAGAGTACAACACTCACACCCTTAAAATAAGAATTCTAACAGGATTATTTACTAAAGTGAGAAGTGTCGTAAATAAACTGTGAATTTAAAAATTAGGGTAAAAATAACTGAAAGAGAAATTTTTTCCAAGGCAACTAAGCTTCCAGTTCAAGTGTTTTAAATTGACTTTTAATTCACTTGAAATTCCTGATAATTCAGTTTTGTGAATGATCACGTCAGACTGGATTTATATCTTTGGTGTCTGTAGGCACAGAATTTTCACTCACCCCTAATTATGCCCCAAAAATCTAAGGTCTGGTCATACATATATTTATCAGGATGTAGGTGGGGAATCGCTAAATCTACAGAGTGAACGGGTGTGCAGGCTCTATAAACATCAGGACAATTCATTAATAACTGGAATGGCATAAATTAATGTAGAAAACACTGGATAAGATAGTATCCTATGTTACATTTCCCAAAACATAAACTTTATATTAATTACAAAAACTATACAGTCGAGCGCTATTATTCCCATTATATATATTTTTTTGTGGTTTACATTTTTTTTTGTTTTTTGGGAAATTTCACATATCAATGAAGTAGCGGCTAATTATAACAATATTGCTTATCTATTGATTTACATAGTTTTTCTTATTTTGTAAAGCGCTGTGGAATAAGTTGGTGCTACAACATTAATGCCAATAATAAATACACAACATTCTTTTTTTTTTGCGTTTATATTAATTACAGTTACACAGATCTTACATAGACCTGGTGGTATCCCTGAGGCTGTCTCAATCAGCAGTGACTCCAGTCTGATGTCTTAAGAGTCACACAGGATTTATTAATGAATATATTAATGAATTATATAAGGAGGGCTGTTGGGTTGATAGTAAAGCTATAACAGTTTGTAATGAAGGGTCACTGGGTTTAACTCTATTGAAATGATCCAGATTAGAGAAATTAAATACACAGACAGCACTCAACACTGGAAAACTACATTTCCCTAGACTGACTGTTACTGTCAGGTCACATGACTGGCCATGTGACTGCTGTTGCCGCTCGCTGATTGGCCGGCGCTGACCGCACATGTTGTCCTTGGGGGTGACAGGAAGTAGTAGCTGAGGATGCTGAGTGCGAGCTGCCGCTTGCTCCCCCGGGGGGTCCGGGATCTGCTCAGCCTGGGGCCCCTCACTGTGACTCCGAGCCGGGTGAGTTCCACAATGTGTGTCTATAAATCGCTCAGTGAGTCAGGAGACTAAGAGAGCCAGGAGACATGCCCACTCAGAGAGCCAGGAGACATGCCCACTCAGAGAGCCAGGAGACATGCCCACTCAGAGAGCCAGGAGACATGCCCACCCAGAGACCCAGGAGACATGCCCACCCAGAGAGCCAGGAGACATGCCCACTCAGAGAGCCAGGAGACATGCCCACCCAGAGAGCCAGGAGACATGCCCACCCAGAGAGCCAGGACATGCCCACCCAGAGACCCAGGAGACATGCCCACCCAGAGAGCCAAGAGACATGCCCACTCAGAGAGCCAGGAGACATGCCCACCCAGAGACCCAGGAGACATGCCCACCCAGAGACCCAGGAGACATGCCCACCCAGAGACCCAGGAGACATGCCCACCCAGAGAGCCAGGATATGCCCACCCAGAGAGCCAGGAGACATGCCCACCCAGAGAGCCAGGACATGCCCACCCAGAAGACATGCCCACTCAGCGACCCAGGAGATATGCCCACCCAGAGAGCCAGGACATGCCCACTCAGAGACACAGGAGACATGCCCACCCAGAGAGCCAGGAAACATGCCCACCCAGAGACACAAGAAACATGCCCGCTCAGAGAGCCAGGAGACATGCCCGCTCAGAGAGCCAGGACATGCCCACCCAGAGAGCCAGGAGACATGCCCACCCAGAGAGCCAGGAGACATGCCCACCCAGAGACCCAGGAGTCATGCCCACCCAGAGAGCCAGGACATGCCCACCCAGAAGACATGCCCACTCAGCGACCCAGGAGATATGCCCACCCAGAGAGCCAGGACATGCCCACTCAGAGACACAGGAGACATGCCCACCCAGAGAGCCAGGAAACATGCCCACCCAGAGACACAAGAAACATGCCCGCTCAGAGAGCCAGGAGACATGCCCGCTCAGAGAGCCAGGACATGCCCACCCAGAGAGCCAGGAGACATGCCCAGTTAGAGACACAGGAGACATGCCCACCCATAGAGCCAGGACACAGGCCCACCCAGAGAGTCCTGGGTCTCTGAGTGGGTATGTCTCTTGGATCTCTGTGTGGGCATGTCCTGGGTCTCTGGGTGCCCACTCAGAGACCCAGGACACATGCCCACTCCTTGTGCTGGGTAATACATGTCTTATGGCATTACCAAAAGGATTTCATTACAAGTGAATGAAAGGGAAATTATACTTCACTCGCACTTTACTGTGGTGCATGTATATCAGTCAGACTACACTTAGTATAGTAGGTTAGCTAAAATGTGTATATTTTCAAGTGCTCACAAATGATTTAGACACACAGTCTGTGTGGCAGGGTGATTGCTTGTTCACACAGTCACTGTGTCTGAATAAGAATGCATTTGCTGTTTGTGTTCGTTCAGGCAGTGTGAGTGTCGGTACATGCAGTCTCTGTGGCAGGGTGAGTGTTGGTTCACGCACTTGCTACAGGAATGTGAGTGTTGGTTGTGGCAGTGGCAGGGTGAGTATAGGTTCATGCAGTCACTGTAGCAGCATCAGTGTTGGTTCATAATCTTTGTGGCAAGGTGAGTGTCGTTTCACTCAGTTGCTGTGACGAGGTGAGTGTCGTTTCACTCAGTTGCTGTGACGAGGTGAGTGTCGTTTCACTCAGTTGCTGTGACGAGGTGAGTGTCGTTTCACTCAGTTGCTGTGGCGAGGTGAGTGTTGATTCACATAGTTGCTGTGACAAGGTGAATGTCGGTTCACGCAGTTGTTTTGACCTGGTGAGTTTTAGTTTACATAGTCGCTGTGGCAAGGTGAGTGTTGGTTCACACATACTCTCTGTGCCAGAGTGAATATAGGCTAATGCATTTGCTGAAGGGTAACTAGGTTATATGGCAGATTCAGATTTTTCCATTGCATACCCTCCCCTCAAAATAAATAAATAAAATGTAAGAGGTACACTTCAAGGGCATCATAATACCTACAGGTTCTTGTTGTGTATTTATGGTGCTAGGAGCTCATGGGTGTATTCCCTCCAGTGTATGTCAAACCACTATAGGCACCCTGACTACCTCATCTCATTGAAGTGGTCTGGGTGCCATCTCCCAGTCCCACTTCATTCTGCAATGTAAACCATTGCACCTTTTGACTGCAGTGATTTAACCACCTGCAGTTTTTAAATCAGAAAGCCACTAGAGGCTCTTCCTCCCAGCGTCCGTTAAATCCTTATAGGACAGCATTAAAGCAATGCTTTCCTATGGTGAGGGCCTTATGTGCGCATGTGATGTCGGAGGAGGTGGAGCACTGACCCAGCGCCTAGGGAGATCGGCACTGGAATCAGGTAAGTGTTAAAAGGGCTTCTAACCCTTGCAGTGGTGAGGGGGAGTGGCGGGACAGAGGGAACTATCGTGTAAGGACTACAACTTAGTATTCCTTACACTATAAAGTCCCTTTAAGTGGTTTGAGTAAAGAGAGGTTTCCCTGGCATACGAAGTACAACACCTAAATAGGAAACATCATGAGGATGTTTAATTTCTCCATTATTCTTTCAATATTTGTATACCACATAACCGATTCAACCTGGATTGGTCTTCTCCTGTTTAATGGGCACGTTGAATGTTTGTTCTTCCATGTGATACGGCAGGATAATGAAATGTTGTCTCATTGAGCAGGGCCCTCAACACCGTCTGCTACTGTCCGTCCAGCTCGCCTTGTTACAAATACATGTCTTTTAGTCCACCTATTGTACAGCGCTACGGAATTTGTTGACTCTTTTTATAAATAATAATAATAATATACAGGATCCAGTGGAAGAGGTGAGTATCAGTTCTTATACTCACTATGGCAGGGTAGGTGTCTTTTTCCTGCTTACTTCTTCCATAGGGCATAGTTTTAGAGAAGGAAAGTGGCAATATATGTACATTTCAGGATACCTTTCAAGTATCAGCTGCAAAATAGCACAATAAAAAGGTTAAGCAGAGTGCAGTATCATTATAGTGCTGTTTTATAAGAGTGACTTCTATACAAAGCACTGCTGTGCCATTACAGCACTTCATTACTCATTTTATATCATTATGTTGAAAGGGCACCGCGTTGGCCATTTTTAAATTTTTATTTAATATCAGTCTTCTTGAGTTTCATGGAAGAATTACGGTATGGTAGAGTAGTCACAGCACGCATTTAAACGGTACTAGCCATCTGTTTGGGACTAATAGTTGTATCCCGTACGTGTCTAGTTTGGCTTATAACTGCTCTGTTATAGTAGGCTACATAAAATATAAAAGTAAGATAAAAATCCTGGGTTATGAGAAAATCAACAGCTTATTAACTAAGGCATGTTCACGTAAGGAAAATAAAATGGATGTAGCGTAAGCAAAGGTTTTGAATTGACAAATGTGTAAACCACATAGAGGCTAGTAAATTCGGGTTTGCTTTGATGCAGAGGCCCAAGGTAAAGAAGGAAAATAACAAAAGCACTCAAAGCACTTCCAAAAATTGACAGTCATCCATGGAAGCGATGCCAGATACCTCGGTCACTGTTCCCAACGCCCTATCCAAGCAGATATCCACTGGCGTGGATCGTGTGAGAGTTCAATCCCTGAATGACTTTGAGCCTCGGTAGGCCAAACTGCTAAGTAGTGCTGTATAGAGTGATGTATGTGCCTGGCACGGGGTCTTGTAGTCTGCAACCTCTCCACTGATCATCATTAACTGGACAGTAAATATTAGCTAATGGAGCTCTCTGCTCTGGAAAGTGGTGTAGGACTGAAGCACTGTTAGTAGCTGGCCTGGTACCAGGTAAGATGAGCTAAATCGCCCTCTCCTCACGCATCCTCCAAAAAGTAGCACAAATCTAATCGTATGCCTTGAGAAAGACCTCTTCCCACCTCTGCTGTTTCTCTATTGCTAGTGGATGTAGTGATGCAGAGATAGGTCCCATCTTGGGCAACTCAGATTGTTGCTGCTCAGCAGCCAGCTCTGTACCCAGAGTAGAAGGGACAGAGGATAACTGTGCTGGTGGGGTCCGGAATATCCCCTTCTGGCCCTAAGGGGAGGGGAGAGCAGAATAATTGTTTAGTGATCTGATGGAGAGCAGGAATCGGCCGCATCCCCAGCCGCGAGTGAATGAGCAGGCCTCAGTTGCAAACTCCATGGGACAGCCATAGCAATCGCAAGGGCAATAAAGAAATGAAGGCCTCAGTAGTTAATGATTTGAGTATTAATTTTGCGTAATCCATGGATTTTATCAGTCAATCCAGCCCCTCTTGTATCCATTTTAATGGAGAACCAGGAGTTTGGATATTATATTTACCTATCCTGCTGTATTTAACAAATAGGTGTTTGTGAGCTGTAAAAATAAAACTTTGATTTAGAAATACACATCTCTGTATTAACCTTTCTCTTAGATCTGGATGATTCCAAATTGGTTTCATGTCAATGACATTACACGTGGCAATGTTTATTTCTCCTCCTCCATCCTTGAATGCACTGGATGTGCCTAGCTGTGCCAGGACTAAACTGGATTGTGATGTCAATCAATAAATCTTTAATATATATTACAAAGAAATCTTAATGACATGAAAAAAGATTAACACAAGTTATTGGTGAAGTAATATGTGTATAAGTATTTCACTTGCCTGCCTCTTATTCAGGGCACAGTTATAGTGGAACGATGGTGGCAGGTTTCTTTAGCCAAGGAAGGGAAGGAACCATATTTGCACCCACGGAGGCATCGAATCTTCAGGAAGGTGGAAGATAGAAAACACGTTAAGAAAGATAAAATGGAATTGATCCTAACTCAAACTGTTCACAGTAAGTCATGAATGAAACTGCTGTGTCCAAAATGAATTCAGTGTGAAACTATCAGGCACACAGTCCTTGCTGTCCAAGTTCTGGGTAAACTGGCGCATGTTAAATGTAATATTATTGTCTTACCCATCAATAGATACTGAGTGGCTGTTAAGTTTCCTTGCACCCATACATGGGTGAGGATTACTAAAGCTACAGTATATTTTCTAGATCCTAAAATGGAATGGTGTCCTCTTTATCCTCACATCGTAGGTGGCAGTGTGTTTAATTAAAAACAAGTCTTTGTGGGTGATCAGGACAATTTTATTAACCCTCACTGCCACACATTGTGTGATGGGAGCAAGATCTTGGAGTCCCCCCTACTTATTATACATTTGGGAGATTGTACATCTTGTGATCTAATCTATAAATGATTAAATTAGACAAAGGAAGAATACATGTAGAAATATCAAGTGTTATCAAGTAAAATCCCCATGATGTTTGGTTTAGAATAACAAAGCATTATGGCAGCCTTAGTTCAGCAACACCTGGGTATCTGCCTATATGGCCACCCATGGATGAGACCTTTCTGTTTCCAGCACAGACTGACCCTTCCTTCTCTCTTTAAATTACACTAATGCTGTCCTCCTGCAGAGCTCGGTAACAGAGGGCAGATAGTGATTGTGGATAAGGCTACAGGAAGAAATAAACTCCTGGCACAAGGCCTGGCAGTCTATCCTTCACCTGAAAACAAACAGATGTTTGAAGAAGAGAATAAGGTGAGTTGCTCTTCTTTTCCAGTTTTGTGAGTAGGGTTTCAGCTATTGCGATAACAAGTCTTCTTTTGTCTTTCTGGTGTCTCCAGATGATGCAGGACGAGTCTTCCCTAAAAAAGCAACAGACCTGGACAGGAGAACTGGTAAGATAAGCTGACCCAGGGACCCCCATCTGTAAGGGTGGTGCAGATCTTGGCTGATGTGCTAGAACTGTTCCATGATACCTACAAATTAAAGGGACCCTCTAGACTGAAAAACACTTAATCTTTTTTGGAAATTAAATAACACTGCTATTTCAGACAATCTTCTGTGTTTACATTTGTGCAAAACCATGCCACTAGTGGTCAGTGACCGCATGTAAGCCACTAGAAGCAGGGGTAGGTAACCTTCTGATCTCCTGTGATGCTTTGCCAGCATTATGTCTGTACAAGCATTATGGGAGATATAGTCCTGCAGTAGAGGCTTCTTCTAATGAAGGCCACCTTCTATTTTCAAATGTCTTCAATTTCTGTGTTTTGGTGCCCAGCGTGATGACGCCAAACAGTCCTGATGTTTATTATTTAGAAGCATTCGATTCCGTGATTATTAACTTGAAAAGCAATGATTGGTGTAGCAATTATTGTCTTTATTAGAGGTGGAGTGGCTGTTGAGAAGAGATTGACCTAGCACTTGAATAAAGTTGAGTATTTAACTTTTTTTTTACAAGATTCAATGTTGGGGTTCATTTTAAAGAGCACAAAATATCATATATACTAAGCAGAAATTAGAGCAAATACATATATTTTATTTACAGATCTTTAAAATGCATCTCCCTATCTTTCAACCAATCCTCGGTATTAGACCTTTGTGTTGGCGGCACAGAGGGTTTAATGCCGTGGATTGAGTAACCGGGAGAACAAGAGAACTCAAGCAGGGCCAAACAGACGAGGGGTGGCAATGGAGCATGGGTGTTACAATACACAGTATAACACTTACAGACATCCTAGGATGACAATATTGCAGCAGTGGCAAGCAGATAAGCAAGATTATAACAGTTCCCAAAGTAATAAAATATATAATTTATCACTATAATAAATTATATATTTACTGCTTCGGGAATTTTTATTAAATTAAACCATTTTACAAGATGTTTTGGTTGTATCCTAAAACTCATACCACACTAAACTAAGAAAAATATGGCTTTTTACAGACATTAAAAGTGGGGGAGAAACTTAAACATTTCTTGTATTTTTGTAGACCGTTAATTATCTGAAAAATTCCCGCCTGGAGGTTGGCATGAAGAACAACGTCAAATGGGAACTGAATAAAGAAATTGTGTGTAGGAATTTTCTGAAAAATGTGAGTATGGGGTTCTGTGCAGCATGTTCTATAAGAGTTTGCTTAGATACATTGTTAGACTGCACTATGTTCCTGAACACTTTGTGTGACATGACTGTGTCCAGTCCACGGTTTCCATAAGGAATACTAGGCAAATGTCTAGTGAGCCATGGTGGCCATGGGCTAAGACCAACTGTGGAGATCAGACTCTCCTATCCAGCCCGTTTAAGACCAGTGTCCTACAGCAGCGCTTCCCTAAAAAGGTATCTCTGCTCTCCCCACTTGTCAGTGTATGATTCACCACCCTCCCTGGCCTTTGGTATACACTTTTGTTTGACAAGCAGTTCTTGATGCAGATTACAAATAAACAACTTATTCTCTATCCACACATTGCACCAAAAACTGCCCCTGTGCATACACACTGACACTACACCACAAACGGGTTCTATCTACACAGTCAGTATACCGCAGACAGCCCTCTTCATACACACTCACACACATACTACACCACAACAGCAGGCTCCTTATACACACGCATTTAACACCAATGAGCACTCTATTAACTAGCATTTAATATTGAGCTTTTATGGAGAACTTCACATCTTACCCAAATCAAGACACGCGCACAGCCAAGTTCTAGGGTGAGACATTTCGAATCACTGCCGTGCTTCGTGTTAGTTGGACATAGAGGAAGCATTGTATGGATGTGGTCTACACCAGCTGGAGCCACAGATCAAGCACTTCCTTGTGGCCAATACTTTGGGTAGTTACGTTATACTTTACTACAACACCAACCAAGCATGTAAGACATATTTATTTTTGTTAGGGGATGGAATTCTATGTGTTAGGTTCTATTTCCGAGTCACCATGGTGACCAAACAATTTATATTTGTCAAGATCTAGTAGAATCTCACTAATCCTCCCCTTACAAGTGTCGAAAAACTTCTCTTTCCTGTTTCCAGTTGGGTGTTGTGGTTCCTCCAGAGGCTCTGAAGATACCAGAGGAGTCCATTACCCGATGGGGAGAGTACTGGTGTGAGGTGACGGTGAGTGTTTAATACTTCTGTATACTTAGATGACTCAGGCAGTGACCCAGTGCAAGCTTTGGACATGGTCTTCTGATCAATGATTCTTTCCATTTTAGGTGAATGGCATAGACACTGTACGCCTTCCGATGGATGTTGTTAATTTCGAAAGAGAAAAAACCAAGCGATACAAGTACTGGCTGTCTCAGCAAGCTGCTAAAAACACTAATGAGCCTACGTCAGAGGACTGATCAGTTGGAAGTGCTTTCTATACTGGCCATTGCTCCTGGACTGATTAAGTAATCTGTGGTTTCCTCGTTTATTTCTGGAAACTGCCCACGACATACAGAAATCCTCCACTTATTCTAACGAAGGACACGGGCTTCCCAATGTGACAGTGTCCTGTTATTCAGTCTGCTATAAAGGAATTTGTAATAAAAAAATAAAAAATCTTGAATTATAAGCTGATTCCCATTACAGGCCAGACCCCATCTCTTTTGGCCACTGGTTGTGTAGATAGGAGAAACGCCTGTTATAGACTGCGGAGTCTCTACTCTACTCTAAGTTTATAAATGACTCTGCAATGCTGCCTTTGTATTGGAGTTCTGCACCCACAAATGTTTCAGGGTTGCATTTGGAAAAGTAAATTAACTACTTACTAACATTGTTATTCATTAGAGTAAGAATGCAAAGTGGATTTTAAATGTAAGGCCAAAATGTAGCCTTAAATTTAAAATACACTTGGGATGATCGACACTTTTCACTTTTTGATTAACCCTGTTGAAAAATGGAGGTTGGTAATTGTATGTTTTTTTTTTGTTTTGTTTGTTTTTTAAATTCTTTATTGTGGTTGTGCATAGATTTATACATGTGTGTTTGTAGTGCCACAGCAGCTGGTGTCAGGCTTTTCTATAGACATAGAGAAACATTTGTATGGCATTGTAACGAACTGTGTCAATATGACTATGTTCCCCAACAGAGTGCAGCCCTCCCGCTCCCCGCCACCCCTTTGTCCCAGCTTGCCTACCTCAAAGAACGCTTTCCCTGGTGCTACCCACATAGAGATATCCACCACGGAGAGGCGCAAGCCCTACCCGACTCTATGAAATTAGCAGGCGGCTTTACAACCGCAGAGACCGTGCCGACCAATGGGAGAAGCGCTACCATTCAAATTGGTTTTGTGCCCTTTCTCCCGATTGGTCTGCAAAACACCTCCCCTCCCTGAATGCTGATTGGCTACTGCTTGTTCGCACCATTTCTCCCGATTGGCTGGCAAAACACCTCCCCTTCCTGAATGCTGATTGGCCGCTGCTTGTTTGCACCCTTTCTCCCGATTGGCCGGCAAAACACCTCCCTTTCCTGAATGCTGATTGGCCGCTATGTGTTCGCGCCCTTTCTCCCAGTTGGCCACCGCTTTTACAAAGTATGTGAGTATGTACAGAGCCTCGAGCCCAAACTTTACACAATGATTTCTATGGCTCTGTACATACCCGAAAACCGTTGCACAAGATCACTTGGTTTAGGCCAGTGAAAGCGGCAGCCAATCGGGAGAAAGGGCGCGAACATGCAGCGGCCAATCAGCATTCAGGGAGGGGGAGATGTTTTGCCAACCAATCTGGAGAAAGGACACGAAACCAGTTTGAATGGTAGCGCTTCTCCCATTGGTCGGCACGGTCTCTGCGGTTGTTAAGCCGCCTGCTAGTGTCATAGTGTCGGCTAGGGTTCGCGCCTCTCCCTGGTGGATATTTCCATGTGGCTAACACCAGGGAGAGCTCTCTTTGAGGTAGGCAAGACTAGCGGTGGGACAAAGGGGTGGCAGGGAGTGGGATGACTGCACTCTGTTGGGGGACATAGTCATATTGACACCGTTCGTTGCGTCCCACACCACCCCCCCCAAAAAAAAAAAAACCCTTTGAATAAGCAGAGCATAATGTATTTTTTATTTTTTTTAACTATATATAAACACTAATTTCTACAGGTAGTAAACAGATTGCAGTTCTTAGGAGCAGGTGTGTTTTTGTCTGTAGAGTTGGTGTTTTATGTAATATTTTTTTTTAATTCTTTATTTTTTGTTGTGCATGGTATAACAATAGGCTTACTCAGCCACGATAGCAGTCGTAAACAGTAACAGGCATAATAATCAAAACATGGCATATGAGTAAACAGCACAGTTTTTTTAGTTTTATGTTGAGAGGAGGTTTAGACAGTGGTTAGACTTAGCATATACAATTTAAGCTTTCCTGTTTGTCTGTTGTGTTCCTGATGCATACTTGGCAAACCGTAGCAATCAGCTTTAGAGGCATTTTGTCTGTTGATGTTGCCTGATGGCATAGCATACAATTGGCACACTATAGCAATCTGCTTTAGATGCATACAATTGGCAAACCGTAGCAATCAGCTTTAGAGGAATTAGATTGGCACACCATGGAAATCTGCTTTAGATGCATACAATTGGCACACCATGGCAATCAGCTTTACAGGCATACAATTGGAACATCATGGCAGCTTTAGATGCATAAAATTGGCACACTATAGCAATCCGCTTTAGATGCATACAATTGGCACACCGTGGCAATCAGTTTTAGGGGCATAAAATTGGCACATCATGACAATCAGCTTCAGAGACATACAATTGGCACACCATGGCAAACAGACGCATAAAATTGGCACACCATGGCAATCAGTTTTAGAGACATACAACTGCTTACTCACAGACTCAGAATCAGAAGTGCTGTGTCCTGCTCTTTCATCCAGGCACCTCACGTTTATTATATTATTTATTATTTATAATATGTTTTCTGGGCCCCCCTCTAGTGCAAGTGTGGCCAAAAGGTAAATCTCCATCTGTCGGAGAACTATAACAATGCTATACCAGATGGGGATCTACCATTTTCGCATCATTGCTGGGTTACGTTTGTGAGCAGTGTTTGAGCGTTTGAATGTAAGTATGTTTTTGTATTAAGTATATGTGTGCATGTATGGGTGTATTTCTATGTACTGTTGCCATTGGAATGTAGTGGTGTACTTGTTTGTAATGTTTGCGTCTGAATGCTTGGGTGTTTGTATCTAGTGTTGGACTTTAAATGCAGGTGTGCATTTTGTGTGTAGTGTTGGTGCTTGAATGAAGGGGTGTTTGTAGATAATTTTAATGTTTTAATGTAGGGGTTTGTTTGTATGTAATGTTTGCGTGTGGATGCAGTGTGTGTAGTGGATGCACTGTGTGTATATTGTGTTTATAAAATATACATATACACAATGTGTGTTCGAATGTAAGCATATTTTTTGTGTGGAGTATGTGTGAAGTGTATACACATACACACACATACAGAGACAGACATTGACACAGCAATACACACAGATACACAAAGACACCTAGTTTCCCACACACAGATACACAGACACTCATGTACACAGATACACACTGGTGGTATTTGCGGAGGTCAGGGAGTGCCAATCCCCCCCATGCTCGAGATAGGCAGAGGACTTCCTGTCGGAGTCTTGCCTGTTTCCCATTCCAGACGAACTTCACCATCGCGGAACGCAGTGACGCGAAATATGCCGTCGGTAGAGCTTGCGGAATCGTCTGGTATAAATATAACAGCCGTGGTAGAATATTCATCTTAAGTATTGCGATCCGGCCTAACCACGAGATGTGTGGATATGTCCACGTTTTCAAATCTTGTTGGATTTGTTGTAGTAGTGGTAGGAAGTTTCGTACGATACATGTCGCCTAGGTCTCTGGTTATTGCGATACCTAGATACCGCATGTGGTTTGCGCACCATCTAAACGGAAATTGGTTCTTCAGTGCGGATGTTTGGGCCGTTGGAGTGGTAATGTTAAGTACTTCACATTTATTCATGTTCAATTTGAATCCTGAGACCTCCCCGTAGTCCGTGATCATAGTGACTAAGTGGGGCATTGTTGCCTCCGGTTCCGTGATAAAAAAATAAGAGGTCATCTGCGTATGCTGCTACTTTGTGTGTTGTATCCCCGCTTTTGAAGCCCTGGATTGTATCCGATGCGCGCGCCGCTTCTAGGAACGGTTCGAGAGCCAGGCCGAAGAGCATGGGGGAGAGTGGGCATCCTTGTCTTGTCCCCACAGATACACACTGACACACAAATGCACACAGACACAAAATGACAGATACACATACACGCAGAGACAAGAGGTGAGGGTGACAGTGTGGGAGGGAGTGTGTGTGCTGGTAAGTGTGGGAGGGCAAGGTGAGAAAGGGTTACAGTGGGCGGGCAGGGGGAGAAGGGATGGGCAAGCAGGGGGAGAAAAGGCTACAGTGGGGGGGGCAGGGGGAGAAAAGGCCAGCCGGAGGGGCAGGAGTGGAAGGGGTTACAGTGGGGGGGCAGTGGGAGAGAGCAGGGCCAGTGGGGGCAGTGGGAGAAAAGGCTACAGCTGAGGGGCAGGGATGGGCTGCAGGGAGAAAAGGGCTACAGTGGGAGGGGCAGGGAGGAAGGGGTTACAGTGGGGGGAGGGGCAGGAGGAAGGGTTACAGTGGGGGAGGGGGCAGAGTGGAGGGTTACAGTGGGGGGGAGAGGGCAGGAGTGACTGATTGGGGGGCGAGTGAAGCATAGTTACAGTGGGGAGGGGGCGGAGTGAAGGGGCTTACAGTGGGGGGGAGAGGGGCAGGAGTGACGATTGGGGGGCTTGAAGGAAGGGTTACAGTGGGGGGGCTAGGGGCAGGAGTGAAGGGGTTACTATGGGGGGAGAGGGGCAGGAGTGATCTGGTTGGGGGGGCAGGAAGTGAAGGTTACAGTGGGGAGGGGAAGGGCAGGGGAGTGAAGGGGTTAGCGTGGGGGCACAGGAGTGAAGGAGTTACAGTGGGAGGGGGGAGGCAGGGGAGTGAAGGTGTTACAGTGGGGGAGAGGCAGGGAGTGAAGGGGTTACAGTGGGGAAGGCGCAGGAGTGAAGGGGCAGTGGGGGGAGGGGCAGGAGTGAAGGTTAGCAGTGGGGAAGGAAGCAGGAAGTGAAGGGTTTACATTGGGGAGGAGGGCAGGGAGTGAAGGGGTTACAGTAGGGGCAGGAGTGGGTTACAGGGGGGCAGGGAGTGAAGGGGTTACAGTGGAGGGAGGGGCAAGGAGTGAAGGGGCTACATGGGGGGAGGGGGCAGGGAGTGAAGGGGTTACATGAGGGGGGAGGGGGATGTCTGGGGGCTGTGTCCTACCTTCATTAAATTCCCTGGTGCGCCCAGAGTGTTGCCATGGTGATACTCTGGGCGCTCGCGAGACTTCTATCACACGGGCTGCAGCACTGCACCCGGCGGAGCTGCAGACTGGAGCTGCTGGGCAGACTGATTAGAGGGAGGCCGCCGGGCCCCCTCCTGATCAGTCTGCTTGCCTGACTCCCCTGCGGTCCTGGAGGTGTGGGTCAGCGCGACCCATTGGGAATCGCCCTGCGACCCACACTTTGGGAACCGCTGTGTTAGGTAATATTCTACGTGTGTAGTGCATGCTTGGCAAGTCTTAGGTTAAACATTTATATCCACTAGTAGGCTTAGATTATTTAACGCTTATAGGTTATACAAGGCATGTTACATGTTTATCTTCTATAAGTGGACTAGCTGAGACATTATGTAAGTGCATGCAAGGTCATGTCTTAAGATGTTCCTGCAACCAAAGAAAGTCACGCCATTTACATTGCATATAACTGCATTAACAAGCAGCTTAAAACCATCCAGGATCCTGGGTCCCCCCCAAAGGCACCGGTCGCCCAAGTGTGCTCAGGTACATACAACTAGCGTCCGTTGCCAAATGCTTCCCCCTCAGCCTGCTGTGTCGACAGCCCATTAGAGGGATCTGGGCCCCATAGAAGTTCAGCTTTGTTTGGGTGTCCCTGAGTGAGATAAGGGAATCAGCTGATGCCCCTTCGTAGTGCAGAGTTTCCAGGCGCCACATGTGGGGGTCTTTTCCAAGTGCTCCTGCTCGGTATCCCTCGGGTAGTAGTGTTGAGGGGCCAGATGCCATGGGGACGTGATCTCGATGGTGTCCATAGAGTTTGTCCGGTGGTTGCCGGGATGCGGCCCCTAAGCCTTTGTTTGGGCCGGTGTTGCAGTCTGGGGGATTGATGGGGCTGGGCAGGTGGTCCCCCACCTCGCCCCCCCAGACCGGCAGGGATGGGCCTGCATGTGCCGAGGGTGAAGACTTTCCTTCGATGAAGGTGAGCCTCTGGTAGCTCCGGGGGACTCTGTGTGGCACAAGGGTTTGGGCTATGCGCCTCTCGGAGTGTCAGTTTGCGTCCTCTTTTGGGTCGGGGGGCTCTGTGAGCCGACTTACCCCCTGTGGTCGACCGCCCGGTTCGTGGTCTCCTTCGGCGCCTGGGTGTGAAGCCGTTACGCCTCTGTGGGGTCGGCCTGGACCGCTGGGCTGCCTGGGGTGAGTGATGTTGCGAGGTTGCTCTCTGCCTGGGGTGAGTGATGTTGCGAGGTGCCTCGTGTTATGGCGGGAGGTCTTGGGTTGCTAGATTTAGGTTGCAGCTTCACCAGGTCTGGTTTGGCTCGTCTATTGGGGACCGGGATAACCCCCACTGGTCCAAAGGGGTGGGGGGGGAGGCTGCGGTAGTGCTTATTGTTCTACAGGAGAGTGGGGAAGATGGCTGCCCAGTGGCTTGTAGGCCTCAGTTTGCCTCCGCGGGCCCCATGCATCTCGGGTGCCTGAGTTTTGTGTCTATGTGGTCTGCAACTTGTCCCCGAGTCGGTGGACAAGTGTGAGTGCTCGGGTTTTGGCTGGAAACGGGGTATTATCCCGAAAATCGTCTGTTGGTGCGGGAACTCACGTGGCATGCGACCTCTCTGGTTGGCGTTCAGACTCCGCCCCATTTTATGTAATTTTATCGTTTTAATACAGGAATGTGCTTGTATGGAATGTTAGCATTTGCGTGCAGAGGTGTATTTGGCTGTAGTGTTGAATTTTAAATGTGGATGTACATTTGTGTGTAGTATTGGTGTTTGAGTGTTTGTATATAATTTTGGATTTAGAGTTCAGGGGTGTCTTTTCATGTCATGTTTGTGTTTGCAGGAGTGTGTGTTGTGTTGATGTTTGATTGCTGGGAGATCTGTAAATGTACTGCCACATACATACATACTTACACATTAACAAACACACCGACAAATACACAGTCATATACACACAAACACTGACCCAGACCCACACCTTGACACATACACACACCAGCACAGACATGCACAGATACACACTAGCACACACACTGACACACAAATACACACTCCTTGAAACAGTGGTGTATCTGTGTGTGTGTGTGTATCTGTGTTTGTATGTGCCTGTGTATCTGTGTATCAGTGTCTGACACAGATACATACACTGGCACATAGTGGAACACTCATACACACACTAACAGCTACACTGCTACACAGATTCACACACATTGGCAGATACACACAGTGACACCAGTATACACACGTGTTTAAATGTGCTGTTCACTTACCTTTTTTCTTCATGAGGGTGAGGGTGACTTTCTTCGGTCTTGCTGGCTGTGGATGGAGTGCTAGGTCAGCAGCTTCTCCCGGTGCGCTCTGTCTGGGAGGAAGTGCTGCACGCATGCAACAGGGGTCCGGTCGCGGTATTAGATGGCCACGGCGCCTGACTGGACCCCATTTCTTCTAACATTCTTACTAAACAATTTGGGAAAAGGGATAGATATCCCCATCATTGGACTTACAAAAGAGCGGAATGGCCTCCCTAACGGACCAAAAATCTCTACAAACCAGAGCTAAAATTTTAGCTCTGAAGAATATAATCGTTTTATTATAGGCACTTTGTAATGATATTATCTCAAGGTTTTACTATTTCTGTACGTTTGTATTTCTTAAAGGGACATACTCTGGATTTTTAACGATATATTAACAAAAGCTAAGCGTTCTATTCCCTTTTTTAATATCACCGTCTTATTGACACCTTATTGGAAAAACAGCGCTCCACTGCGTTTAGTTATTGTTATAAATTTGAAAAAGTAGTTTGTATTTTTTGTTTTTAATTTTTTTTTTTTATATATTTTTGTATTTACATATAATGTTGCATACATATAGGATGGTCAATGAAAGCCCTTACTGTCTTTTTTTTTTTTTAAAGATTTATCATATGTATGGGTGGCACATAAAGAGAAACTTAAGTTATGGTGGAAGAAACCCATAGCTCAAACTCAAGGTTTTGTTTCCATTCCGAATGTGGACAATTGTCTTTGTCCTTAACGAGTTATCTATTCTAGACTAAAGTGGAGGCCACTAAAAGAGTAGAGCCAATGTAAATGTGCATAATGTAATACACTAGGAAAAAGAACAATTTGTGGTATAATTTAATGAAAATATTTTGCACAAGGAAAGTAAAAAAACAACAATTAAATATGACAATACATATAAAAATAAATTGCACTGCTCTGATAGGGTATGTGGACGTTTCAGTAGGATTTGTCCACACTTCTTGGCTTACCTCAAAATGCTGTTCATCATGGCAGAAACATAATTCCCCAAACTTTTTAAAAGCTCAGATCCATTTGGTTTTCAGTTACGTGTTTTCATGCCTTTACCGTTTTCTTTCACTGTTTCTGACCTAGAGACTGTGACCATCACTATTTCTGTATAAGATTTGTTTTAGGACAGGGTGGAGTTTATTTACAAACGAGTGAGATAAAAATCAAACTACAAATTTTTATTAAGAAATGGATGCTGTCAGAACATTCTCCAGACAAGTTATTTTCTCTACGTAGCTATTTTTGTCTAACTTTTGCAATAGTTTTCAGTTTGCTACAAGTCATTGTTTAGTAAATATAAACCCTAGTCTGTTTATATATAATGGACTGATCCTATCATTATTACTTAAAGGGCTATATTAGACATAATTTGACATTTCACGTTTGGTGTCTAAAAAGGAATCTATTCCTTGGTGCCTAAATAAGTATTTCATAAGTAACTTTTAGTAGATATTTTAAAAAAAATCACAGTTGCTTTGGTGATTTCTTGCTGTCCAAGTCCTCCCTTTAGTCCATTCTCCCAATACATTTCTCCTCCATCAGCTAGGGGGAGTGACGTCAGTAAAGACCCAAACCACCCATCCCTGCAACATGAAGGCCATTTAATTTTGAAAACTACAGCTTTAAAAGACCCAAACCACCTATCCCTGCAACATGAAGGCCATTTAATTTTACATGGCTCCTCCCACCCACCCTGGTTCCTTCTAACATATAGCAGGCATGGGCAACCTTCGGCATGCCAGATGTTTTGGACTACACCCCCCATGATGCTTTGCAAGCATTAAGGGGGATGTAGTCCACAACATCTGGAGTTCCGAATGTTGCCTATCCCTGTATATAGCATGCACCTCCAGCTGTTTGGAACCACAGCCAATCACCTCCCTATTACCTTCACGTTATCAGCTGCTGCAGTTACACCATTAACTCTCTCTGCCATCACATACAAATTCCTCTGCTACCTCTTGTCTCATCTCCCCAGTTTAACCTTTAGAGTGTAAGCTCACCGGCAGGGACCTCTGCCAGTTGTATTGGTCTGTTCTTATTGTGTTTGTCTTTTTCCCAAATGTACAGCGCTGTGGAATATGTTGGCGCTTTATAAATGCCAGTAATAAATAATAAGTAAATAAAGGAAAATCATGAGAGGAGAACTTGGCCTCAGCAGTGGCGTCGCTGGGGGGGGGGCCAGAGGGGGCCATGTCCCCCCCTACATCATGCTGTGCTCCCCCTTGGGCCCCCCAAATGCCGGCAACTTGCTGGCCATGTGTTTAAATTTTATTCCCTCAGACTGTAACAGTCTGTGACAGCCTGAGGGAATGCAGTGCTGGGTGTCTGTGGAGAGATGCTGGGGCACTGTGTGCATGAACTCAGCAGTCTGTGTGTGTGTGTGTGTGTGTGTATGGACTCAGCAGTGTGTGTGTCTGTGTATGGACTCAGCAGTCTGTGTGTGTCTGCTAGTGAGGAAGCTTTTGTGTGTGTGTGGACTCAGCAGTTTGTGTGTCTGTGTGTGTTTTTGGACTCAGCAGTCTATGTGTGTGTATGGACTCAGCAGTATGTGTGTCTATGGACTCAGCAGTCTGTGTGCCTGTGCGTGCGTGTGTGTATATGGACTGTGTATATGGATACCGTGCCAACTATGGCACTGTATCAAGGGAAATGTGTTTCTTTTTTAATAATCCCTGGTGGAAAATAATGAATCCTCCACCAGGGATTATTTGGAAAACAAAAACAAAACACTGACATTGTGTCGGGGGTGGGGCTTAACATGCGGCAGGGGCGGGGTCAAACTGCGGCGAGGACGGGGTTAAATGTGCCCCCCTACTTTTGTCCCTGGCCCACCATGTGCCCCTCCTAAAAATGAATCCTAGAGACGCCACTGGGCCTCAGCATCGAAAGGCAGGTAATTTTTAGCTTTATTTATTTATTAATTTAAAAATTAAAAAACTTGGGCTGGGACAGGCAAGGTTACTCTAACCAAAACTAGTGTTTTCTTGGATGGTGTAAACTTTTAATATGAGAATCAAAAAATATTTCAAGTGCTTTGAAATAACTGATTCTCTTAGCAGAACCGATCCTTTAAAGGGACACTCCAGACCCCTAAATGACTTAAGCTTGCTGAAGAGCTTTCTGTGAGAAGAGAAATTGACACTTATAAATTGTACTGATTACACCCACAGACTTTTCAAGCAGACAACAGGTCCTGTTATTTCCTGGATCGGTTAGCTTAGTTGCACTGAACTCTAGAGGAAACAACTGTCCAGAGCACGTGCCTTGCAAAGACAGCTCAATGATCTGCATTGGGAAGTCTGTGAGTGGACAGCCGCAGAAAGTCTGGGCGGGGATAGAAGGGGAAGTCTTGCAAAGGCTAAAGACAAGAGATCTGTATTTAGGCAGTGCAGTGTCCCTTTAAGTACTAGTAATGGTCTGTGGCATTTTAGCAATCTGGTATTTGAGTATTGTATTTTAAAAAGTAATGTCCCATTCATTTAATGACAGTAGATCTTTATCGAGCTGTCCATTCCAAAAAAGCGGGACATGTAATTCAGGGATTCAGGGGCCAAATGACATGATGGCAAAGAATGCAATTTGTCTTTTAAGGGTTAGCAGGCTGTAATGTTTATGATTGAAGACAATGATTAGGGCTTTAACCATATCTTTTTGGATTTCCTTGACCTATCACTAAGCACTTTGTCAGGCAGTTTCTTTAAAGGACCACTCTAGGCACCAAGACCACTTCAGCTTAATGAAGTGGTCTGGGTGCCAGGTCCATCTAGGGTTAACCCATTTTTTAATAAACATAGCAGTTTCAGAGAAACTGCTATGTTTATTAATGGGTTAAGCCTTCCCCCTAATCCTCTAGTGGCTGTCTCATTGACAGCCACTAGAGGCGCTTGCGTGCTTCTCACTGTGATTTTCACAGTGAGAGCACGCAAGCGTCCATAGGAAAGCATTGTAAATGCTTTCCATGCGACGGGCTGAATGCGCGCGCAGCTCTTGCCGCGCGTGCGCATTCAGCCCGGAGGAGGATCGGAGGAGGAGAGGAGGCAGAGAGCTCCCCGCCCAGCGCTGGAAAAAGGTAAGTTTTAACCCCTTTCCCCTTTCCAGAGCCGGGCGGGAGGGGGTCCCTGAGGGTGGGGGCACCCTCAGGGCACTATAGTGCCAGGAAAACGAGTATGTTTTCCTGGCACTATAGTGGTCCTTTAAAAAGCTACACGGTTTTATACAAAGAATTGTAGTGAATTGAAAACCGAATTGAAAAATGTAGGCCAAAAGTTCTGATTTGGAAAAATTATCTAATTCTGCTCAAGCTCAGCTTGGTTACTCTAGCCTTAATTTTGTAATTTTAGATTCTTCTGTTTCATTGAATGGAGTTGGGTGAACTGTATACTGATCTAGTAGTAAAAAAAGGCTAAATATTACCCAGTTTGGCAATATCTTACAAAGATACAAAAATCGAACCGCATACAGATACAAAGCACATTCTCTCCTTTTATACAAAACACGCGTAAACGTACACAAAATCAACTGAGCTGGGTTGTAAAACCCATCACATTGTCTATGAAATGGGAAAAAAAAAATAGTATTACAAAGTGTTGAGAAATATAAAATTATCGTAAAAATACGACATCTTGGCAGTACGGACGCTAAATATATCTGTAAAACAAATAACTGCTTTTGCATCTTACGAGGTATTTTCAGACATGTGGTCGCCAAATGTTCATGAGTTCTGCAAAGTATTCTTCGGACACTGCCATCCATTTCACAAATGACTTTTCATTCTGTGTCCTTCCTGGTGATTGATTTATCGGCAGTGATGGGCAATATGGAAGTAAAGATTTTCCATGCACTCCTTTCTTATCAATTCCTAAACAAAACAGATGAATGATTAAGGACCAATTACAAAATGAGTACATTCTCTTATTCGCATCCCTTTGTACAAATGCACAGTTGGAACAAATTAAACCTGAACAAGCATAGTCTGGCATTCTAGTGTTCTTGCAGTGATCAAACAATTATACAAAAAGTTGAACATAATTAGTGCTATTAAAGCTATCAATCATTCAGAGAAAATGTCACTTATTGGTCAATTACACCAATTATAAAGCATTTGAAAATCACCTGTAACTTGTGTAAACTTTTTTTCTTTCATGTCAAGTTTTGTTTTAAACATTTATTAAACAGACACTATAGTCACCAAAATAACTTTGCATATTTTGTTTAATTTGGAATGTCTTATCTTCTGCTGTGCTGATAACCACCTCGACCCTGCAGCAGATTACTTTATCAGACATGCCAAGTGGACTCCTGCATGTTGAATGCGGCTCCCTGACACTCGCAAGTCACACACAATATCCCGGAAATCACACACACAATCTGATGTGTGTGTGATTTCCATTATATGGTGTATAATTTACGCCCCCTAACAATCCCACTCATTAAACAGGGGCACTGTCGTGTGCTGGCCCTTTAAGAGTGGACCGAGCACCTGTGATATCATCCGGCAGGGAGGAAGTGACAGTCACCTTCACAGAGAGCTTCCCGCCTGGGAGTACTGGAGGAGTACTGGAGGAAAGAGGCAGCAGCCTGGAGGCAGGAGGCCTCAACCAACACCATAACTTCAGGCAAGCCACCCTCCTGGACACAAAGGTAAGCTAACAGGAGGGTGGTTGCAAATCTAAGTGTGACATGTGTGTGTCAGATTGTGTGCATGTCAATATGTGTTAGTGTGTATATCTGAGTATATGTGCCAGTGTGTGTGTGTGTTTGTGACAATTTGTGTATCTGAGTGTATTTGTCGTTGTGTGTATCTATGTGTATGTGCCAGTGTGTGTATCTGTGTTTCAGTGCTTATGTGCTGGAATGTGTGTATGTGCCAGTACGTTTATCTGTCTGTGTGTGTGTTCGGGGCTGTTGAGCACGTGGGGAGGTGAGGGAGGGCAGTATCTTGGCTTACTCTCTCTGACTATTCTGTTTTCTGGTTTCCCGTCACTTGGCTTGGATAATCGTGTGCCCGTCTTCCGTATTCCCTTGACCTCTGGCTATTTCTCTTGACTATTCTCAGACGCTAGTCCGGCCATTCTAAGGTCTGGTAACCGTCTTTCTGTGGGTTTCACGCTGTGTGAAGGGGTCATTGTTGTGACTTTGGTCACTGTCGTGACATTACACTAGGGCCATGGACCCTGCAGGTGTTAACCCTCTCGGACCGGCACCTGATGACCGGTTTGAAGAACTGGACCATCGTATGGACCAGTTCGCTATTGCGGTACAAACCTTGCTTGCTCGTACTGCCCATCTCCAACCGGAGGAGCAAACCCCAGTACTCAGACCTCAGGAACAACCCATGGAAATGGGTACTCCTAATCATGCTACCTCTCCTCTCCGTTACGGGGGTGATCCTAAAGGCTGCCGAGGTTTTTTGAATCAAGTCAGTATTTATTTTGAGCTCCATCCGAGAGCATACCCTACAGATAGGGCAAAAATAGGTTATATCATTACCTTATTGGTCGATAGGGCATTGACTGTGGGAGAACGATAACCCGGTAGTGTTTAACTATGTAGAATTTGTCACAGCTTTCAGGAGGGCTTTTGATCCTCCAGGGAGGAGAACTAACGCTGCCAAAACCTTGCTACGTATGAGACAGGGTTCTCGTTCTCTTGTTGATTACGCTTTAGAATTCCGCACTCATGCGGCCGAAGTTAGATGGAATGAACAAGCATTTATTGACGTATTCATGAACGGGCTTTCAGATAAACTCCTAGATGAAGTCGCCACTAGAGACCTACCCAATGTGCTAGAGGAATTGATCACATACCTTTCCCACATTGATGAGCGTCTTAGACACAGGCAGAATACTAGAGACAGACCTCGACGGGTGCCAGAACGCTTAGCGTTAACCTATCCTTCATCCGAGACAACAACAGTCGCTCCTCCAGAACCAATGCAACTGGGAGTCACGCGTTTGTCTGAGGATGAAAGACAATACCGCCGTAGGGAGGGACTATGCCTATATTGTGGCCGAAAGGGACATTCTCGCTCAACCTGTCCTAACCGGCCGGAAAACTCCCGCACCTAAGCCCTCATGGAGGACAGGCCTTGGGTGTAATGTGTATGTCCTCCTTTAATGATAAAAAAGACCATAGGCTTCTTCTACCTATTGTTATCGAGTGGGAAAAGAAAAAAGTGCCAACCATTGCCTTAATAGACTCTGGGGCGGCCGAAAATTTTATTGATCATAGATTCGGTCAGGAACATGCTTTCCCATTTCAGAATAGATCAACACCCTTGGCCGTTGAGGCCATAGATGGTAGACCATTATCTATCCCGTTTATCACACAAGAGACTCTTCCAGTGGTATTGTCCGTAGGTTCCCTGCATAAGGAGGTTATTATCCTGCAACAAGTCACTTCTCCCATCTTCCCGGTTATTCTTGGTTTTCCTTGGCTCTCTAAACATAACCCTTCTATAGATTGGGAGAAAAAGGAAATTGTAAAATGGAGTGAGGCCTGCCATAGAAAATGTATTACCCCTATTAAACAAGTAGGTCTACTTAATGTACCTACTATGGAACCTTTAACCACTTTAATACCCAGACAATATTGGGATTTAAAAGCAGTTTTTGAACCAAGAGAGGCAGAAAAATTACCCCCACACCGGTCCTATGACTGTCCAATTGACTTGTTACCCGGCACTATGCCTCCTAGAGGCACAGTTTATCCCCTCTCGGTAACCGAGAATAAGGTACTAGAGGAATATATCACAGAAAACTTAAGAAAGGGGTTTATCGTCAAATCTTCCTCTCCTGCTGGCGCTGGGTTTTTTTTTGTTTCCAAGAAGGAAGGGGACTTAAGGCCCTGTATTGATTATCGGGGTTTAAACAAAATAACTATACGTAACGCCTATCCTATTCCTCTAATCACGGAACTTTTCGATAGATTAAAAGGGGCGACTATCTTTACTAAATTGGATCTCAGGGGGGCATACAATCTAGTGAGGATTAAAAAAGGGCACGAATGGAAGACTGCTTTTAACACTCGCTATGGTCACTACGAGTATAGGGTCATGCCATTCGGGTTATGCAATGCCCCAGCAGTCTTTCAAGACTTCATTAATGATGTTTTAAGGGAATTTTTACATATGTTTGTTATTGTCTACTTAGATTACATTCTAATCTACTCCAAGAATATTCAAGACCACCATACTCACGTTAGGTTGGTTCTTTCTAAACTCTTAGAAAATGGACTTTATTGTAAATTAGAAAAATGCCAATTTGATATAGACACTGTGCATTTTCTGGGTTATATGATTTCAGGGTCTGGATTTCAAATGGATAAGAAAAAACTAGAAGCTATCCTTAATTGGCCCCTGCCCGTTGGTCTCAAAGCTATCCAACGCTTTCTAGGGTTTGCCAATTATTATAGAAAATGTATTAAGGGTTTTTCCTCTATCACTGCACCTATCACTGCCATGACCAAAAAGGGGCGAAATTCTATGGAATGGAATCTCGAGGCCAAAGAAGCTTTTGAGAGACTTAAATTGGCCTTTTCTTCTGCACCAGTATTGAGGCATCCCAATCCCTCTCGTCCATTTATATTAGAGGTGGATGCATCAGAGACCGGTATTGGGGCCGTACTGTCTCAACGTCCATCTGATGATCAACCATTGCATCCCTGTGGATTTTTTTCTAAGAAATTAACTGAGACAGAAAAGAGATATGACATTGGGGACAGGGAGTTATTGGCTATTATCTCTGCCCTCAAGGAGTGGCGCCATCTGTTAGAAGGGTCTACCGTTCCCATCACCATCCTTACGGATCACAAAAACCTTTCGTATTTTGGAGAAACTAAAAGAATGTCAGATAGACAGATTAGATGGTCTTTATTTTTAACACGATTCAATTACATAGTAACTTACAGACCAGGATCAAAGAACACTAAGGCTGACGCCTTATCCCGTCAATATGAACACTTATCACCTACAGTAACACACCTCTCTTCCATAATCCCATCCAACCACATAATCACAACAGTCCGTGCCAAAATCTCTTCTGGGTTAATGGAAGAGTTATCTAGGTTTCAGGATCAGACCTCATTGACTATTCCCAGGGGTAAACTATACGTACCCCTGTCTTATCGAAAAAAGGTTTTATTCCTTGTACACAGCTCCAAATTAGCAGGACATCCAGGTATTCATAAAACTGAGTCTTTACTTGAAGTTTTGGTGGCCTTCATACAAGAAGGACGTTCGCGAGTTCGTTCTTGCTTGTAGGGTCTGTGCTTCCACTAAATCATCCAAAGCTCGTCCTTTGGGCCTCCTTTTGCCATTGTCCATTCCCGATAAACCCTGGACTAATATTGCCATGGATTTTATAGTGGATCTGCCCCCTTCCAGGAACCATAAGGTTATATTGACTATAATCGACAGATTCTCTAAGATGACTGATCTCATCCCGCTAATCAAATTACCCTCCTCTTCTGAACTGGCCTCTTTATTTATAAAAGAGGTAGTACGTTTACATGGCATACCTCAGGATATTACATCTGACAGGGGTCCACAATTCATTTCACGGTTCTGGAGGGCATTTTGTGACCAATTAGGTATTGTCCTTAACCTTTCTTCTTCTTATCAACCCCAATCTAATGGGGTTACGGAAAGGATGAATCAATGCCTGGAGCAATACATCCGCTGTTTCACTTCTGAGCACCAAGACGATTGGGTGAAATTACTTCCATGGGCTGAATTCGCCCATAATAATCTAATACACAAATCCACTCAACATAGTCCCTTTTTTTATTAATTATGGGTTTAATCCTACAACTTTGCCGAGTTCTTTTTCATCTACAGGAGTGCCTAGTGTTGACAGTACTCTTCACAATATGAAAGACACTTGGCTAGGGGTTAAACATATCTTAAATCAAAAGTCTCAGATTCGAAAACAGCCGTTCAAACCAGACATAACCAGCACAAAAAGGACACCAGGAGGAAGGTGACAGAGAGGGGCACATAATGATGCCTCACAAGCGACACTTACAGCAAAACTCGCCTCCTCGACCTGAGGGGCCTATAAGCGTGGTCGGCGTGAGGGAGACGGCCGCTCCCCTGCCGACACCCACGGCTGATAAACGGAGACCAAACGCCCGTTCCCCCCCCCCGGACCGGTGGGGGATATCCCGGTCTGTCCATGGGAGACCCTGGTACAACCCGGCGCCCATACAGTGGCGACACAGGGGCCCGAAACGAGCGGCGGAAATGCAAACAAAATGGTGGAGGCAAGGGGCTCCTCCAATACTCACAGCGGGCGGAGGGAGGTGGAGCACCGGCTGGACAGAGCCTTTCAAGTACTTTGGGAGAAGCTCGAGGCCCTCCTGTTCCCATCACCCCATGAGAAAGAGCCAGAAACACACCCGCGCACTTACCCAAGCAAGGTTAAACGCAAGCCTGTACAGACACCCCGAGCACCTCAACGCCTGGCACGACAAAACCAGCCGGAAATTCTCAGAAAGAGGGAGACGGGAGGCCTGTCTGGCGGCAGCAAGAGAAGGGCAACAGCCACTTGGGAACTGCAAGGAATCGTGATGCCCAGAAAGCATCGAGGAGCTGGGTACCTGAGGCGCCCAGGAAGGGCTGCAGTGGAAACCCGGAACAAGGTCCAAGGCACTGGGGCAGCGACTCCCATAGAGCCCCAAAAAGGCAATCCCCAACGGCGACAGCACAGGCCGCAATGTGGTGAACACTCACACGCGGCGCTTAGCAAGGGCGACACGCTACTAGCAATCAGCGTGGAAGAGTGTGAGAGAGCCGCACCCTACAACATCATACTGCAGGACTGTATCCTGACCCGAACAGGCATCGGCTGAAGAGAGGCGGTGGGACCTACACGTGGTTCTCCCAAGTCTACCCATACTGCAGAGAACTGCTGAGATACTACAGAACCCTTTTTAACGGTTGCATCTCACTTCTTCATGACATATTATGCTTTTTCTTTCCCTTTCTTTTTTGCAAACCTCATGTGGATATAGCTTGATGACCTGAGCGCCGGACTGACCCAGCCATAAGGCGCTCCATTAATCTGGTTTACTTACCTGCCAATCTGCTCAGCTAATTGTCTTGTGATGCTCCTATATTGTATGTGTTAAAATGATGCCTACCCAATACTCTTAAGCATAGTAGCACGCATGTTTACTACTGTGCACTATTTTTTACTTAATAGCTGAAAAACCTACTGTGATGACCTAAGCGACAATTTATAGGTGTCTAACTTTGGCACAGTTTTAGTGACACAAGCACCTAGTGAACCGTGCTCCCCCCGGGAGGTTTTCCACTTCCACTTAGACGCGCATGTAAACTTGACTGGGCTTGATGGGCAGACAATATTTAAATAGCTGGACCAAATGTTTATAAGCAGTTTTTCTGTTATGTCTGCCTCCTGGTCCGTCCCTTACTATCACACTGTACCTGACACCGTTGTCACACAAGTCCCCTGTCGCCCAGGTACTGACTAATGTCTCCTCCCGCATTTTCACCAGCCTACTAACCAGCATCTGACATCACTAATATACTATGAATACACAAATAGACACCCGGCAATCTCCATACATACGCTTGCACACTGTACATTAGTCTGACAACATCTACCAGTAATCAGTTAAACTGAGAGGGCTGGCCTACTGGGCTGTGCTGACTTTTCCATTGCCATGCTTGTAACCCAACATATATTCTGTGGTGGAGATTGCAGCTGCAGTTGTGGCTCCTTGAACGTGTGGTATAATAACCTATACTTGCCTAGCACGTGTTAAAATCCACTGGCTGTTCTTATAGTTAATGTGCACGTTTTATAACACTTTTGACTATTCCTGTCCTAACTAAATAACATATACTGTCGGCTCAACTAATGTAATAATCTAATATTCCTGAACTCACTAGCCTGACTTATTTATAGCTTACCTGCTTTAAAAAACAAAATAATTTTGTGCCTAAATATCAAGTGTCACATCTTGTATTGCATATTGAATTGTTATGTACCTCGATCCCGCTGTTGTGGCATATTGAGGCTGTTTGTTTATTTGTGCACAACAAAAATAAAGAATTAAAAAAAAAAAAAAAAAAGTCTCAGATTCAAAAGAAAAATGCGGATAAACGACGTAGGGCTGCTCCTACGTTCATGGCAGGAGACAGGGTTTGGTTAAGTACCCGTAACATAAAGTTAAAGGTACCCTTGATGAAATTTGCTCCCCGTTTCATAGGTCCGTTTCAGATACTCAAACGCATTAATCCAGTCTGTTATAGTTTGAGATTACCGAATACTATGAAAATTCCTAACACTTTTCATGTTTCCCTTCTCAAACCGTTCATTTGTAATCGTTATACGCAGATTGTCTCCGCTCCTCCTACCACACCAGTGGAGGATCATGTCGAATACGAAGTTAAATCTATATTAGATTCCCGGATTTCTAGAGGTAGATTACAGTATCTCCTTGATTGGAAAGGTTACGGTCCCGAGGAGCGATCGTGGGTCAATGCATCAGACGTTCACGCCCCTCGCCTGATTCGTCTGTATGAAAGGCGGCGCTCTTGTGGGTTCGGTTCCACCCGCCCTGGGGGCGGTTCTCAAGGGGGGGGTACTGTGACAAGCGCTTACCTTTCCCCGCCGGTCCCGCGCAGCGCCGGGTCCTCCTCCGATCCTTCCGGGGGGCGGCTCAGCGATTCTGACGCCGGCCGCTCGGAACACGCCCACATTTATGACGCGGCGCATGCGCGCCGACGTCACATCGAAAAAGGCGCCAAAATTCAAACGTGGCCACGCTCCCGGACTTTTTGGGGGCGTGGCTACGGAATTAAAGCCAAAGAACCCACACTATAAAAGGGCAAGCATGACACTTGTCAGATGCCCTAGTGTGGTTCTTGTTTAAGTCCCCTGGTGCTATCTTTTCTTATTGTTCTTCCTGGTAATTGACCTCTGGCTATTTCTCTTGACTATTCTCAGACGCTAGTCAGGCCATACTAAGGTCCGGTAACCGTCTTTCTGTGGGTTTCACGCTGTGTGAAGGGGTCATTGTTGTGACTTTGGTCACTGTCGTGACAGGACCAGCCAGGGCTGGACTGGCCCACCGGGACACTGGGAAATTTACTGGTGGGCCGGCATACTATCGGGCCGGTGAGCAACCACCTAGTGCGCAGCGGCCTGCGGGTCGCACAGCGTAATTAGACAGCAACCGGCAGGAGGGGATGCGCTCCCCTCCTGCCGGTCAGAGAGTGTAGCGTGGCCGAGCAGGCAGACCGTGGTAGACGAGATTCTGTTACCCTACCCGGTCTGACAGGAAATGCTTACAGAGAGCACATGACTGCTTCCTGTCAGACCGGGTAGGGGGAAAGAAACTCCTCTACCGCGGTCTGCCTGCTTAGCCACGCTACAGCAAGGTACAGGAAGGGGGAGCTATAATGGGACACATGTGGGCCGGGGAAGGGGCATAATGGGACACATGGGGGCTGGGGGACTATAGGGACACACGGGGGCTATAATGGGAAACATGGGGGCTGGGGGAGCTATAATGGGACATATGGGGGCTGGGGAGGGGGCTATAATGGGACACATGGAGGCTGGGGGCTATAATGGGACATATGGGGGCTGGGAGGGAGCTATAATGGGACATATGGGCTGGGGAGGGAGCCAATGGGACATATGGGGGCTGGGAGGGAGCTATAATGGGACACATGGGGCTGGGTGGGGGCTATAATGGGACCCATGGGGCTGGGGGGCTATAGGGACAGATGGGGGCTGGGGAGGGGGCTATAATGGGACACGTGGGGGGCTATATGGACACATGGGGGCTATAATGGGACACATGGGGCCTGGGGAGGGGGCTTTAGGGACACATGGGGCTGGGGCTATATTGGCGATCATCAAATGTTTTATGGTTTAATTTGAGCAAAATCACATCCTTTGTAGAGACGGAATCCTGTAACCAACTATACAGGAGCTATAGGGATACATGGGGGCTGGGGGGCTATAGGGACACATGGGGCTATAAGGACATATGAAGGGCTGGGAGGGGGTATAGGGCCACATGGAGGGCTGGGGGGTTATAGGGACACATGAAGGGCTGGAAGGGGGGTATAGGGGCATATGAAGGGCTGGGAAGGGGGGAATAGTGGGACACATAGAGGGCTGGAAAAAAGGGATAATAGGACACATGGAGGGCTGTAAATATGTAAATGGGCAGCAACCCAAACAAAGGAAACCCCTCAAATCCTTCAACAAATAGAGAAAGCAATACGAAAAGATGGAGTAGGGCTGCACCAACATAAAATAAAAGAGTCCCAAAAAATCTCACTAGAGCAGCAATGGACAGTCAGGGATACTTAATAAAATGTAGATGAGTAGACTCTTCAGTGGAAATAGGTGCGTCAGAATGTCTCAGGGTGTTTGTTTGTTATATGGAAAAGAAGAGAAACAGAGGCAGCCAATAGTACAATAAGTCGAAAATCCAAAGTGCAATAAAATAGTAGGAGGTACAAAAATCGCATTTAAAGGAGCTAAAATCCCTGCTTATGGGATATATATGACGAAAGTGCACTTTCTTCATATATCCCATAAGCAGGTATTATACCGCTGTACGCCCTGCTACACACCCAGACTACTCCAGTCCTCTTAACCCTGCTGTTATTGAGAAACTGCAATAATTACTTAAGAAAAATATCAAACCAGAATAGGAATGTTAAGACTCCACAAATTGTTCTTTAAGCCAGCTCACTCACAAAAAAACATGAAAGAAAAACAAATATTTAACACAAGAATTGTAACAAAAGAGGGAAAGCCTGTCTGCCAAGTTCGCTTCCACGCTTTACTGTAGAAGCTCCTCCAAACGGTACATCTAGGATGGATTTTGGGGCTGTATAATTCTATAATGAAATCTTCATTGTATAAGGAAATAACCCCCTCTCTTGTTTTAGTGTTGGACAAAAACATAATCCACAGAAGTCATTGTTAGATTCATGCCAAAAACAATGATTTGGAAATGTGTTTACATGTTCTCAGAGCTTAGCAATGCAAAACAGTCTGCCATGTACACTCAACACACATCAATTTCTGGAATACAAGATGCATTTTTTTTGTTTATTTGCTTGTTTTGTTTTTAAATTTGTTATTTAAGGCCAGAAATTGGTACAGAAACAAGCAGATGCAATACACGATTTGTGAGTAAGACAGCAGCCGAAACCAAAAATTCGGAACAGATTTTCAGTCAAAAACAAATGGCTGAAGCACCCAAATAAAAAAGATAGACATAAAGTAAAGAGAGAAGAGGGGAATCTGAACTGCGGGACTGGGAAAGCACCCTTTCCTATGACAAGAGAAGAGTTAAAGACCCCCATATTCCTCTCAAGGAGGAAACATGGTGTTTCTGACTTTGGCCATCATCAAATGTTTTATGGTTTAATTTGAGCAAAATCACATCCTTTGAAGAGACGGAATCCTGTAACCAACTATAAGCCAATGCTTATATAATAATTGCTGATCAGTATATAAAAAACCCTCTATCAGATATAATAATAAAAAGATCATGGGTCCAATATAATTGGTCTATGGAAAATATTAATCAGACAGTCATGAAAATGTTCAAAAAACTGGCATGTCCACCAAATGTGAAGGTAAGTAAATTTAAAGCAGCCTCCCAAATGTCTTCAAAATTTCCCTTCCATTTTAAAAAAAAAATTATTTTGAAGAAAAATTCCCTAAATTGGGAAATAGGCAGTTTTTCAAAATAAAACAAAACAAACATTTTATCCCTATAATTTAAACCTCGCACTAATATACAAAATAAAAACAAGCTTGTATAAATTAGACCCAGTTGGATCTGATTTATGCAAGAGGAAATGTGGCTTGTCTTTTACTGCACGTAATCTATTTAGGAAAGGAAATCTTTGTGGAATAATCATTGGGAAACTTAATTAGAACAATGACTCATTGTTAACTAAAACACTTGGAAAGAAATAAGAGAAAATACTTTTTTTAAAAAGTGTTTTGCAAAATAATCTTAGAAAGTAAATTTTAGGACTGAATAATTCAAATTGTATATTTATCATGTCATGGCGTTATCCGAAGCAGACTTCTGAAGAGCAAGCTAAGCTATTGACGTGTTTGTCTTCAAATTCTTTTGCTTTATGCTGAATACCATATCGTATTACTGGACCAGCACAAAACAATGAATTGTCATTTAATAGCTTGGCCTAACCTGTTGACCTGTTGACCTGTAGAGGACACAACAAGCTGCGGGTTTGAAAACTCTTAACCCCAATATTGTTATATTTCTAAAAATCTTAGATACTGCGTAAAAAAATAAAAATAGCTGCCTGCCATCACCAGTGTGTGTAAAATGTATATGGTTTAAGACGCTGTCCTCTTCATGCCAAGGGGTTAAATAAATTCCATTATGTCATGGCAGACATGGTATATCATTGGTCGTTTTTCCCGTCACTATTAACATTGTGCATAAATACACATTGTTACTGTTGTTTGTAGTGCAAAGCTATGCAGACATATTGGCCACAAGCCTCTCTATTAAAACGTAAGAAATGATCAGCTTTGGGGTCAGGGCCTGTGAGTCATAACATCCCTCTGCATATTATTTATTTTTATCTTTGGATTTTATTGATGAATTAAAATAAGATATTTATAGTGTGTACAGTAATGTACAGTAAATCATAGCATTAACAAGAAAACAACTGCATTCAAAACAGGTTCTCGCATATATTTTCTATGCACTGTTTTTCAATACAAAAACTTGCTAAAATATGTAAATAGGTAAAACCCGATTCCTCTGCATATTTACCGTACCTGGCCAGTGTTTTATTGTGTTTATAGAGGGGGCTAGATAAGGAACACATAAACCCCCTCTCTAATATCTTTCATATTTATTTAGTGTTTTTGTCCCTCCAAACGGAATGTCATTTTCACATGTGCGCCAAATCAATGAAGCATCACTTGTATCACCCACCAGAGTGACATTTAGTGCTCCAAATACACAACAGCCATTCAGTGCCTTTATAGACAATCTGAAACTGGCATCCTTATGTGATTGTTGTATTGGATTTGATTTATATTGTCCTGCTGTGAGTTAAGGTTTCTGATATCCTGGCCAAGGCTTGTTATGGTTCCTTGCTGGCTGCTCATATTGACCTTTGGCTTGTTTTGCAATTACTGTTTTTAGTACACTGACCTTGGTTAGTTTTCGGTTACTCTCTTTTAGCCCCTGGTAACCATTATTTAAACTACAGCCATATAAAAGACCTTTAATCATTCAATACCTTTTTTGTTGGTGCTTATGGGAATGTTGGTTTATGCTTATAAGGAAAAGAGGTTCCTATGGGTTTATTCTTCCCATGTTCAGTATGAGGATAAGGTGTAACACTGATGTCATGGGGAAAGGAAGGGAATAAGCACCAGACCAGGTAAGAATGATGAATTGTAAGCAATGGAATAAAGGTGCAAGGTTTTGAATAAAACATTCTAACTGCATTGCAAAACTTCTCAAAATCAAAGATGGGTGAAACATGGTCCAGGAATAATTAGGAGAGGAAGGTGCTGCATCTTTTTTGTTGTTTTCAATAACTTGGAAGATATACAGGATAGAAATATGACTTTGCATAAGTTACCAAATACGTTGATATCGGAATTTTTACAGCATTCATAAAAAAGGCTAAAGAGGAAGGATAATTAAAAGGGGTTTAAAAAAGTGTGGAAGCCGTACGTCAAACTCAAGTGCATACCTATGGCCCTATACATAATTAAAAATTGTGCTTTTCTTTTATTGCCATATCGTTGTTAAAGGACCACTATAGGCACCCAGACCACTTCAGCTCAATGAAGTAGTCTGGGTGCCAGGTCCATCTAGGGTTAACCCTGTCTGCTGTAAACATAGCAGTTTCGACACTCACACACTGATAAGAGGCCAAGTGCGCTAATCTGCTGGGGAGCTGAGTCAGCACATTGCCAGGTAAGTATTTATAGAGATTGTGTTACAGAATTATCACCTTACAGCGCCCATTCTCTTGTTACTTCTAAAATTGCCTTCCTTTATTTGACCGCTAAACGCAGGTGAATGGGCTTTCAGCTGTCAAAGTATCGAAAAATAGAGTACTTTACAATAGGGTTAATCCAGCCTCTAGTGGCTGTCTCATTGACAGCCGCTAGAGGCGTTTCCGCGCTTCTTACTGTGATTTTCACAGTGAGAAGATGCCAGCGTCCATAGGAAAGCATTGAGAATGCTTTCCTATGGACTGAATGAAGGCGCGCGCGGCTCTTGCCACGCATGCGCATTCAGCCGATGACGTCCAAAGGAGGAGGAGAAAGGTAAGTGTTTAACCCCTTCCTCCAACTTCAGCCCGGCGGGAGGGGGGCCTTGAGGGTGGGGGCGAGTTTGTTTTCCTGGCACTATAGTGGTCCTATAGTGGTCCTTTAAATGTTGTAGATCTAAATTGGCTAACACCTGCTCCTGTGGCTATGCAGGCCCTTCTCAAATATGCACTACAAAATATGACACCACGCAAAGGTCTTAAATATCTACTTACTGTACAGCAATAGCTTAGTGTTATTATATCGTTATTCCCTCTCGTACTCTAAACATAATACGAGATGTATCACCATATGACCTCATCACTGCAAACCTCCTCCTTTTAATTTAAAAACACAACACCTGTTTACTTTATGTTTATAATTATTATTGCAAATTATGCAACTTCTGCAGAGTTTTTAACCTTGTTCTTGTACATTAGACAAGATCTGTTTCAGATCAGCTTAAGACCCCAGTATAAAAAGTCCATATGGTTATCACGACTTAAGGGCAGGTAGGACTTATCTAATAGCTGATATGTTGTTATCACTCTTATCTACAATATACTATAAAATGTGCCATGTTCTGATATGCCAAATACTTGTTCCTAACTGTTGACCAACGAGCGGGCAATAGCTGTTATGGCATTGCTTACCTCTCTGTATTTTTTTTTTTTGAGCACGAAAAAAATAAAGACTTTAAATACATTTTTAAAAAAGGGGTAAAAAAAGATTGTTTTTTGTTTTGTTTTTTGCCACAATATTTGAAAAATCCTTCTTGACTTTATAATGACAGATTTATCCTTGGATCAACAAACTGTTACATATTATAGTGAAGGCTGTAGAACTTAATATCTAACCCCATATATTAACTATTATATAATAGAATGTTTTGTTTTACCAAAAATCAAAAAAGGGGTGGGGGGGTTGGGGGGGGAGGAGAATTAAAATAACTAGAATTAAAAGTACAGGGAAAATGAACCGCCAGGACGGCAATTTTTTTTAATATATTCATTATGGGCCCAAAACATACTGTCTGTCAAAAACCCAGCCCTATTGTGCCCATAGCATTTAGAGCATTGAGGAGACATATGGCCCAACAATGGTTGGGCGGTATGGAATTGTGGTAAGTGGGCAACTTGTGTCACTAGTGATGCCCATAATGGATAGGCCTGCCAAGGACATTGACTGACAGCCTCCCAGACGGCCCCCAATATACAGGATTATGCATAGAGTGCTGCTGAAGAGCTCTATGCATGATTCTAGTGCATAGTACAAGCACAACTAATCATGTCCCCTGGATAAGTGACACCAGGGAAATAAATTGGATGTTGGGAAAGAACCTCAATATAGGGACTGCCCCGCCAAACGTGGGGCTGTTGGGAACCCAGGGGAGTTCTCCTACTGTAACAGGGGAGACACGTTTCTCTAATGTCTGAATTATCTTTTTGTTTGAAATGGCTACATGGATACTGTGTGCATCAAGATTTCAGAGCCAGTTGGTAAGAGATGTTTGATAAATAAATCTTCTTACACCATATGCGGCTTGATTTTTATCCTGGAAGGTGTTTAGAAGCAGCTGTTTTAGAGCGGTAATTCCCGAACAAATTCCTATCCACATTACAAAAACTCAGACACTCTGCTTAATAGTGTGCTTTTTAACAAAAAGTTTAAAAACAATTACAGTAGCATTTGAAAGAAACCTATTTTTCCAGTGCTTGTGGTTATTGCCAGTAAAGATTATGAAAATATACTCTGCATTTTTCTCTAGGGACTCCAACAGTTGGGAGACTCTCATTCTTGCCTCCTCTTCTTTGTTTTTTATTATTCTCTGTTCTATTTGTATGCTATCCATTTTTTTTCTCCAATAAAGAGTATAATTGTTTATACAGACACTAAATACCCCTCTCTGTCTCTGTCTGATTTCAAATCAAGCCTTTTCTAATCTCTTACTCTATAATAATTAAAGCTCTGGTAACACCAGTTTAAGGTATGCGATAAGTCCATATACTAGTAGATATAAAGCTAATGGCAGACCAAAGGGAAACAGGAAAAAGTGAACAGCTAATCAGGCTTTCAGCCCCGTGGGCTCAATTTCAAAATCAGACGCATTAGGTGTTATTAGATTGTGGCTTTAATGTGGCTTAATCAGGTTTAGAAACTCTTTAACTCGGCTATTTTGACCTCGTGAATGTGAAATAATCCTGTGAATGTTGTGGATATTAGAATGATAGGTGGGACTCTTTAATAAGACGAATTCTGAGCAACAAACTGAATATAACGAGGTAGGGAGAGGAGTATATACAGCTTATTCATTAACACCGTGCCGTGTAGGCGGTTGACTGTTTCTTGCCCTCTTGTCTGTGAACAAATTTGTGGCTATTTACTAAACTGAGAATTTAAAGTGAATTCCAATTTTAAGGTCAGAGTAGTCAAACTAAAAGCATGACTGATTTAGAGGGGAATTAAAATGATAATCATATAGTTTTTCTGTCCTTTGTCCCTACTACACTATGAATCATTTTCTTTGACCAGTCATGTTTTCTTTAAACTAAGCAGCACTACATCGCTAATAAAACAAACAAAAAAAAAAACAAAGGTTATTGTCTACAGAATTAACTTCTCTGTTGCACTATGAACTATATAGAAAGTATAAGCTTGATGTATAATTGGAGACTCTTTATCAACATAGCAGGCTGACAGTTCACGCAGTGAAATAAATAGCACATGTAAGATCATTTGTAAAATTGTATCTTCATTGTGGCATATAAAACAATCTAAACAAAAAACACAAAAAGAAAAACACAAAGCAACTGATACACAATAGATTGTTGTACACAATGAAATTAACCTAAATAGCTGTTTCCACACTGTTTAAGATAACCAAATCTTATACACGTTATATGTGCAGGCTTTTCTGCAGGGTAATATAAAATGGTTTCCCTTTTAAAAGGATGACATTTGTAAAACGTATACTGGGCAGCATTGATTTTAAAAGGACACCAAAACAACTTTTGTTTAATGAAGCAGTTTTGTTGCGTAGATCATGCCCCTGCAGCCTCATTACTCAATTATCTGCCATTTAGAAGTTAAATCACTTTGTTTATACAGCCCTAGCTACATCTCCCTGCAAATGACGTACGCAGCCTTACTAAACACTTCCTTTCAAGCGTCATCTAATGTTTACACTTCCTTTATTGCACATTATGTTTAATTTAGAATGTATTATCTCCCACTCTGTTAATAGCTTGCTAAACCCTGATTAAAGTGATTAAAGTTCAATTTACAGAACAGGCAATAATTTAAAGTAAGTTACATCTGATTGAAAATGAAACCATTTTGTTTTTATTCAGGCTATGTCAGTTACAGCCATGGCAGGTGTGGATAGGGCTGCATGGACAGAACCAAACGTGGTCTAACTCCTAAATGGAATTGAGCAGTAAGACTGCAGCGGCATGATCTATACACCCAAAATGCTTTGTTAAGCTAAAGTTGTTTTGGTGACTACAGTGTAACTTTAACAGAAGCCTTTTAGAATACACATATCCTCCTCCCCTTAACCCCTTAAGACCGTAGGGCGTACAATTACGCCCTATTTTAGGCGGCTCTAAACGCCGCCGGGCGTAATTGTACGCCCTCCGGTCTTTCTTTACTTCCCAGGGAGCCCCCCCGCGGCAGATCCTCCTCCTCCGGTGCCCCCGGGCCATGTGAGAGTGAGGTCCTTGCGAGGACCCCACAATCACATGGCCGGTATAGCTGGCTTCTGTATTGCCAGCAGGGGGGCTGCCTGTAATGACAGGTGGTCCCCCTGCTGGCTGGAAATAAAATGAAAATAAATTAATTAAGTGTAAAAAAAATATATATATATATATATTTAGATCATATATATATATATATGATCTAAGTATATATATATATACACATATACATACACACACATATACTGTCTAGGTGTATTTTACTATTATAATTATATATATATTAATATCAAATTACACGTAGACTGATACTGATTAAATATATATATAATTATTGTTATATATATATTTATCTATAATATAAAAAAATGAAATATGTAAATACGTTAAGAAATAAATTTAAAAAAAAATAATTAAAAAATATATACCGGTAGATGTGTGTTATTTCGTTCTAACTGTATTGTGATATTAATATATATATATATTTATATCAAAATACACATAGAACGAAATAATATATATATCTACATACATAAATATATACGTATATATCACTATATATATACCTATATATAAATAAAAATATTTTAAAAAAATTATATGTATATACACATATAGATTCACATACGTATATATATACATATATTAATTCTACATATATATTTATGTAATATTTTTACATAATTAGGTATCTTAATTAATTACAATTAGCTGGACCTGCCTGACAACCCATGCCGAAAGTAAAGGGAATTTAATTTGCTAGCACTATATTTAACCCTATAACTTTCCAAGACACCATAAAACCTGTACATGGGGGGTACTGTTCTACTCGGGAGACTTCGCTGAACACAAATATTAGTGTTTCAAAACAGTAAAATGTATTACAACGATGATATCGCCAGTAAAAGTGAAGTTTTTTGCATTTTTCATGCACAAACAGCAGTTACATGGACAATATTATTGCTGTGATACTTTTTACTGTTTTGAAACACAAATATTTGTGTTCAGCGAAGTCTCCCGAGTACAACAGTACCCCTCATGTACAGGTTTTATGGTGTTTTCAAAAGTTACAGCATCAAATATAAGGCTTGTGTTTCATTTTTTTCACATTAAAATTCGCCAGATTGGTTACGTTGCCTTTGAGACCCTATGGTAGCCCAAGAATGAAAATTACCCCTATGATGGCATACCATTTGCAATAGTAGACAACCCAAGGCATTGCAAACGGGGTATGTCCAGTCTTTTTTAGAAGCCACTTAGTCACAAACACAGGCCAAAATTGGCGGTTTTTGCATTTTTCACACAAACAAATACTAACGCTAGCTTTGGCCAGTGTTTGTGACCAAATGGCTACTAAAAAAGATTGGACATACCCCATTTGCAATACCTTGGGTTGCCTACTATTGCAAATGGTATGCCATTGTGGGTGTAAATTTCATTCCTGGGCTACTATAAAGTCCCAAAGGCAGCGTAACCAATCTGGCGAATTTCAATTTCAAATGTATAGTGCTATATTTGACCCTGTAACTTCCCAAAACGCCATAAAACCTGTACATAGGGGGTACTGTTTTACACGTGAGACTTTGCTGAATACAAATATTTGTATTTTATTGCAGTAAAAGCAAACAGTATTATGACATTGAGTTAAAATGTCATGTAGAACTAAAAAAATTAAAAATAAATCTTATTTTCTCCCATTTTTTTCATATTAAATTAAGTTTCATAGCTAAATATTTGATAGTAAATGAAAGCCCTGTTTCCCCTGAATAAAATGATATATAATAAGGGTGGGTGTATTTACTATGAAAGAGTTGAATTATGGTTGGACAGACATGTAGCGCAAATGCCAGGTTTTGTTTACATTTTGTTTCGTTCACAACGTGTACATTTGGCTCCGTCCTTAAGGGGTTAAAGGAGACATCAGCTCATCCTACTGAACAAGTGTTATAAGTAAATTAACAATACAAACCTTTTGCAATGGCAGTGAGCTCCTCCTCCTTCCAATCTTTTTGTATACACTTGGCTTCCATTTTCTGTTTAATAGGAAAATGCATCATTTTAGATGATTCTTCTGGGAATTGTAGACAAAATTAGTATTCCATTGTTATAGTAAATCAACTATATCACTGTAGCAGTGTTCCATTCTTTATATTTCCTTTAAATCCAGGTGAAATCTTTTGATCAGAGCTGAACTTATGAAAAAAAACTGTCAAAGTTAACGTGAGGGGAAAAAAATAGGAAAATGAAGAATCTATTGTGATGTTTTTATATCAACCATAAATATGTTAGACTAGAAATGGAATGTTAAAGGCAATTCACCTTACACAATAAAAAAAAAATAGAATCAGCGACGGTACAGGATAGTTTCAAAAATAGCTGAGTATGGTCCTTTAAAAAAAAAAAAAAAAAAACTTTGGTCACTGGCCACTAATGGAATTTACTGTAAACTGCTTAAAATATTAAGCAGAGACAAGAGGCTGAGAGAAAAAATATTAAATTATGATTCTCAGACAGGAGGGCTCAGTCCCGATGGTAACACAACATTTTAATAAAATATTCTGTAGATAAATCTGTTTAGATGGATTAATAAATTAAGGCTCACATATATAAACATACGAAATAAAAATGCTTCCTTATAGACGCAGAAGCACTTGTTCCACAGCACATAACTAAATTTACTGGAAACTTGGTCACGATTTAATATTAAAGATCTGATAAATTCATCTTACTTTACATAAAAGATTTTGTCTTGATATTTAAGTATTTGATATATATATTAAAATAGAGTACAAAATTATATTTACTGTTTTTACTATCAACTATATATTTTGAGACTGGAATGATGGTTTGAAAGCTCATTGTACAAACATTAATCGGGTATATTTTGGTCCCTGTTCTTAGCTACATTTATGCTGAACTTTAAAAAATATATTATCTTTTATTTCAAATGGAGGAGTGGGGTAAAGTTTCACTCCAAGACACGTCACAGTTACTAGTTATAAAATATATACGCATGACTTGAAATACTGTAAGGATTAGTAACGAGATGATTTCAGGCAGAAAGCACTGCTCAGAGGCTGAACGGTCGGGGTTCCTTTGATAGTTCTTATCTGATTTATGTTGTTAGCTCCTACAGATCTGTTTCCCTGCTGGTGTCCAAACACAGAGCATACAGAGACTTCTTAAGATCCATGTTGCTTTTTGCTTTAATGTTGGATTTTTCTAAGGTGCCACCTCCATTGTTCATACCTTCTAGGTTCTCTAAGTGTACCCCAGACTTAGTGAGAGAGGATTTGCTGGGACTTCCTTTAAGGTCCTCCATACAGCTCCCCTGTCCACTGTCTGGCTCTCCTTTCAAGATCACCTGTTCATCATGGTCTGTTTCTCGATGGTAGAAATAATTAAAGTTGGACACAATGACAGGTACTGGCAATGCAATAGTCAGCACTCCAGCTATGGCACACAAAGACCCTACGATTTTACCTCCAACGGTTACTGGCCTCATGTCCCCATAGCCTACAGTTGTCATAGTGACCACAGCCCACCAAAAGGCATCAGGGATGCTTGAAAAATGGGAATCTGGGTCATCGGCTTCTGCAAAGTACACTGCACTGGAAAAGAGGATGACACCAATAAAAAGGAAGAAGATTAAAAGGCCTAGCTCCCTCATGCTGGCTTTCAGAGTCTGTCCAAGTATCTGGAGACCCTTAGAGTGCCTGGACAGTTTAAAAATCCTGAAGACCCGCACCAGTCGGATTACCCTCAGGATGGCCAGAGACATGGCCTGTTGCCCATTATTGGTCTGCTGTTCTGCCAATTCTGTCCCTAGAGTGATAAAATAAGGGATTATAGCCACAATGTCAATGATGTTCATTATGTTTTTAGAGAAATGAGACTTGCTGGGGCAGGCGAAGAATCTGACCAGGAGTTCAAATGTGAACCAGATGACACAGGTAGTCTCAATGATAAAGAAGGGGTCTGTGAGGCCGCTAAGAGGAGAAGGAGGGGGCTGGGTATCATTCAGCACCCTGGACAGCGGTGGAGGCAACTCATTTTCATCTCTGAATTCTGGCAGGGTCTCCAGACAGAAGGTGATTATAGAGATGAGGATAACAAGCACAGAGACTATGGCAATACCTCGGGCAGAGTTAGAGCTCTCTGGATACTCAAAGATCAGCCAAACCTGGCGTTGAAACTCATTCTTGGGAAGAGGTTTTTCATCCTCCTTCAGGAACCCCTCATCTTCCCTAAACCTCTCCATGGCCTCCTCCCCCAATTCATAGAAACGGATCTCATCCGCAAAGACGTCGATGGAGACATTTACTGGCCGTCTGATCTTACCACCAGACTGGTAGAAGTAAAGGATGCCATCAAAACTAGGTCTGTTACGATCAAAAAAATATTCATTCCGCAGGGGGTCAAAAAACCTCATTCTCTTTTCCGGGTCTCCTAGCAAAGTATCTGGGAACTGGTTGAGAGTAGACAGCTGTGTCTCAAACCTCAGGCCAGCAATGTTGATGATGACCCTGTGGTTGCGGTCATGGTCCAATGTGCCCATGTCACAGTGGTGATGGGACTCCTCGTCTTCCTCTGGGTGATGGTGAGGGTGGGCATGGAGGTCCTCTTCATCCAGCTGGATGTCACAGTCCTTGATGTTACTATTAGGATGGCTCATGATCATGTCGCTGCTGTGCAAGCAGTCGCCCACACCTCCACCTCCTCCTTCTCAGCTGGTCCCTAGTGGCAGATATTGCTGCTGTTGCTGTGGTCGCTGCTGGCAGCTTCCCCCACTGTCTTCCCCTCCTCTCCCTTGGCTGCAATCGTTCAGCCAAGATGGTGCCCTGGGGATTTGAGGCAGATCCCTCCTGCTGGTTGTGCTGAGTGCCATGGCAGTGCCCCCATCCTCCCTCTTAGCCAGCTAAAGCTGTGGCTGCTGTTTTTCCCATTCATTGTTCAGCATGTCCCAGATCCCAGGCACAGAGAGGGGGGAGCAATGCAGGACTGGCTCTGGGATTAATGAAGCTATCTATGCGAAGAGCAAGTCAGAAAGTATCAGCAGAGCAGAGCCAGCCCCTGTCTGTCTGTGAGACCAAACAACACCAGGAGAGGGGACCCGGATGAGAGCAATCATTATTCCTGACGTCAAGGATGCCTTCTCTTCCCATCCTAGATACACACAAAAAGATCTTTGCAATCTGTTCACCTCTCTCCTCTGTGCAGGCTGACTGCGTCTATGTATCTTTCTGTACCATTATCAGGATTCTACTTCATGTGAATTCCACCTCCTCTGTACATCTCTCCGAAATGCACCTTTCTATCCCAATCCTTTCTGTAACTGTACTCAGTCTGTGTCACTCTTTTCTGTAAGTCAGTCTCTCTTTTTCCTTTCTGAAGATCTTTGTGATATGAGCACCATTTCAGTCTGCATAGTGCCCCCCCTCCCCCCCTCCGTACCCACTGCATGGCTCTCAAGCTCTATGAATTATTACATCCCTCTGTTCATCCATCTCTCCCAATGCATTCCTTTTTATCCCTTGCTTCCCTTCATCCCTTCCCCTCTAGGCATACACGCTTACTTTTCATCATATCTCCTCTTTCCTGTCTGCAGGCACCCCCTGTCTTCTTTCCCGGAATATCATTTGCTTGCTCTATCCACTAAATGTATTTTAATAAAATTCACCCTCCTCTGCATTTACGTCCTCCATTGTAATTGTCTTACACACTCCCCTTTTTTGTCCTCTTGAAATCTCTTTAAACCCCCCCACTCTATTTGTTTATCAAACTAATGTATTCTTCATTACCCCTAATACATATCCACATTTTATTCCTCATTATTCTATTCTACTCTTCCTCACTCCTCCTATGCCTTTACCCTATTTTTTTCAGTACAATTTCTATAAATCTGGTATGAAAGGGTTAACATTGTATACTTAGAAAGATCACAGCAGGTGAGTCTATCCAACATAATAATCGTAAAACTTCCAATAGCTGTCTGTCAAACACCACGGTGGTCCCAGGTGAAAAAGGGAGGGAGAAGGGGAAGATACTTTATTGCCGCCAGGCCCCTATAACATATTTTATTCCTCATACCTTACTACATTTGGGTCATCAGAACCTCTACATATTATTAGGTATTGGGACGGGGGACAGGATAAGGGTAATATGCTGCATATCTATCTGGTTTAGAACTCCCTACATCCTGTGTGTCTAGGCGATTTGACAGACTCTTGCTGGTTAAAAGGAATACTCCAATGACCATAACCACTACAGCCTGCTGCAGTGGTTATGGTGACAGGAGGACTCTGAAGCAGTCCGATAATTAATCTATCAAACCATTATAGAACAGTTTGACAACTTACCTGGGTTTCACTAGCTCATTGCCTGTAGCCCTTTCAACTGGGTTCTCCTTGCAGGAGAATTCTTTTAGATCTACTGAATGAAGCAGAGCCATGCAGAACCATGCTCATTGGCTGAGAGCGTCAGTGCGGCGCAGTCATGAATCGACCAGGTTTCAGTGAAGACAACCAGCTATCCTGTGGCAGGGTACACAAGTAAATTTTAAAACCTCAACCATTAATTTTGGAAGGGGTAGAGCAATGCTGCAACTAAAACCACTGCATGTAGTGTTACTTTAATATTGGGGTCTGGGAAAGCACATATTTTTAAACTTTTTATTTTTCCTGATATCACCCAAACTCAGCACTACGTTAGAAACGAACAAACATACACTGGAAGTAGTGAGTTATGCCTGGAAATCAGCCAAGGGGTAAAAAGCACTCTTGACATCTCTTGACCTCTGTGTGAGAATCATATGTTACAGGAGGTAATCCAGTTAACTAAAAATGGCAGTTCCTTCAAGATTCCTCCTTGTTTGAATAATTATCAACCCTACAGCAGCACGTGAATGCTGCATATTGCAGGGCCTGATTTATACGTCAGATGCAGGTAGGCACAGAATTCTAAGGCACCCCCGCTCATAAAAGAAAAAACCTCCCGACGATAGAAAAGAAAAATACAAATAAATGTACTATTCCAACTTTTCAGGCATAGATTGTCAATGACCCTTGCATTCTTGGAATCTTTGTGTGCCGTAGGGAAGTCTGCCGCAGTGGCTGAGCGGTCGTTGTCTGCTCTCTCCTTTCTGTTCTGTTTTCTAGGCTGGGTGGATCTTGGGGGCTCTCCTGAATCAGCTGCTAGAGTTCTTGCCACAGGTTTGTGTTTCAGATTACGAGGTGTTACTGTTTCAGGTGACCTTCACTGTGCCCCTTCGCATAGGGGAACTGGTAGTGCCGTGGGCCAATGCTCCAGCTGCATTGCTTTTCTCAGGTGTCTCGTTATCCGCACAAAGGGTACTGTTGGGTAGCCGCCGTTCCAAAACAGATCAGGCAGGTAGGGGTGCTCAGGTTTGTATTGGCTTTACAGGAGGGCCATTCTGTCCAGATCGTTTGCTATGAGAATATCTGTTGGTTCATGGAGGCCGGGAAGGTTCGCTGTAAGTTCATCGGAACGGCTTGCCCTTGACCCAGTATCCGTTGCTAGTGTATTGTTGGGACAGGTGGTGACCCCAGGCAATATACATCACATTCGTTTAGGATAGGTGCAACTACACAGGCCGGGAGCATAGTGGTGGGAATCGCGGTGGTGGGAAAAGTATGGAAAAGTGGCACCTGGGAAGCCTACAGTTCACACAGGGCTGATGGCTGGTGACGGCTGTGCTGGGCTATTGGAAAATGTAATGGAGAACTGTCTATTGGGCTCTCACCCAACAGCTGACAGGTTTTATAATGTTATGTGATGGTTAATAAAGCTATGGCAGTTGCCGTTATCCACTAAAAAGATGTCCATTGTGTTATTGGGGATAACGGTGGGAGATGGAGATGGGTCAGCAGTCATGTATAATTCAGTGCTGTTCCTGCTCCTCCTGCAATGCATTTCCTGAATGAGAGGCTATAAGTTAGCAGATGGGAAGTGATCCCTTCCACTTCCTGTGCAGCCTCACACACAGATACTGGAGGAGCTGGGATAGCACTGAGCTTTGCACTAGGAAGATCCTACTTTTTGTGAGTGAGTTTTCATTTGTTTTTGTTTGTTTTTTACTTGCATATTTATAAATGAATATATTACGTATGCTCTTATCATTCTTCCTTTAATAGTATATTTGATAATTACTTGGAAGATTAAAAGTAATTTCTATTTTTTCTTTTTATTACATGCACTTCATGTCTGCACATTTAAGACACTGCACTTGATTGCTGAATTTTGCTCCTGAGACACTTTTCATTGTTTGCTTTTGGGTCGTTGGGGGACACTCTGATCAAACTGGCAGCACTTCGTATTCACATTGATATTTTTATTTCACTCGTACGTCACTCATAAGTAATATGTGTCCAAGAAACCAAAGTGTATCAGGCAAAATAAAAACCGTATTATTCCGTACAGCTCGCAGCCCAAACGTCTTACAAAGTATCTGGTTATTAATATAAAACCAAGACATTTGGGAATGCAATTAAAGTGAAATAAAGTGATATTTATTCTCAAGCACTTGGCGGTGCTGACTCCTGCGTGTTATAAAGTGTTTGGCTAAATTAAAACAAAATTAATTCCTGTTTTTCATTTTGATTTTAGATTACTCAGTTTACATATTTGCTGAAAAATTCAGCACTTTGGGACAAATATTCACCAAACAGTACATTGTAGGGAAATGAAAGCTAAAATTCAGGCTATATATAAATAATAAAGCTGACAAAATGGTTCAAGAATATTTCCAAACCTTTCAAGCCTAAACTCTGCAATTCTGTTTTAAATTAATTACCATTCACTCTTTACTAAATAAACTTGTAATAAACATAGCAGACATCTTTAAAACGTATTCACTAAACTATTCATTTTTACAACATACATCCCAAGCCTCCCGGAGGTTCTGGGAGTCTCCCGCAAATTATATACAATATCCCGGAAATCACACACACAATCTGACAAACAATGTATATGAGATTGTGTGTGTGATTTCCAGGATATTGTATATGATTGGCAGCCACCCGATAATACTCACTAAACAGGGGCCCCGGTCAGGTGCCTTTAAAAGCAGGAGACAGGGAGGAAGTGACAGCCTGTTACTTCCTCCAAGCTTCACAGAGTGCCGTGCAGGAAAAATGGAGGAGGAGGAGGCTGGCAGCGGCAGTACAGGAGCATGGAGGCAGAGGAGAGGCCGAAGTGAGCTGCTACTGCATGCTCACTCCCATCAGCCTCAGCCAGTACCAGGACCCCAAGCAAGCCTGGACAAAAAAGATAAGCGATCCATGTATAGATAATGGAAATGCACTCAAAACCTTGTCCTGGAATCCTGGGTGCAATAGAAACTGGATAAGCCCCAGTACCAAAGGGACCAAATATCAGATTTAAATGTAGAAAATAATCCAGACACTCCAAGGTATTCCAACAAATAGGCAATTTTATTGGACCCAAGCACCAAAAAACTACGTTTCGACCCCTCAGGAGGGTGGGTGCAAATATAAAAAGTATGACAAGTATGTGTGTATGTGTTTCAGATTATGTGTGTGTGCATCTGTGTGTATGTCAGTGTGTGTTACAAGTATTTGTGTCAGTGTGAATCTGTGTGTATATGTGTGTGTGTCTATGTGCCAGTGTGTATCTGAAAGTCAGTGTGTGTGTCAGTGTGTATCTGAGTGTAGGTATCTGTGTGAGTGTGTATGTGCTGGTGTGTGTATCTGAACGTATGTGTCAGTGTTTGTATATCTGTGTGTGTGTGTGTTCAGTGTGTTTATCTGTGTGTATGTGCCAGTGTGTATTTATATGTTAGTGCATGCATTTTAGTGTATGTGTATATACCAGTGCGTGTATCTGTGTGTCAAGGTTTTCATACATGTTTAGTGGCTGTGTTTGTGGGTGGAGGGGGCGCAGTGGCTGGTGAAGCCACCTCCCTGAAATGCATTTTGCACATTGTGATGTCTGTTGCAATGAACTCCGAATGGTAAACCTGAGGGAAAAAAATAACTGATCTGGAAAAAATAAATGATTAAATCAGTTATAGTCACTGCCTGGCTATTTTGCATCAGTTTTGCAAGTAGAAATTTGTAAATATTCAAATAAAATAATATGGAGGTTTAATGTAAACAGCAATTCTGCAGTACAGCGCATGGTAATTGCATCACTTTCCAGAATTAAATTCAGGGATTTTTCCAGTTCAGAGCAAAATAAGGCAAAACATAACTAAACTGTGCCTGTCACTGAGTTGGAGAATTATTTCAAGTCCGCTATTTCAGCCTCAGTTTTGCCATTTGTACAGGGAGTGCAGAATTATTAGGCAAGTTGTATTTTTGAGGATTAATTTTATTATTGAACAACAACCATGTTCTCAATGAACCCAAAAAACTCATTAATATCAAAGCTGAATATTTTTGGAAGTAGTTTTTAGTTTGTTTTTAGTTATAGCTATGTTAGGGGGATATCTGTGTGTGCAGGTGACTATTACTGTGCATAATTATTAGGCAACTTAACAAAAAACAAATATATACCCATTTCAATTATTTATTATTACCAGTGAAACCAATATAACATCTCAACATTCACAAATATACATTTCTGACATTCAAAAACAAAACAAAAACAAATCAGTGACCAATATAGCCACCTTTCTTTGCAAGGACACTCAAAAGCCTGCCATCCATGGATTCTGTCAGTGTTTTGATCTGTACACCATCAACATTGCGTGCAGCAGCAACCACAGCCTCCCAGACACTGTTCAGAGAGGTGTACTGTTTTCCCTCCTTGTAAATCTCACATTTGATGATGGACCACAGGTTCTCAATGGGGTTCAGATCAGGTGAACAAGGAGGCCATGTCATTAGATTTTCTTCTTTTATACCCTTTCTTGCCAGCCACGCTGTGGAGTACTTGGACGCGTGTGATGGAGCATTGTCCTGCATGAAAATCATGTTTTTCTTGAAGGATGCAGACTTCTTCCTGTACCACTGCTTGAAGAAGGTGTCTTCCAGGAACTGGCAGTAGGACTGGGAGTTGAGCTTGACTCCATCCTCAACCCGAAAAGGCCCCACAAGCTCATCTTTGATGATACCAGCCCAAACCAGTACTCCACCTCCACCTTGCTGGCGTCTGAGTCGGACTGGAGCTCTCTGCCCTTTACCAATCCAGCCACGGGCCCATCCATCTGGCCCATCAAGACTCACTCTCATTTCATCAGTCCATAAAACCTTAGAAAAATCAGTCTTGAGATATTTCTTGGCCCAGTCTTGACGTTTCAGCTTGTGTGTCTTGTTCAGTGGTGGTCGTCTTTCAGCCTTTCTTACCTTGGCCATGTCTCTGAGTATTGCACACCTTGTGCTTTTGGGCACTCCAGTGATGTTGCAGCTCTGAAATATGGCCAAACTGGTGGCAAGTGGCATCGTGGCAGCTGCACGCTTGACTTTTCTCAGTTCATGGGCAGTTATTTTGCGCCTTGGTTTTTCCACACGCTTCTTGCGACCCTGTTGACTATTTTGAATGAAACGCTTGATTGTTCGATGATCACGCTTCAGAAGATTTGCAATTTTAAGAGTGCTGCATCCCTCTGCAAGATATCTCACTATTTTTGACTTTTCTGAGCCTGTCAAGTCCTTCTTTTGACCCATTTTGCCAAAGGAAAGGAAGTTGCCTAATAATTATGCACACCTGATATAGGGTGTTGATGTCATTAGACCACACCCCTTCTCATTACAGAGATGCACATCACCTAATATGCTTAATTGGTAGTAGGCTTTCGAGCCTATACAGCTTGGAGTAAGACAACATGCATAAAGAGGATGATGTGGTCAAAATACTCATTTGCCTAATAATTCTGCACTCCCTGTAATTTCATTTGCCACAATTCAAAGTTTAGTGAATACCCCATAGAGTCTTTGAAAAATAGCCTAAAAAACGGAGAGAAATCAATACAAACAATACAGATTCCAGTAGTTATCAAACCCTGAACTGACCTCCAATAATGTCTTCTTGTTAACAAAATGCCATCCTGCCACTTCCCAGTATTTAACAATTATTATTATTGTTTACATATCCCTATATTTAATGAATATATAATTGTAAGTCGTTAAAAATGAAACATATTCTTCAATTGGGCACCTCCATCTTGGCTCCCTGTCAGTCATTGCTATAAGATCTGTCCCCTGTACCTGGCAATCAGCAGAGAGAAAACATACAGAGAACAGAAGAAATGAAACATATCCCCCCTCTCATAATATTGTAAAGTGCTACGGAATCTGTTGGCACTATATAAATGGTGATAATAATAATAAACAAACAATGTTTCGATTTCTTTTTCTCATCTGCACTGTCTGCCCTGGTTTTGCCATGTCTGAATTAGGTTATGACGTCATTTTCTATATTGTGAAATAATTCTAAAAATAAATTGAGCGTCTCGTGAAAAAAAAGGATATTTGAAGCTTTTTTCCAAGTTTTATTTCAGTGGTGAAAATTCCAGAGAAATGATAGTGCCCCTTTAAGCACAGCTTGGAACCTATATTTGAGATTTGCAAAACATCTAATATGAGTAACTTGGAAAAAGGCATAAAAAATATCAGCACTGACATAAGTGGACACTACGAGCAGAAAAAATAATAGAAAATTTAATTTTTACAGTAATGTACACAGCGCCTGCAACTGGCATACTCTTTGATTGATGACCAGACCATGAAATTACAATAAACAGGATAATTACCTAATAGCAACTTAGTTTGGGAATGCAAAGATTTCTACTCATCCACTTTTGTAGATGGAATGACAAACAAAACAACAGCTGTCATTAAATTTTCACTGCAGTAGTTATGGGGCCAGGAGTTCCCTGGTGCATCGCCAGTGTAACTAGTCAAACTGTATTAAAACAGTTTGACTTTTTACCTCGTGTCCACACACAAACACAACCACACACATATATAACCACACAAAAATCAAGAAGAAAAAATGGCCAGTGTTCTAATAAACAATATTAAAGCAGCATTATTGGAGCAATGTATATGTGCTTGGACTCAACCGCAGGTTCTGATCCTGGATAGAAACATAGAATGTGACGGCAGATAAGAACCATTCGGCCAATCTAGTCTGCCACATTTTTTTTTAATAATTTCATTAGTCCCTGGCCTTATCTTATCGTTAGGATAGCCTTATGCCTATCCCATGTATGCTTAAACTCCTTTACTGTGTTAACCTCTACCACTTCAGCTGGAAAGCTATTGCATGCACCCACTGCCCTCTCAGTAAAGTAATACTTCCTGATTTTATTTTTAAACCTTTGTCCCTCTAATTTAAGACTATGTCCTCTTGTTGTGGTAGTTTTTCTTTTTTTAAATATAGTCTCCTCCTTTACTGTGTTGATTCCCTTTATATATTTAAATGTTTCTATCATATCCCCCCGTCTCGTCTTTCCTCCAAGCTATACATGTTAAGATCCTTTAACCTTTCCTTGTAAGTTTTATCCCGCAATCCATGAACCACTTTAGTAGCCCTTCTCTGAACTCTCTCTGAAGTATTAATTTCCGTCTGGAGATACGGTCTCCAGTACTGCGTACAATACTCCAAGTTAGGTCTCACCTGTGTTCTGTACAATGGCATTAGCACTTCCCTCTTTCTACTGTTAATACCTCTCCCTATAAAACCAAGCATTCTGCTAGCATTTCCTGCTGCTCTATTACATTGTCTGCCTACCTTTAAGTCATCAGAAATAACCATCCCTAAATCCCTTTCCTCAGATGGAACATCAACCCTGTTACATATCTTAACATCATCAGCATCACCATCAAGTCCTTCTGCAATATCACTAATAAAAATATTAAAGAGAATGGGTCCAAGTACAGATCCCTAAGGTACCCCACTGGTGACAAGCCCATGCTTTCAATATACTCCATTGCCTACAACCCTCTGTTGCCTGTCACTCAGCCACTGCCTTACCCATTCAACAATATTGCAATCCAAACTTAAAGATTGCAATTTATTGATAAGCCTTCTATGTGCAATAAACCCTCAATGTATACAAACAGTAAATAAAATTATGTCTACGTAGCAATTATGAATATTCTAAAAAAAACACCTTTATTTATTCATTAAATATAGCGACACAGCAGGATAAGACATCACCAGATGATGTTAACACGTTTCGTGTCACAGAGACACTCTATCAAATATCACACAACCCACACAACACACCAAAAAACAACATACCCACCCACACAAAAACATATTCTCCAAAAGTGTAATTTTTCACTTTTCATTTAAAGGACCCCAGACGCCAGACTGTGCCCCAGATCACTTCATCTCAATGTTTGTATTTATAACACAATAGAGTGTTCCTTTGAAAAACATGAGAAATATATCATTTTTGTAACGGAATCGAATGATATTGCTATTATATGATATACTTGGTCTGCAACAATTTGCAGACCTTTTTTGTTTCAAACTAGCAACGGGTTAATGTAATCTTTAAAGCAATTGGATTCGTGTGAGAAAAAAAAGTATTTCACAATGACACGTGAGAAATGAATAAACTAGGTGTGAAAAATGCCAGGTTCATCTGAGAGATTTCTCCCACACACATTAAACACTCCTCCCTGCACCGCATTTTCTATTTTTTGCAATGGAAGGAATTGATTTTTTTGTAGTGTTTATAAAAAGCTGCACAGATGTCATAGCTATTGAATGTTTAAAATCAGCGTGGGAATGAGCTTCCTTGAGTGAGGTTCCTATTTCCCTTGAGATCATACACTGTGTTGCGCATTTGGGAATTTAAAATAAACCAACACACTTTCATTTGTTTGCAAATTAACCGTATAAATGAATAACGGATAAATCTAATTAAAATACATATGTATATCTATATACCTAGAATCTTATCTTTCTGAAAAAAGTGGTGCAGTTTAAAACGCCAACAGTGGGAATTTGCTACTGTTGTGAAGTGGAAACATCTAGGGGTAACAATAGCCCAAGTACGAAGTGATAGACCACAAATGATCACAGAGTCGGAGCTCTGAGTGTCGAAGTACAAAGTATGTAAATAAATCGCCTATAATCTGTTGCATCACTACAACAAAGTTCCCAACAGCCTCTAGTACTGTGTGTTGGAAGCTTTATGAAACAAGTTTTCATGGCTGAGCAGTTGTACAGAAGCCTCACATCAACATGCGCAATGCCACGTGTTGGGAGTTGCCAGGAGAACACGATATATCAGTATGGGCAGTGCGTACTATACATTTGGTGGAGCACGGGTAATGGTGTGGAGCTGTTTAGTCTAGACACCTTAGTACCATCGAAGGCTCATCTTAATGCTAGAGGATGCAAAGATATTTTAGTAGTTTCCAGCATTTCAGGAACAATTTGGGAAAGAACCTGTTCTATTCCAGCATGATCGTACCCCTTTACACAAAGCAAAGTCAATGAAGACACAGTTTGCCGAGTTTGGTGTGGAAGGACACAGGTGATCTGCACAGAGTTCTGCCCTAAATGCCACTGAACACCATTAAGGTGAGTCACGACCTACTTATCAAAACATAGGTGCCAGGGGGCGGAGCCAAGCAGCACACGGAGACGGTCGCAAATCTTACCGGCTCCGACCATTTAAGCTAATAAACCGACAATCTTGGCGATTAAATCAGCCACACATGGACAATAACCGCGGAGCTACACGCAGGAGGGCCCATCGAACCCGCAGATGCCCTTCTTGTTCCCGGCGCCGAGGATCTCGGGCCTACCACACGGGCAGCCGGCGGCTGGATGGAACGGCAGCCTCGGGGCCACCCTCGACCTCCTCACCAATAACATCTTGGGAGACCCCTCCTACGACACAATGGGCCGAAAAAACCTGCGGCAAAGCCAACCGGCAGCCAGAGAGGGTCAAGATATCGGCAAATGCTCAGCTCGGCACCGCGCGCAAAAGAAATGGCGCACCCGTGGCCTGCATCCCAACCTGCTCTCATGGAAGAAAATACGCCAGAACTGGGGTCCCTGTTGTCAGGGGACTGAGAAGCCCATCCACAAAGGGAGACATATACAATTTATTCCTCTATATGCAGAGGATCTTCACGGCCATCACAGCAGTGAAGATGGAGGTACAGCAGGTAACTGCTAGGCTAAACACCACAGAGGCAGACATCACCTCACTGAAACAAGGCATAGACAACCTTGGGGACACAGTACAACACCTTAACTCCTCTTATACACACTTATCGAGCCGAATAGAGCAATTAGAAGACAGAAGCAGGAGTAAAAACATCAAAATACGGGGGGTTGCTGAGGAGCTCCCACATTTTGTCCTGGCGACTGATCGCCTTCCTACTACCGACACGATCAGCCAAGCAATTCTCCTTTGAAGGAGTTTACCGCATCGCTAAGTCTCCCCAAACGTCCACCACCTCAACCCGAGACATCATCTTATGTTGCCAGTCTCATGCAGATAAGCAAAGGATCTCCACAGCTCTGAAGGGGAAAACGCCATTACAATTTGAATAATTCTCACTCACCTTTTTCCAAGACCTCTGCAGAACCACGCTACCATGGAGGAAATCCATGCAACCAATCACCAAAGCCCTTCAAAGTGCGGGACTGGGAATTGGACTCATCCCAGTGACTAAAAACAGGAAACAATACAAAGCCTCTAGTCCCTCAGAGTTTACAGCCTTCTTACAGGCACTGGAGCTGCCAGCAACGCAAGACACGCCGACAACATCAGCAAAATGGGACGTGAGCAACATCACCCCTTTTACACCCAGGACCAGACGGGACACTAACACTTAACCTCAGACACCCATTCCGACCTCCTGAGACGTCGTCCCACTCAGTCCAATAACTTTGGGTCATCTCCACCCACGCAAAATTGGACTTATGAAAGTACTCGCCGGTTGCGAGTTTAACAGAGACTTACTAAGTTGCACAGTTAATTTCCAAACTCCAGAGACTGCATGAAAAACCTCTCATATGCAAACCACGAACTTAAGCCACGTAATGTTAACTATCTATTCACTGTTATACCCGAAGTTTAAGCATTGTATTTTTCCTTTCCTACACCAAGGGTACAGGAACATCTGGCTGCATACATATTACTGGGCACTATTAGAAGCACACCAGAGCCCTAGTCTGCCACTCAGGCTCCCATTCAGTGTGCTGCCAAGACTCATAGGATCTCCACTATCATTCCCCCCCGGTCACCCAATAGGTTAGAGGACACTGCAGATAGGCCAGGAGCTGCAGAACAGCACCAGTACGATATTAACACCAAACCACACTGACCTGAAGATCGCCCACACATAGTTAATACATATAAAAGTTAACAGAGAAATTCCAACAGACGAGCCCTAGACACAAATAGGCACACGACAACTACTACATACATTTGCCACCAAGGACAACACATAATGCAACAGACGAAAACTCGGCAACACAAGAAGTCAAGAACCACGAACATTTCAACCTAACCTAGAGAACATACGCCTACTGGAATAACTAGACCTTAATCCTCACCTTACAGTGCAGACACATAATTGCAAATACCCATTTTGAGCTATGTTGTTACTTCGATTTTATTGTCATGGTATTGTAAACCTGAATCTGTCATTATGCACGGCAAAAATAAAGAATTAAAAAAAAAACCATAGGTACCAGACTTCACTAATGCTCTTTTGGCTTGATGGGTACAAATTCGCAAAGACAAAATCATCTTGTGAAAAGCCTTCATTTTTTCTTTCCCATTGTTCCCATCAATAATAGTGCAGATTTATTTTCTTCAAGTTGTGGTTTTTCCTTTATTAACTTGGGTTATCCCTGGTTCAATAGATATTATTACTAGTCAGAAGCTTTTTTTTTTTTTTTTAAAGTATTTTTTTATTTTATTAGTTATTATAAATAAAGCGTTTTATTGAGTACAGCAAAAATGAGCAAATACATTCGTGAAAAATACCTCAAGCATAGCAGGTCCGAACAGTAATGTCAATAAGGTCAAATCCTATAGTAGCCGTGAGCTAAACATATATCTCTAATGTGGATATGGTGTAAACCCTCTATCCATCCATCATAGATTATAGCCATGAAATTACCAAGTCTGGTTATTTGCCCCATGAAATGGATTGGTAATTGCAGTTGCTATGACAGAAATAGCCAGAAGCTTCTTAACACGTGGGATGATCAAAAGACCACAATGTACAGAGGCACACAGTCAAATAAGTACCACACATACTTTGTATCACTTGCCCTCTTAGCCCTGTAATGAAAAACATTACAATGTTACAACTGCCTCCAGTGACTGTCTATCTGTGTAATTCTGAATATGGCCAGTAGATGGTGGCAACATACCACCATCTTTTGTATGTACTGAAATGGCCCCAGCACACTGAGGGGACTCCAGGTAACTATTGATATCTGGGGCTTTCTGGTGTGAATACGGATTTAACCCTATTTATGCCATATATGCAGGGTGTTCTATGCTGCCCTACAGGCTTTAAGCTCACTTTATGTAGGACAGCATAGGAAGGGCCAATGTGTTAAGAGGTTAATGAAGCAGTTTTGGTGTATAGACACGGCAATTTAGCTGTTAAATAACTTTTGTTTCTGTTCATGCAACCCTAGCCACGTCACCCCTGGCTGTGACTGATACAGCCTGCATGGTAAAAATGTTTAATTTTTAGTCAGATGCTAACCTCTAGATCAGGAGTAGGCAACCTTTTAGCAGCACTGTGCCGATAAAGGATTGTGATGTCCCGTAGCGTGCCGGTCCTATTTTTTTTTTTTTTAATGGAGGTGTGTATGCTGCCGTATTCTGCTTGTGTTATTTTTACTGTAATTGCTTTGTATCGTTGTATTTGTGCGTATATGCAGGGCCGTCTTTAATAGTGACTGGAACCTGCGCAAAGCATTTGCTTGGGGCCCCCTGGACCTTACAGGCATGCAATCACGTCCTCCACCTCAACGCAGTGGCGGACCTAAAGTAGAGAGGTGCAAGAATGTTTGAGGGTCTTCCTGTTGCACGGGTGATTAAAAAGGTAGATTCCCATCTGTCTTGCAACTCCAGAAATGCATTGACAGCTGGGGCTCTACCATTTACCCATGTTTGCAGGTCTGTATTTAGCACTAAGCAGTTTTGAATGTAAACAGGTGTTTGTATGGAATATGTTTGTTTATGGTGTTGGCGTGATTGCAAGCATGTATTTGTGTAGTGTTGGTTTTTGAATGCAGGGGTGTATTTACATGTAATTTTGGTATGTAACACAGATGTGTTTGGTTGTGTGTAGTGTTAGTGTGTGAATGCTGAGATGTATGCACATATACACACACACACACAGATATATATACACACTGAAATGCGCATACACACACAGACATGCTGACATACAAACATACTGACACACACAGACATACTGACATGCTGACACACACAGATATACTGACACACAAAGACATACTGACACAAACATACTGACACACACACACACTTATAGACATACACTTTAAAACCCACCCTCCAGTTTCCTACCTTTCCTGCTGGTGGCTGAAGGTGTTGGGAGTTGGGGTCTAGCGCTCGCGGCCAGCCTCCTTCCAATCTGCCTACTCTTCTTTCCCGCGCGCTCCTCTCTTTGTGGGAGGAAGTGATGCGCAGCCGTCACTTCCTCCCAGCCTGCTGCCGAAAAGCAAGGGGCCCGCTCGCGCTGTTAAAGCGCCTCAGCGAGCGACCGGGCCCCTGCTGACAGAAGCCCACCGGGTGGTCCTTTGTGCATGGGCCACCCGGTGGGCCTCCTTAGTGTGCGGATTACCGGCCAGAGGGTTAGAAATAGTCGAGGCCAGCAGGGCTCACGGTGCAGCTGGCCAGTTTGCCCCGCTTTAAAGACGGCCCTGCGTATATGAGCTATTATATTGTATATGTTCATGAGTAGTTTATGGTATTGTGTATGATACATATGAACGTGGGCTGTGTATGGGGGCTGCTTGTGGAATTGTGTGTGTGGATGGATATGTCAAAGTGTGTGTTTGGTAGTGTGTGGGGGCTGTTTGGGGTATTGCATGTGGGGTTGTGTGCATGTATGTGGATTGTTAGTGGTGTTTTGTTTGTGCGGATTGTGTGTGTGTATGTTTGTGTGTGGGCTGTCCGTATTATTTGTATGAGGGGAGGGTTATTCTGCATTTCTGTGTATATCTAGCAGTGTGGGAGGCTTCCAGTGGGGACTAGGCCAGCCAGTTACATGTCAAGGACAGGAACTGCAACAGCAACTGCTAGCTGCTTTACTACAGTGTGGATTCCTATTCACAAGTGCTGGGAGGAAGTGATCTGAGATCACTACCTCTACGTGCTGCAATGCATAAACTGAGGATTGTCCTTCACCACCTTTTCGGATTAGCAGATATCTGAAGTTTTACTGAGACTCCTGATAGGCCAGTGCAGCCTTGAGTGCCGTGCAAAGACACCTCGAGTGCCATGCATGGCACTAGTGCCGTAGGTTGCCTACCCCTGCTCTAGATGTTATATCCCCTGCTCTGTAAATTGAACTTTAATCACACACACGATGCTCCTGTAGGGCCTAGAAGGCTATTAACAAAGCAGGAGATGAGAAATTCTAAATTAAATATAATGTGCAATAAAGGAAGTTTAAACATTAGAAGTCACTTACAGGCAGTGTTTAGAAAGGCTGTGTTTTATCACAAGTAGGAAGGTGTGACTGGGGCTGTATAAACATAGTGATTTAACTCCTAAATGGCAGAGAACTGGGCAGAGAGCCTATAGGGGCAAAACTGCTAAAACAAGCTAAAGTTGTTTTGGTGCCTATAGTGTCCCTTTAAATCCACCTCTATTGGCTGTCAATATGACAGGCACTTGGGCGTTTCAGTTACACTGACAGTGTAAAACTTTGCATGATTATTGTTGTGCAGCCTGCAGTAGTGGTTATGGTGGCTGGATTATAATGGTGCCATCCCACAGTAAAATGTCAAACTGTTGTAGCACAGTTTGACAATTTATCTGGGCCCTACCGGATGCCGAAATGCATCTGCTACACTGGGTCATCTTTAGCACGAGAGGCTGGAGAAAACCATTTGAACAGAACATGACAATGTGGAACTGTGCTCAGAAATGTTAATTTTTAATAAAATTTTTTTAGCAAGTATAACTGACACAAACTCACACTAAGGGTTAAATGTGTAAGAGTGTGAGAGTTCAAATTCAATATTTGTAGGGGGCAGTGCTTAAGCGTCATGGCGGCCAGACGCATCTTGAGAGAGCTCCTTACCTAGCTCTTTCTTGCCGCAACCTGCTCGACACACAGCACTCTCATTTGACACGACTTACAACTTACCCTCTCTCTGAACCAAATGGCATACTCTTTACCGCTACCACACAGTGCCAGACATTGAGTCTCCTGTAGACTTCAATGAGGCCTAGTGGAAACGTTGAGCGAGAGAGGTGGCCACTCTCCTAGTTTGCAAGGCTCTGTACCCTCGTTGAGGATCTGTACTGCTCTGTACTCCCACCCATCTGGGCTGGCGGGGGTGATACCAGATCACCAACTGCTACTTACTTAATCTCTGTGCACAGTTGTACACACAATGGCGGCTGCCCTTTCTTCTCATGGGCTCAACAGGATACTGATGATCGAGCATGACCAGCCAGACCCCATTGAGAGGTCTCTTATTAGATTGGAAGAAATCTTTAAGTGCTTTTGGGCTTCATTGGAGAAGCGAGCACTAACATCACAGCTTCGGCATCGGATTGCAGATCAAAGGAGTGAGGGGCAGGGGGAAATGCAGCCTCCCTCGGCCCTTGTACTCCCTCAAGTGATAACTCCCATCATCATTAGCTCTCCTGGGCTGAAGGCCATTTACATCACCCACAGAGGCAGAGGTTCGTACGCCGCCATAGGCACAATGCAGCTCTCTGCTACTTCCCGGCTGGGAAAGACTGAATAAGCCTCCAAGTCAGTGGTTCAGAGATGCTGGCCTCCAACACAGGCCTGGGGGGACGCCTTACCTCACTCCTGTTTCGCTGCTATCGTCAGTGATTCTTCCCCATGTACCCTGCTCTTCCCAAGCTTAGGAATCAGCTGATAACGGTTTCTCTAACAATTGCAGCCTTACTGCCTAATCTCTATACTGTTAGTAGACGCCATTATACATAATTTAGCTTTTATTTGTTTGTGTTTTATCTTGTTGTGCTCTCTCTCTAATCTTTACGTTCTTGGTGCGGTAATATCAATGTGAACTAGGATGAAGTGGTTCCTTCTGATCTGATCACCTAAGTACTGGAATTATCACAAAAAATTGTGCCATTTTATGTAAGTGACCTGCATTATTATTAAGTTTAAAAATGGTGCAGTATCTCAGGCATGTTTTGCACCCTCTTGTTAATACTCTTCTAAGAAATTCTATACAATGCCTCTGTCGTTCCTTGTTATCTGCAATGCACTACAAAAATAAGAAAAGAAAAAAAATTAAATTCAATATTTGTCTCTGCTAGACCATAAATAATGATAAAACACCATGCACATTTAATTATAATAATGTAAATAATATCATAATGTTGCCGCCGGCAACTCCAAGACAATTTATAAATGGGGTGGTGGGGCCTGGCTGTCATGGTGGAGAGCTGCGTTTTGCGAGAGCTCCTCCTTCTAAAATACACAATTTACACCTTCAGTGAGCCCGCTTTGGGACAGTTCTAGTGAGGTTTCTGCTTCCTGACCGACCTGTCATGCTGTGTAGTGGAGGTAGACCAGGAGGGAACTAACTTACCACGCCACTTCAAATGAGGCCTAGCAGCCCTTGGGCAGGAGATGCGGCCAATCTCCCATTCCAGGGGCACCCGGAAGCAACTCTCATTGAGAAGAGCTCCATTACCCCCCCTCCCCCCCTTAGACGGGGGGGTGATCCTGGTCCACTCTTGGGAGGCTACCCAAAACTGGCAGACACGCGGGGCATGGCCATCAAAGCTGACAGACTCGCCTGCAACTCACCGAATATGTCTTCCTAACCCCTGTGCTGTACCTCTAGATTTAGAGTCAAGGCTGGACAAGATCTAGCCCTTCTCTGAAGTCTCTCTAAAGTATCAATATCCTTCTGGAGATACGGTCTACAGTACTGCAAACAATACTCCAAATGAGGTTTCACCAGTTTTCTGTATAATGGCACTTCCCTCTTTCTACTGCTCTCCCTATACAACCAAGCATTCCGCTAGCATTTCCTGCTGCTCCATTACACTGTCTGCCTACCTTTAAGTCATCTGAAATAATTAATTCTAAATCCCTTTCCCCAGATGTTGAGGTTAGGACTCTATCAAATATTCTGTACTCTGCCCTTGGGTTTTTACATCCTAGATGCATATTCTGCAATATCACTAATAAAAATATTTAAGAGAATGGGTCAGAGTACAGATCCCAGAGGTACCCCATTGGTGACAAGACCATGCTTTGAATATACTCCATTGACTACAACCCTCTGTTGCCTGTCACTCAGTCACTGCCCAACCCATTCAACAATATCGGCATCCAACATATTGTGATTTTATTTGTTTCCTCCTATATCTATATCCACGGAGAATAACTATTTGCACCAGATCCTTGAGTGGGGATCATACCACTTCACATGCTATCCTTGCAGCCATATCTACGGCTCCATAACATGCACATTTTTATCTATAACTACTCTTGCTCCATAGCCCAACATACTACACCATATACGTTTCTTTTATCTTTTTATTTCAATGAGGATACATCCCACAACTACAACAATACAAAGAATCAACCCTGCACTTACTGAAAATCTAGGTAAGCAATGTCTACTGAACCACCCTGATCTATTATTTTAGTTACCCAATCAAAAAAATCAATAAGATTAGTTTTGCATGATCTCCCTGAAGTAAACCTATGTTGTCTCTGATCTTGAAATCCTTATGATTTTAGATGTTGAGCAATCCTATCCTTTAACATGATTTCCATTACTTTCCCCACTACTGAAGTAAGGCTTACTGGCCTATAGTTGTCCGACTCCTCCCTACTGCCTTTCTTGTGAATGGGCAGGGCTGGTGCGTCCATAAGGCATGGGGGGGGAGGGGGCTAGATCAGAGTGACTGGCAGGAGGTGGGTGCACAGCACTCCCTCCTGCCAGTCACTCTGTGTAGCATGGCTGAGTGGAGCAGCGCGCACCGCGGTACAGAAACCTCTGTTTCCTGTACCCGGCTGGACTAAAAGGAAGTGCTCACTGAGCGAGCACTTCCTGTCAGTCCAGCCGGGTACTGGAACCTGAAGTTCCTGTACCGCGGTCTGCTCTGCTCAGCCACGCTACAATAAAGGTAGGAGACTTACCGGGGACCAAGGGGGGGAGAGAGAGGGGCACTAAGGGACGGGGGAGGAGTGGTAATGAACACTAGGGGACAGAGGAGGGGGGGTGGTAAGGAACACTATGGGACAGAGGAGGGGATGGTAAGGAACACTATGGGACAGGGGAGGGGGTCATAGGTGTGCGCACAGGGTGTGCCGGGTGTGCCTGGGCACACCCTAATCCCCGCAGCACGCCTATGGAGTGAGACCGGCAGGGGAGATCTCAGGATCTCCCCTATCGGCTCATGCAGAGCCGGCGCTATCCGAGCGTCGGCTCTGCTCTCAGCCTCCCTCCCCACTGCAGCATGGAGGGAGGCAGGAGAGGACCCGGGGAGTTCAACCAGCAGCTCCGCTGGGTTCAACTCGTGAGTTCTGAGCGTTGCTGCGGCTAGAGTTCACTCCCCACTGGACCACCAGAGAAAGCAGCAGCACGATTCCCTCTCCCTACATAAGGTAAGAAGGGAGGGGGATATTAAGTAATGTACTCCCCCCATAGGCGTGTGTATTGATCCTTGTGTTTTTATACTTGTAGAGACCGTCCTGGAGTGTTTGTGCTACCTGATTCTTGGGATTGCGCACCAATCTCTCTCTGGCTGACTTTGTACTACCTATTTTGCAATTACACCTGTTTGGTCAAAATCCATGAAGGCCGAAGAAACTGTGATGCTTACTTATGAGGACATAACCTTTGTATGCAAGACCCTGGAAAGTCCTGAAGCTGCAGTGCTGTCTAATGCCGCTGGTTCTGTATTAACCCTTTCAACAATTTGGGTGTTGCACAGAGCATTGTGGTGAAAATGCAGCTAACAAAAGAAGAACTAAGAACTATGTGGAAACTGACATTGTCTTGTTGTCACCCATTTTTCTATTTTTTGGAACAAAATGTATGGTGTCCGAACTGATTTATTTATACTCCTTGAAGGACTTCTATTTTTTCTGAACTATGCTGAACTATTTTGTTATTTTTATTTTTTGTAGAGTTAGCCAGAGAGGGATGGAGTGTTAGCTGGCCCAGGGAGGGATGTAGTATGTGTTGTTGATGTATGTTGAGTGTGCCAAGGATGGATTCCCATGTTGTGAGGAATTGGATGTGGATATGACTTGGTTTGACTGGACCTTTGGAATAGGGAAATGGTTAGGAGATATAGGACGTAAGGTCCTGGTTGCAATTACTGTAATAATTGTGAGTTTGGTGATAATATACTTAATGATGATAATATGCAAATGGGCTTTTCCCATCATTATGAAGAATGTTTCCCATCTCCTCCAAATACCCAAGCTATGTATTCACCGGTGCGGCTATTAGAAGTCACAGGTGGTGTCAACGTGAGGGATGACATGTCTATACTGTTGTGGCCCCCATTCAGGGTTTCCCCAGATGTGCTTTTTTTCTTAAATATGAGTTTTTGTCACTGTTTTTTTTTAACCTGGCCCCAGATCACTGGGTGGACTGGTAATCCTAAACCCTGGTCCACGGACGAGGGATGGGTATTATTCCCACTTTGACTATAGGCATTCACCATGTGAAAAAAGATTGGAAAGTGTTGGGAATAATACACTTTGCCTATACTGACCCAAGGCTCCTGCTACAGATGACTGGATGTTCAGTCTGTTTAAAATTGGTTAACTTGGAGCTTGTTTGCCATTTGAAATAATATATTTTGTCTATATACAATGCTCAATGTAAGTACCCCTAGACAGAGTTATGAACTTTCCTGTCTCAGGGCGTTGGTCTTATTTGCTGTTTTCTATTTCTGTATTTCTAACTGCGTAGTAACATATGTATTTTATGAGTGCGTAGTAACTTTTTATTTCAGCTGCGTAGTTAAACTGAAACTATAATGAGTACTCCCCCATTACACCTGCAAGATAGCTATACGATAAGCTATGTGTTGAGTCAAGATTGATGAATGATGTTATTATTGGATAATGTTTATAAGACCACCCCTGTTTCCTCTTGAATATAACCTTTTACACAGCCTATTAAATGTTAGGAGTACCGGGCTTAGCACTGTATAATAACCAAGTAATTGATGCCCTAGCATGTTCCCTCGCCAAAAAGGTTTCAATGGGACATCCCCAATATTATTACAAAGTGCCTATAATGAAATTTTAGCTCTGGTTTGTAGAGATTTTTGGTCCGTTAGGGAGGCCACTCTGCTCTTTTGTAAGTCACATGATGGGGATATCTATCCCTTTTCCCAAATTGTTTAGTAAGAATGTTAGAAGAAATGGGGTCCAGTCAGGCGCCGCAGCCATCTAATACCACGACCGGACCCCTGTTGCATGCGTGCAGCACTTCCTCCCAGACAGAGCGCGCCGGGAGAAGCTGCTGACCTAGCACACCATCCACAGCCAGCAAGACCGAAGAAAGTCACCCTCATGAAGAAAAAAGGTAAGTGAACAGCACATTTAAACACGTGTGTATACTGGTGTCACTGTGTGTATCTGCCAATGTGTGTGAATCTGTGTAGCTGTTAGTGTGTGTATCATTGTGCCAGTGTGTGTATCTGTCAGTGTGTGTATCGGTGTTCCACTATGTGCCAGTGTATGTATCTGTGTCAGATAGACACTGACACACAGATACACAGGCACATACAAACACAGATACACACACACACACAGAGATACACCTCTGTGTGTCAAGGTGTGTGTATTTGTGTGTCAGTGTGTGTGCTAGTGTGTATCTGTGTATGTCTGTGCCGGTGTGTGTATGTGTCAAGGTGTGGGTCTGGGTCAGTGTTTGTGTGCATATGACTATGTATGTGTCGGTGTGTTTGTTAATCTGTAAGTATGTATGTATGTGGCAGTACATTTACAGACCTCCCAGCAATCAAATACCAACACAACACACACTCCTGCAAACACAAACATGACATGAAAAGACACCCCTGAACTCTAAATCCAAAATTATATACAAACACTCAAACACCAATACTACACACAAATGTACATCCACATTTAAAAACCAACACTACAGCCAAATACACCTCATTCCATACAAGCACATTCCTGTATTAAAATGATAAAATTACATAAAACGGGGTGGAGATTGAACGCCAACCAGAGAGGTCGCATGCCACGTGAGCTCCCGCACAAACAGACGATTTTCGGGATAATACCCCCGTTTCCAGCCAAAACCCGAGCACTCACACTTGTCCACCGACTCGGGGACAAGTTGCAGACCACATAGACACAAAACTCAGGCACCCGAGACGCACGGGGCCCGCGGAGGCAAACTGAGGCCTATAAGCCACTGGGCGGCGGGAGGGGTGGCCGTCTTCCCCACTCTCCTGGAGAACAATAAGCACTACAGCAGACCTCCCCCCCACCCCCCTTTGGACCGGTGGGGGTTATCCCGGTCCCACTAGACGAGCCAAACCAGACCTGGTGAAGCTGCAACCTAAATCTAGCAACCCAAGATGGAGGACGCCAGACCTCCCGCCATAACACGAGGCACGACAGAATCAACACTGTCAAAACTAGACAAGATATCGGAGGAATTCTGGCGAAAAATCGAGGAGAGACGGCAGAGAGCAACCTCGCAACATCACTCACCCCAGCGGTCCAGGCCGACCCCACAGAGGCGTAACGGCTTCACACCCTGGCGCCGAAGGAGACCACGAACCGGGCGGTCGACCACAGGGGGTAAGTCAGCTCACAGAGCCCCCCCACCCAAAAGAGGACTCACAAACCCTTGTGCCACACAGAGTCCCCCGGAGCTACCAGAGGCTCACCTTCATTGAAGGAAAGGCTTCACCCTCGGCACATGCAGGCCCATCCCTGCCGGTCTGGGAGGGGCGAGGTGGGGGACCACCTGCCCAGCCCCATCAATCCCCCAGACTGCAACACCAGGATACCCAGGTTGATAAGAAAGCGATCCTTGAAAATTGACTATTTGTTAATGAAACATGATTTAGTGTGTGAGGCAGTAAAGGGCATGTGTTGCTTTAATCTTTAAGATCAATGGACAATGATCCATGAGCATATACAGATTCTTCACGATCTAGTGAAGGGAATAAAACAAGATACAGGGTTCTTTGGGGATTGCGATTGGACCTTTGGTCTTGGTACATGGCTCTATATGTTAATTAAGAAAATATTGTATTTGTTACTTATCGCAGTATTTGTCATAATGATATTTTTTCTGACATTTAAGTTCTTCTCCTGTCTTCTATTATCCTTGTGTAAATCAAAACCTCATGTTGGTCGTACCTTAACTTATATGCCAGCTTCCTCAACCTCTGACACCTACAGCGCTGTATAACTGATGAAGGATCAATCCTCCTGTGACCCCTGGCTTGCCCTGTCTGAGGGAACCATGGTGAAGGCATTAATAAAAGACCCACGGGTTTTGACTAGCATACCTGGAAATACCTAAGACACCTGGGTGAGCCGTGGGGTCAAAAAGAGGGAAATTGTAATGGAATTATTGATGGAAGATAATTTGACCCCAGGCTCAAGCTTTTAAGATGACCAGTTGTCCAGTCTTTACTTCTTATGTTCTGCTTTAAATTTTTAGTCTAGTTTCGAGTGTCTGACAAATAAGCACAAATAAGCAAAAGTAAGCATAAAATCATGACTTGTGACATTCTGTGGTTTTTGAGGAGACAATTGCAGCTTCCCCCATCAACCCCCCTTCTGATGTCCTAATGTTTTTATATATATAACCATTGAAATATGCTTAGTATTGTAATTTCCCTTTTATGGTACAGTGTGACTTCACCCACCCGTTTTTTTTGGCGCCCAAGTCACAAAGCTGTCTTTACAAAGTACTATATAATCTGTAAGCTTACACAATAAAATAAGGAGGTAATCTTTGAATCAAAAACTGTCTGGTCTGATTACTTTCTCCGAGCAGCTCGTAATTTAAAGTGTCAATTTGGTTTCCACCTGAACATATCTCCGGGTAAATGAATATCCTTAACATATCTGATACCAAATCTCCATTTGTTAACACTAAATCTAGTATGGCCTCTTTACGAGTTGGCTCCTCAACAACTTGTTTTAGAGACAATCCCAGTTGGGAGTTTAGAATATGTGGGGCACAAGAGGTTATTTTGGTTTTCCAGTTCACATTTGGAAGATTAAAGTCACCCATGAAGATAACTTCATTGTCATTTTAGCTATTTCCTCAGCTATTAGATTATCTAATTCTTCTATTTGTCCTGGGGGCCTATAAATCACACCTACACGAGTTACTGTGTGATTACCAAATTCTAACATAACCCAAACGGACTCTATGTTCGCCTCACTAACTTTTATTAGGCTAGATTGTATGCTATCCTTATTCTTATTTTCGCCATTTATATAGCGCCAACAGATTCCGTAGCGCTTTACAATATTATTAGAGGGGGGATTTAACTATAAACAGGACAATTATAAGAAAACTTACAGGAACGATAGGTTGAAGAGGGCCCTGCTCAAACGAGCTTACAGTCTATAAGAGGTGGGGTATAAAACACATTAGGACAGGAAATAGCAATCAAATAAGGTGGGAGTGAAGCAGAGCTGGAGGAGAGAGTAGAGTGCTGTCCTTTAGGAGAGAGCAAGAGACAGGTATGTGAGGAAGAGAATTGTCTGGGAGGCCATAGGCTTTCCTAAAGAAAAGGGTTTTAAGGCACTTCTTAAACGATTTAAGACTAGGGGAGAGTCTGATGGTGGTAGGAAGGCTATTTCATAGGAAGGGAGCCGCACGCGAGAAGTCCTGCAAGCGCAAGTTGACCGTATGGGTGCAAGCAGCGGACAGGAGAAGGTCACAGGCAGAGCCAAGAGACCGAGAAGGGGCATATCTATGGATCTGTGATGAAATATAAGAGGGGCTAGAATTGTTCAAGTGAGGCAGTATAGAGAGAAAATAGAAGGGGACCAAGGACAGAGCCTTGGGAGACTCCAACCAAGACAGGACGAGGGGAGGAGGTGTTATTAGAAAAAGAGACGCTGAATTAGCGTTGGGAAAGATAAGAGGAAAACCAGGAGAGGACAGAGTCACAGAGACCAAGTGATTGAAGAGTTTGAAGAAGGAGAGTATGATCAACAGTGTCAAAGGCAGCAGAGAGGTCAAGAAGAATTAGTATGGAGTAGTGGCCTTTGGATTTAGCTGCGAGTATCCTTCACATACAGGGTCACCCCTCCCCCTTTCTTGTCTTTCCTGTCTTTTCTATATAAAGAGTACCCTGGCATTGCTATGTCACAGTATTTTTCTCATTATACAATGTCTCCACTAAATCTACATTATCAGTTGCCATTATTGCCACAAGTTCATGGATCTTATTTCCTAAACTGCGAGCATTTGTAGACATGACTCTAAGCTTATAATTTTTTTAACACAACACACTTGCTACAGGCACCTTCTGTCCTTGTTTTGGGAGGCAATTGGATTGATGTTTTATCATCATTTTGCCCCTCACACCCCTGCATCTCGTTTAAATTCATCCCAGCAAAACCTCTGAACTGCTCACTGAGAACATTTGTTCCCTTTGGAGAAAAATGCAAACCATTTTTTTTTTTGGTACAGTTTACTTCCATTCCAAATAGAGCCACCATGAGAAATGAAGACAAATCCTTGCTCCCGACACCAT